ATTTACGCCGGGTCCTTGGAGCAAAGAAATTCGCTGCGGCAGATGTTTTTGTTTCAGCAGGGCCATACTACGTATCATGTTATAATTAGCTATCCACTCGTAAGGTAATTAAATAAGGAGGGTAGATTGAGAGTAATGAAGTTTTACCTGATCTTGGCTGAAAGGCTCGAGAATGGACGCGACACAGGTAGTCGGAACGACACCAAATAAACCACAATAAAGTGTCAAGGAGTCGGGGTTGAACGGGTAGGATAGGTCGTCGGTCAGGGCGTTGATTCGGGGGCTGATCCGAAGCCGCTGTCGGAATATCGAAGCAGGAATTAGGCGAGGTCGTGGTAAAATAATGTCGTGGCAGTTGTCGCGAAGACCGTTGCGCCACGCAGGCAAAAGGTGGATGGGCTGACGACCCTGTCTTTCCGACAGCAGTAGAATTAACAGGTGGTCAACTGAGCGGAAATAACGCGTCTGAACGCGGCTAGTTGGCACAATATATCCTTATCATGCAGATTTTTCGGGTACTTCCTGATCGGCTAATTTGTATGGACAAACAAGTAGCAGTCATATTGGGCTCGAGGAGTAGATAAGTCCCTAACAGCCTCCAAATCGCGAGCTGACTCGATTCGTGTCACTTCCAATTGTTCGCGCAGTATTGAGATGTTGAGGGATCTGAACGCGTTTTCGAATCAGCTTGCTGGGGCTGTACAGCGGTATAATTATTATATTATATATCCAGAATATGGGTTGCCGAGCTTAATATGTGCTTGAAATGTAGTATTCCAACCAAAAAATGGGCTATCCATTGATTGCCTTCAAGATGATGTGGCATTTCTTGAGCAAATGTTAACGACATGTAACTATCGAGGGTTATATCATCCGAACGAGAAAATCCAGAACATTCGAGCGGCACTACATTTAAATCATGTGCATTATAAAATGGCACTGTTCATGAGCTTCATGGTGTTTTTTAATACTCCGTATAGGGTGGCAAGATTGCTGAAACGGTGGCGTATCAGGCACTGTTAGGTCGTTATACCACAATATATGGACGCCCTAACTGCCGTCCTTCGCCTCGATTTCAGCGACGCCCCCGCCAGACGCGGGCGGCGCGGGACTAGGATTTTGCCAGTGGAGTGTGGACGGTGGAATCCAACTGAAACACGCACAACAGACTTTTAAATACGCAGAGCGTCATCACAAGCGCGGCCGAACTCGAAGTTACCGTGTCCGCGCGGGGCAAACCCCTTAATGATGGGGTCAAAGCAGCTTGTTTATTGATGTGTATGTGAGCCTGCCGAGGAAGAACAGGGAAGAGGCCCTTGGTGGGTGGCTTCGGGTATTGACCCTTTCCTCCCTGTATGTCCCTTGGCCGCGAAGCGGGGTGATAATTTTTTTTCGCCTTACGTTTCGACCATATCGCCATTCATTCACAATTTTTATGAATGAATTGAATGAAGACTCCTGATTTTTGATTCGTCGAATTTGAAGACCTTACCCGATTCGGCTTCATTCAATTCAAGGGTCCCGAGGCCGATTCGACTTCAAAATCTTCAAATATCAGCCCTACTCGACATAGCAGGATGCAGAAGGTGCCGGAACGAAACAGGAACCCGCACACGGCTGGGCTGATTGCACGTCGAGATTGGGGTTCGATCAGATATTGATCTGGCCATCTCCACTCAGCCAACATGGCTGGCCAGATAGCAGGAACAAGAAATGAAGATGTTCTTTTCGTCTTACATTACAAACTTCCACAATGCTCAAGGTTGGTGGCATGCGTTTTTTTGGCTTCAACGGTCCTTACGAAAGGATGTCATCCTCTCAGGAACCCTCGCGACCAAGACTGTACTATGCTGCGGGCTTGCGGTATAAACCTGGAGATGATTACTTCGTAGTGGATGGTAATTATGGGGAGAACAAAGAAGGCAATCAGCCGTTCGAATGCATATTAAACCTACCCTCGGGCAAGTTTGATCGTCTATGTGTCTAGGCGAGGCATTTGACCCGCGGTTTGCAAAAATAGCACTTAGGGCAGAACGGTGTTGGTATACTCGGGCTCCAGAGCCTTACGCCCAAGTCTATTCCTCCGTTAGGGTGTTCAAAAGTCGAGAAGATAGCATGCGACAAAGTGGAATGCCGCGGATTGGTGGTCGGCGGTATGGCGGTTCCTTCTAGCAAGCCTCAGAGTATTTATTATCATGGTAAGGATCCTTCCTAACGTTGGCCTACGGCGTGCCTAACACCGGACCTTATCTAGGATATAGAACTTTCTTCTAGCCGCTGAGCAGCCGCATAGCAAATCCCCTTATACGTATTTACCTTTCCGATATAACGGATATCGGTATCCTCGTGTTGCCCGCAACTTTTAGGGGAATAGGAAAGAACTTGCCTAGTTGCGGCCAATCAATGCATTATGGACGATAGGCGGATATGCTAAGGCGTATCGAGCTTTCAAGTCGCGGTACCTCTGTTACCTACCTTATGGACGATGGCTGTTTCGAAACCAGATAGGTTGTAGAAGTAAGAAGACCTAGATACTGTCTTTGGCCTGCAGATGCTAAAAATTTAGCTAGGATGACCATGCACCCCATATCTTCATATCATATACCAATGAGCAGTTCATCGTAGCCGGCGACCCAACGGCAATATATGACAACTATCAACACCTCTATGCGTAGCAATGGAAGTGGCAAATTTCTATATAGGCTGCCTTAGACAGAAGCCAGGCCAACTGGCGTTCTGGATTGACCTTGAGTGCCAACCCTATAAGATATTCGATGAAACGACCCGGACAGAGAACGATAACCTATTAGCTATCGAAATAAAGGAGTTAATAAATTATAACGTAAGTCTTTATCGGAATTAGTCGGAACGAGCTGATTCTAAGAACTAACTACTATCAAGGTTCATTCTATGAGCGATATCATCCGGGAGGCCGCATATAACGTTGTTGCCCGAATACAATGGCCATTAGCATTAAGCGACTTGATCAACTGTGACTATGCGCTGAAGGGATACGGCGAACGAGTCTGGATATTTTAAGAGGTTATTCTTAGCAGAGGCAATTGTGTTGCCTTAATGGTCAACGATAACGAACCCCGGCAGATTTTAAAGGTTTGGCTCGCTATATTGGCATGGAGAGATGTTGAATCGGCGCGGCAGCTGGTGAAGCACTTGGAGCTGGTTAGTATAGCCATTAAGTGCTTATAAGAGCGAAGACTGAAAAGCGATATAGGGGTGACCGCAGCTACGAATTTATGGGTCTGCTAAGGGTGAGGCCGGCGATTGATAGTGAGGATTCATCGTTTTAGGTCTTTGCCCGGTAAGACGGATTAGTTTACCGATTGCTATAGACGAGAGAGGCTAAGGCTGAGCAAGCTTTCGTTGCCCTAAAATAGTGATCGATTGATGGAGCGCTTAATCTGTCTGTTCTCTAAGGGTCTAGACGAAAGCTGCGATTAGATGTCGGACATATTCGACTCGAGTCTCTGGGACATCTATCCGGACACGTAGGTCTGCGGCGTAGGGGAGAACGACACCATCATAGTTAACGGCTTTAAAAGCGCCTTGATTCAATGGTCCATGTTCGGCTTAGTTAACCTGACACGCCGCGCTATATGGAGGACGCAAACCTGGATACTAGCCCCTGGTTTCGCTTTTGTTCTCCTTGTCGTATCCTTGTCACTGCTGGCTAATCAGGGAACTAGATAGATCGGGGAGCTTATCCTTATATTTGTCTTGCTTTTCTGGCTATCAACATCGCTGCTTATGGTGCCCCTATATAGCGGCAAGTTTTAGAGGTCGAACCTTGCCTCTTCAGCATTAAGGGCTATATCCCGCTCTAGGAGGTAGAGGTAATAATCTTCGGCCTTCAGCAGGGTTGGTTGCTGTGGAGTACCTTCGGCTCGCCATTATCTCGGCATCGACATATAAGCATATATCGCGGACGGATAAGAGGACAAATCGACATAATGCCAGTGAGTGTGAGCCCATATTGCCTGGGGCGGCCATGGGCCAGAATGACGATGGCTATGCATGGACATATCCCGTTGAAGCTGTTGACCCCTGTTTGGCCTTCGGCAGTGCGACATGGGAGGTGAGTCGTGGTCATGTGAGCATCACGAACAGTCTACTCGATGGAGTAAAAGAGCAAAAGTGTTTATGGCAACATGAGGGAGTGCCAGCTGCTTCTCCCCCATGCCACCAAGAGACAGCCAGCCAACGATATATACAGTGTTAGGCGTTTATGCTCATCCGTACCTTTTTCATTTCGCTGCATGAGCAGACTGGACGGCTCGGGTAACTGATGACAGGTTCGGGCTTTATTCTCAGCGCCTCGCGCCTCGACTGGCCCCGGTAAAGCCGCGCTTCACGATGGCAATCTGTCTCGAGCGGTACGAGGAGGGTAGAATCTCCTGCGGCCTCGAGGGGGTTGTACTTGTCGGCCTGGCTGGCGATGATCTTGTAAAGAGACCTATTTTGGTAGACACCAGAGGAGTAGACCCATCACAAGTCAAGATGGACCATGGCGGTACGGGGAAATGCACTCTTTCTTGCCGGTCCCGCGGTCTCTTTCCTTTCCCCGGAACTATATTGTATAATTTTGCACTTGATATGTTGATGCGAGATCGGGATAGGCGAAAGTGGAGCCAGAGCGGCAAAGCTGCGACAGGCAAGAAGCGACGAGTCATGTGATGTCACTCTTGTCACTCCACGCCGCCGCTGCAGCCGGCAGGTACAAGGCGCCGTGGGGTCGGCTCACTGGAGGGTCGAGGCTCCACCTCTGGCCAAGCTCCGGCTCAACCTCCTCTGTCCTGGTTTCGAACTTGGAGACTCCTCCATCATCATCCTCCCCTTCGCTGCCCCGCCTCTTCTCCCTTCGCCCGTCAACCTCGCAGCCGAGCTTCCGTCTGCAATCGCCGCCTCTCCTCCGAGACCTTGCTCTTGACGCCGTCGACCGAGTCCTGCCCTCCGGCCGCCACCTCTTGCGAGCTCGTTTCATCATGGGGGACCCCCGCGACTCGTCGTCGTACTCGGTCGTGCCGCGGATTCGGTACAACACCGTTGGAGGTGTCAACGGCCCGCTGGTCATTCTTGAAAATGTACAGGGAAATGTCTTTCGTCTTTTGGACGCGGTGTCGGGGTGCTGACGTGATGGCTTCCAGGTCAAATTCCCAAGATACTCAGAGATTGTCACGTTGACGCTTCCCGATGGAACGGAGAGATCTGGCCAGGTCCTCGAAGCTCGAGGTGAGTCCTATATCCCCGGTTTAATCATCAGGATGCCCATACTAATGGTGGGCAGGCGACCGAGCCGTCGTTCAGGTACCTGCGAACCAATGATCGACCATCGACATCCCTTCGCGCGATGGCTGACACAGTCCGAATAGGTCTTCGAAGGAACTTCTGGTATCGATGTGAAGAAGGTACAGCTAGAACATGCAGTCGTTGGAAAACAAACTGGCGACACTAACGCGGCCCCAGACCAAAGTCGAGTTCACCGGCCAGAGCTTGAAGCTTGGTGTGTCCGAGGACATGCTGGGCCGTATCTTTGATGGATCCGGCCGAGCTATCGACAAGGGTCCCAAGGTGCTTCCCGAGGAGTACCTCGACATCAACGGCAGCGCCATCAACCCCTTCTCTCGTGTATGTCGACTAGAATCATGCCATCATTCAGTGTGGAGTGCAGGCTGACGCCAGCAGGAATATCCCGAGGAAATGATCTCGACCGGTATCTCTGCAATCGACACGATGAACTCAATCGCCCGAGGCCAGAAGATTCCCATATTCTCCGCTGCCGGTCTGCCACACAACGAGATTGCCGCCCAGATCTGCCGACAGGCAGGCCTTGTCAAGCAAAAGGGCGTCACCAACAAGGGCGTCCACGACGGTCACGAGGAGAACTTCTCCATCGTGTTCGGTGCCATGGGTGTCAACCTGGAAACTGCGCGCTTCTTCACGCGGGATTTTGAGGAGAACGGCAGCTTGGAGCGCGTTACTCTGTTCCTCAATCTGGCCAACGACCCAACGTTTGTCCACCCGAGAGTGTCTGTCCTATTCCTTGACTGACTGCTGGGATACAGGATCGAGCGTATCATTACGCCTCGACTTGCGCTTACGACGGCCGAGTACTACGCCTATCAGCTCGAGAAGCACGTCCTTGTTATCCTGACGGATCTGTCGGCCTACTGTGATGCCCTGCGTGAAGTTTCGGCCGCCCGAGAAGAAGTGCCTGGTCGTCGCGGTTTCCCCGGCTACATGTACACTGACTTGTCCACCATCTACGAACGAGCCGGCCGTGTCGAGGGACGTAACGGATCCATTACGCAGATTCCCATCTTGACAATGCCCAACGACGACATTACGCATCCGATCCCCGACTTGACGGGCTACATCACCGAGGGTCAGATCTTTGTTGATCGGCCCTTGCACAACCGCGGCATCTACCCGCCCATCAACGTGCTGCCGTCGCTGTCGCGTCTGATGAAGTCTGCCATTGGCGAGGGCATGACGCGCAGGGACCACGGCGACGTATCGAACCAGCTGTACGCCAAGTACGCCATTGGGCGTGACGCGGCGGCCATGAAGGCTGTCGTCGGCGAGGAAGCTCTGTCGGCCGAAGACAAGCTGTCGCTAGAGTTTTTGGACAAGTTTGAGCGTCAGTTCATCAGCCAAGGCGCATACGAGTCGCGCTCCATCTTTGAGTCGCTGGACCTGGCCTGGAGCCTGCTGCGCATCTACCCCAAGGATCTACTGAACCGCATCCCCGCCAAGGTGCTCAACGAGTTCTACCAGAGGGCGCACAAGGATGCCAAGGGCAAAGGCAAGGCCAGGGAAGAAGTTGCGACGAATGACCAGGCTCAGAACAGCGGGAACCTCATTGACGCTTGAGGGCAACGAGAGCGAGGCTGTGTTGGTCTGCGGAAGACGGGTGGAGGAGCGCAGGCACGCGGGATGGGTGTCGGTCGGCACTGGCTCTGTCATGTGTATAAGTGCGCCAGGACTGGCCTTTGTTGACGTCGCTCTTCTATTAAATTTTGCCGACGAATTACATTTGTAGAGGGCAGAGGCTTGCTTGACAGGGACCGGGGGGTGACGAAGCAGGTATGCACACGAGCTAGCTGGCGGAGAGAAGGTGTCCGGGGAAGAATACAGAGTAGGTTATAACTAACTAATGCCTGTCCCATCTGGTGATGCAGCGACATGACTGCTCGCTAGCACCTTGTTCCCCGGAAAGCACGGCATGGCTTGGAGAGTTGTCACATGACGGACGACCGTTGGACGGCCCCCTAGTCATGAAGAGAAGCATGAAGAGAAGAGCGGAGGAGAGAAGAGGGGGTTCTGTCAAGGGCCATTGAGAACTAGTAGATGCGGGTGTTTTTCTTTTCCTTCTCCCTTGACATCAGCCTTCCGCACTTGCATTGGATGAGCTGTGCAACCCCGTGGGGAAGATGGGAAGCCACCAAACTTGCAATCCCAAGCCAAGGCCTGATTTTTTGGTTGTTGTTTTGTTTTTTCCCCTCGACGGCCCACGTGAGCGCCGCTCCTGTCCGCTTCCGGGATGGCCGGATCGAGGCAGCTTTGTGTGACGCTCGCGTGCCTCGCCGTAGCAGGCTAGATTGTCTGCATGTCCACCCTCACCAGCGGTGGCTTTTTGGTAAGCGCGGGAGCGGATGCGGAGTAACGCGAGGAGAGAGAGCATGCGTCGTCGATCCCATTGATGCGGTGGCCAACGCGGATGCAGGAGCGAGAACGGACGAAGCTCTGGGGGTATCGACTATTAGAGGAGAGGGGAGAAGCTCTGGCTCATTCCCCCCCCTCTCTCGCCGTTGCTGCAAGAGGAAACTGAAAGAAGGAGGGGGGACTCATTTCCCATCTGCTCGCTTGTTTTCTTTTTGAAGCCGTCGTCTCTGCCCGTCGTCTCTGTCCCAGAGCCATCTCTATTCTTCTGCTTCTTCTTCTTCTTCTTCCTCCCTGCCATTCGCACACCGCCCAGCCCGCCTTGATCACCTCCATGATGTGGAGGATCGTGACCGTCGCCGCCGCGGCTCTGCTGCCATTGGCCTCTGCCGCCAGCAGCAGCACGAGTGACGGCTCACCCACGCCCGACAGGGACGGCAAGTACTGGATCTACGGCGACGGCATCTCGGCCGCCTTTATCCCCTACGGCGCCTCCATCGCCAACCTCGTCTTGCGGGACCAGTACGGCATCGAGCGCGACGTCGTGGCCGGCTTCGACAACGCCTCGTACTACAGCGAGGACAAGCAGCACCCGCACCTGGGCGGCGTGCCCGGCCGCTACGCCAACCGCATCAAGAACAGCACCTTTGACATTGACGGCCACCGGTACCGCGTAAAGGCAAACGAGAACCCGACCGAGGCGTCGCCCCAGGGGCTCGACACGCTGCACGGCGGGCCCGACGGCTGGGACTGGCGCAACTTCAGCGTCGTCTCCCACAGCCGCTCCAGCGTCACCTTTTCCTTTGTCGACCCGGACGGCAAGGAGGGCTTTCCCGGCGAGGTTGTCTCCGTCGTCACCTATGCCTTGTCTGGCCGGGACTGGGACATTAGCATGGTGGCCATGGCGACGACCAAGAAGACGCCCATTATGCTGAGCAGCCACACGTACTGGAACCTCGACGGCTTCGCAAACAACCAGACAAACACGGCCCTCAACCACACCCTGCACATGCCCTACAGCGGCCAGCGCATCGGCGTCGACAACATCCTCGTCCCCACCGGCGAGATCCTCTCCAACCCCCAGGGCTCCGTCAATGATTTCTGGAGCAGGCCCAGGCAGGTCGGCGCGGCCATGGACGACCCGGACCTCGAGAACAACTGCGGCTTCAACTGCACCGGCTACGGTAGGTTCCCTGTTGTTCCTGGTTCCTTGTTCCTTGGCAGAGGAAAAGACTAGGGCTGACCTTGCGCAGACAACTGCTTCACCGTCAATCGCGCGGCCCTCGGAAGCTTCGACTGGCGCACAGAGGGCCCCGTGGCGACGCTCTCGTCGGACTGGTCGGGCATCCAGCTCGACGTCTTCACCAACCAGGACGCCTTCCAGCTGTACTCGTGCAACGGCCAGAACGGCACCCTGGCGCTCAAGAAGACGCAGGGCGTCCGGGACGCCGAGGGTGCAGACGACTTCCCGCGCACCATTCCCAAGTACGGCTGCGTCGTGCTCGAGGTGCAGGATTACATTGACGGCATCAACCACCCCGAGTGGATGCGCAAGCAGGTTTACGGCCCGTCGGACGATCCGTACGTGCTGCAGGCCAAGTACCGATTCAGCCTCACGTCGGAGCATGGGGGCAAGAAAGGTAAGCAAGACGACTGTTGATGAGGAGGGAGGTGCAATGCTGTCTTGATGAAGCTTGGTTTTGGGCATGGAGGGGAATCTTTGAGTTTACTTAATGTTTGATTGTCCATGTCTCGTAGATATGAGCGTCCTTTTTTTGTGGCTGAAATGTTTGTACTGGCATGACTCCATGGAACAGATACCAAATTGCTAGCAGGGAACAGAATAAAGCCCATGAATGAGCAGTTTGGTCAAGAGAGGCGGGATGAGGCCGATGATGTTATTATTATTATTATTGTATTTTCCGTCCAGCGACCTTTAGGTCGCTCAGGTCCCCGAGACGGGGCACAGGAAGGCCGATGATGTTTAGTTTAGTTTAGTTTAGTGTATTTTCCGTCCAGCAACTTTTGGTCGCTCAGGTCTCCGCAGGGGAGCACAGGACGTGCTGAGCTAGCAGGTGTCTACATGCTACATATCGTACACTTCACCCACTATCCAGCATTTCATCGGCTCAACGGCGCTCATGACAAACCTGTTGCCCGTCAGCGGGACGTCCAGGCATGAAGAGAAAGCTGTCCCGTGGTCAGATCAGCCAATTTGCTTCTGGGGCCTTGCAGCCCTTGATGACCTCGGCGATCGCATGGTCGCGAGACCTTGACGCCGCCCGAGATCGGAGCAGGTAACAGAAAGGATTGAGAGGAAAAGGTAGGTGAGAGAGGAGAATGATGACCGTCTAGTGGCGTGGGCAGATCCTCCGAAGAAGGAGCTCGCTTTCGCCAGCCTGACGAATTTGTCAAAGTCCTTGCCGATTGCGCGGTTGATGGCTGCAGCCGGCCAAGGTGCAAGCCGCATACGATGCCGTGGCGCAACCTTTCTGCAGTAAAAGATGTGTGCTGGCTCTTTCGTCTTCCGCACGAGCACGTCAGTCGCGCATTGTCGTGACCAAACCTTTCGTGGTAGTCAGCAAAATCCCCATGGTGGGTTCTTGCTGCAAGCAAGTTACGAAGCAGGGGCCGAGAGAGCGCCAATTCTGACGGGCAGCTGGTTGTGGCTTTAAGCCTCAGGTCTCTGTATCGCTCCGGCGCAGAGGCTTCCCACCAGGCCTTGAAAGCCTCTTCCGGCTGCTGTCGGGCAATCTTTCGCAGGTGCGCTAGCGTCGGGACGTTATCAGCGGGTTCTGGCAGTGATGCTCCCGCCTTTGCCAGAGCATCAGCCTCCTCGTTGCCTGGGATGTCAGCATGGCCGGGGATCCAATGGACCTCCACAGCTCCGTATTTTCGCGCCAAAGATTGAAACTCAAGGAAGACCTCTTGCGAGGAGTCGCTCGGCGTGCCCCGTAAGCATGTTGCGGTCGCGAGGTTGTCGAGGCAGACAAAGATGCGGTCAGAAGGCCGATGATGTGGTTGGGAGAGTGGATGCTCTAGGGTAGGCGAGTTGCTCAGGCTGGCTCGACAACTTGCCGTGCTCACTCCTCATTCAACGACTCACATGTTCCACCAGTGCGGCCCATGAGAGCAGAAAAAGTCCAATAAACCGCCAGAGGACACCTCACGCGAATCTTACGCGATACTTGAAGCCGGAAAGAGGAAAGAAGGTCTTTGGAGAGAGAGGGAAAGAAAAGACAACCGACATGGAAGACGACAGGGCGCAGGTCGACCTGGGCGTCGCGGCCGACATTGAAGAGTCACACGCCGCCGCCGCCGCCGACGAAGCAGCCGCCAGCGCCGTCAAGCAGCCCAAGAAGCGCTTCGTGGGGAGGCGGGCGGCGGCCAGGCAGGGTCATGGAGCGGCGGACGCAGAGGGCGAGAGCGGCGCGGTTCAAGGTATGTCGGACTCCCCCTCGAGCCGCCTCCTCCTCCGACTACATACATATCTAGAAGCATATGGATGGATATACGAAGTTGCTGTCCCGAGCCTCGTCGCTAACACGTTCCCCCCAGCCGCCAAGCCCAGACGCCCGCCGCGGCTGCTGAACCGGGTGCCCAGGGAGATCCTCGACGACGCGCAGCTCCAGGAGGCCATGGCGCTGCTGCCGGCCAACTACAACTTCGAGATTGCCAAGACGATCCACCGGATCCGGTCGGCGGGGGCGCGCAGGGTGGCGCTGCAGATGCCCGAGGGCCTGCTCCTGTTCGCGACGACCATCGCGGACATGCTGACGCAGTTTTGCCCGGGCGTCGAGACCCTCATCATGGGCGACGTGACGTACGGCGCGTGCTGCATCGACGACTACACGGCGCGCGCGCTGGGCTGTGACCTGCTGGTCCACTACGCGCACAGCTGCCTCATCCCCGTCGACGTGACGCAGATCAAGACGCTCTACGTCTTTGTCGACATCAGCATCGACGCCGCCCACCTGCTGGCGTCGCTCGAGCGCAACGTCGCCAGCGGCAAGACCATGGCCCTGGTCGGCACCATCCAGTTCAACGCCAGCATCCACGGCCTGCGCGGCGCCCTCGAGGCCGCCGGCTTCCGCGTCGTCGTGCCGCAGATTGCGCCCCTGAGCAAGGGCGAGATCCTCGGGTGCACGTCGCCGCGCCTCGCCGACGACGACGCCGTCGACCTGATCCTCTACCTCGGCGACGGCCGCTTCCACCTCGAGAGCGTCATGATCCACAACCCGTCCATCCCCGCCTACCGCTACGACCCCTACTCGCGCAAGCTGACGCGCGAGACGTACGCCCACGACGAGATGCGCTCCCTGCGCAGCGACGCCATCCGCGCCGCCCGCGCCGCCCGCCGCTGGGGCCTGATCCTCGGCTCCCTCGGCCGCCAGGGCAACCCGCACACCATGGCGCTGATCCGCCGGCGGCTCGAGGCGCGCGGCATCCCCTACGTCGACCTGCTGCTCAGCGAGATCCTGCCGGGCAAGCTGGCCCTCATGGGCGACGTCGAGTGCTGGGTCCAGGTGGCGTGCCCGCGCCTCAGCATCGACTGGGGCTATGCCTTTCCCCGCCCCCTGCTCACGCCCTACGAGGCCCTGGTTGCGCTGGGCGTCAGGGACGGATGGGACAAGGACGGCGGCGGAGTGTATCCGATGGATTACTACGGGAAAGACGGGCTGGGGAGAACGAAAGCAGAGGACGTAGGAGCTGCAGTTGGAGCTGCAGTTGTTGGAGCTGGATAGAGGAGAAGAAGTTGGAATAGACCAAAGAGGCATAGAAAGGGTCTCGCCATAAAGCCTTTGTGGGTGCCAGGCACTTGATGGTGATTCGAAGTGTCTGATTCTCGTCCCTGGCAGTCATGGCTTGACTCGAGGCGGGCTCCGACAAATCTCCTAGTAGCCAAGCGCATCTTGCTTGAGGCCGAGACCTTGCACCTGCTAGGACTGGAACCGACGACGCCAATGTGTGAATCGTCCGATCGACGACTGGCGCTCGCTCATATTGAGATACAGACACCCTCTAGCGGCATGACTCCAACCTATTTACTCGAGTCGACACAGTGGACGAGATTCCGCAAACAAATATCTGGCCGGTTGATTGACCGTTACCGTGAAGTTACCGAAACGAGTCACATCCACGGAGCTCTCGCCATTGACAAGGACATTGAACCCCAGCCTTTGATCTAGCCAGCTCAGCACAGTCGAGTCAAAGCACCGCATGACATGGCAGCGGTGCTCGGCATGGAACTAGCTTGTCCCTGCATCGCCTTGGCCAAGGCCCTGGATTCGCCGTCCACAGAGCAACTTCAGAAGAGCACGGCCGGGTCACCCTGTGCCCCCCCCCCCCCTAGCAAAGGGTGTTTCGCAACGTCAACGACCCCGCAACGACGCTGGGGAACTCATCGATCAGGAACTCGGGATATACAATCTCCTCCGCGGGGCCCCGGTCCCCGTCCCGAAGTCGCGCCACCTCCTCGAGGCTGACGGTTACCCAGAAATGCTGAGCGGGTACGTTATGACGACGAGCTGCTTTGATACATGACACGCAGCTGCCTCAGCAGTGGGATATCTGGCTTGGGGCCATGGACGGTACGGAATGCTCCATCAGCGCTGGGGCAGAGGATGCTCCGGCGCTTGGAGCAACTCGCCAAAGAGGAGCCACCAGCGAAAGAATGGCCTCTCGGCAAGGATACACTTGAGCCCCTCGCCGACGGGCTTCGATGCTTCCTCACATGTCTGCTGCAGAGGGATTTTCGGAGTTGCTGCCGTGCTCGACTGGACCAGTGCGCTCGTCGGGCCGGCGGCAGTGGAATTTTTCCGCATCATGGAGCCGAGCCAACCGGGCGACGGATTCGTCAGGGTTTATTCGCGGGTGGCGGCTGTGCCCGATATATCTGCAGAGGGAGAGTCATTTCTGCGGCTGGACGCGGCGCTCATGCTTTCGGCGGTTTTCATGTCGGAAGCGCCCGATCCGGAAAGACGAGGGCCCCGTGTCGAGCGCGTGGAAGCGCTCGCCAGAAAGTTGGGGGTTTTGTCCAGAAGCAAGGAGCTGCAGCGAATGACGCGTGTGGGAGAGCGGCTTCTGACATGTCCACGACGAGGCAATGTGTGAGGACAAGTTTCGTCGCCTACTGAATGCACTGATTCAACCCTGCCCCATTTCTTATGTTGCGTTTGCCGTGCCGACTGGCTCAGGTCGATTTGAAAACATCAGTTTGTACTTGATAATCTCCACCACATCGAGGTTGTCGCCCTGCTCCTGAACGGGGCCGTCCGAGCTCTCGCGCCATTGATTCTCCCGCCGGCGCACCACGGCTAAGGCCTTGGGCAGCTTCTTGACCTCGCCCGTCAGACGCTGGTGCTGGCCAATGTAGAGGTGGACGCGCTTCATCCAGGCAGAACCTCCGACGCCCGCGACGTAGTCGGGGAAGTCGAGCTTCCCGATCTCGACACCCTGCAGCGGCGTGCCGTCCGAGTCCGACGGCAGGTTGACTGAGCCCTGGAGTTCGAGCAGGGCCAAGCCCGACGGCGTCTGGAGCAGCTGGGGGAGAGGGCTACTTGCTGCGGCTGCCGGCTTTGAGGGGGGGTAGAGCTTGACAGAGGTCATTTTCGCTAGGTTTGAGCCCGGGGCGTCAGGGGTGGCTGGGCTCAAAGGCAGGGCGCGAAGTGGTCGGGCGACGCAATTGAGTCGAGTTCGTTGCGCGAATATGAAGCTTCGAGCCGAGGCAGTTGAGAAGTAAGTGCCTAAGTTGGACGGTTGAGGGGCGCCACACATCGGGGTAACACGACGGAGTTGCGCCACATGAGGCTGGTGCAGCGGGTCGGGCCCTCTTGTCAAGCTTCAGGGCTTGCGCGCTCGTTGATTGGCTGGTGCCCACGACCACAACCAAAGTGGGAGCCCTAGGCCTAGCGACACACACTTTTCTGCATTTCTCGCCAATTTTTCAACCACCTCGCATCCCCATCACCGACGACTTCACATCAGCCAGGTCAAGCCAACTTGCACCACCACAACTGGCAAGATGAAGGTACGTCGACACCAGCCCACGGAGCCTCTGCGATGCGATTGCCTCGAAAATTCGGCGGTCGCTGGCCGAGAGAATCCACCCTGTTGATCGATGGGACTGACGCGTCGCTAACATCCGACAGTTGAACATCAGCTACCCTGCCAACGGCAGCCAGAAGCTCATCGACATTGAGGATGAGCGCAAGCTTGCCGTCTTCATGGAGAAGCGCGTACGTCGACGCCAACCCCTTCTTTCCTTTCCCGAACCGGACACAAGATCGATACACGGGGCCCGCGACCGAATCTATCGAAGCGAGCTGTGCTGACGATGGGGGCTATCAATTAGATGGGCGCCGAGGTCCCCGGTGACTCCGTCGGCGATGAGTTCAAGGGCTACATCTTCCGCATCACCGGCGGCAACGACAAGCAGGGCTTCCCGATGAAGCAGGGCGTCATGCACCCCAGCCGAGTCCGCCTGCTCCTCGCCGACGGCCACTCGTGCTACCGCCCCCGCCGCACCGGCGAGCGCAAGCGCAAGTCGGTCCGCGGCTGCATCGTCGGCATGGACCTGTCCGTCCTCGCCCTCAGCATCGTCAAGCAGGGCGACAACGCCATCCCCGGCCTGACCGACGTCGTCAACCCCAAGCGTCTCGGTCCTAAGCGCGCCACCAAGATCCGCAAGTTCTTCGGCCTCACCAAGGATGACGATGTATGTTTCACCCTGCACCCATACTCGATCATCGCCTATCCGGAGCTGCGGCGGTGGAATGGGCAGTCCGGGTAGAGTGTGAGATGACCACCGGCTCGACGGCCGGTGGGAACAGAGTCAAGAGTTTTGCGCACGGGTTGTGAAGACTAATCGGGCCGGACAATCCAGGTCCGTAAGTACGTCATTCGACGAGAGGTCCAGCCTAAGGGTGAGGGCAAGAAGCCCTTCACCAAGGCCCCCAAGATCCAGAGGCTGGTCACCCCCCAGCGTCTCCAGCACAAGCGCCACCGTCTCGCCCTCAAGAGGCGCCAGTCCGAGAAGGTCAAGGACGAGGCCGTAAGTACACGCCGAGCTCCGCGCCCGACTTGCCCATCTCCTGGCGTACAGGCACTGACGCGCATCGACAGAACGAGTACGCCCAGATCCTGGCCAAGCGCGTTGCCGAGGCCAAGGCCCACAAGGCCGACGTCCGCAAGCGACGAGCGAGCTCTATGCACAAGTGAGGGGTTCCGGCGTTCTAGTGAGAGAAGGAGTGGAAAATCATACCTTGGTTCCTGTGGTTTGCATGCATTGGGAGTGAGGATCTCTAGGGCTCAATTTGAGGGCTCCAATCACGAATGTACTAGAAGCATATCGAGAAAAATCGAATGCATTCTTGACGCCATCCACGGGCGAGGCTCATTAGACATTGATGACTCGTTTCTTGTTACCCCCTCTCTCAACGTGCAGCCTGCCAACGGTCGAAAGGCAGCCCGGCGATTTCTTTCCGCCGTGCTACCCTTGGCCATCCCTGACGATTACATGGGCGTGAAGCTCTCCAAGCCAGGTTCAAGTGCCTCGTCTTCCGCACCTCAGTCAATCAAAGGCATAGCGCCAGGCCTAACAGACACTGCCTTGATTTTCCCTGTCTAATGCCCGCGGCTGGCTTATCCCTATTCTACATGCAATGGTCCCTCCCTATGTCTCGGCTTCACGCACGTAGCAAGCCCCAGAGGATCCTCTACCGACCCGGGAGACCTGCACTTCTCCCACGCAGGCGGACGATAACCTCGGAGACAAAATGAAAAACAACAACCTCCACTCGTTATAGGGAGAAAATTACCACCGCGGAACCATGTTGCTCCCTAGCCATCTGTGCCCAAACGCTAAGGCGTGGCGCTTCAAAAACCGTAAAGGCCATGCCAGGAACCAAGCTGAGGATGCACATTACTGCCAGTGAGGTCTGGTTTGACACACTTCGCTTGCAGGCGTCATCCCCTGCGCCACCTGATGGCTCCAGTCTGGCTCGGCCAAACCCCCTCGACTGCGCTTCAAAGCTATTAGGCAAATCCGAAGTACTCGCTTCCTTGAGTAATAGCCTTCAGAAGCTGAGAACGCAACATATCGTACGTCTCGTACTCGGGAAGATCCAGTTCTGTAGGCCTCGTTAGTTCAAATCCCACCATCCTTCAAAGCTGCATCGGGTTCACTCACGGTTGAAGCAAGTATGCGAGGAAGGCAGGCGGTCCTTGTTGCCGTAGTCGCGGTGGATGTTGAAGCGGTTGATACCGTTCATACCCTCTAGCTCCTTGAAGCCGTTGAGGGGAACCTTGCTTGTTCCCGTGACGAACTGCAGCAACTTGGCCCGCTCCTCCTTATCAAACGACCTCACCGCTCTCCAGAACCACTGAATCTGCTGGGTTGAAGGATTGTAGTTTTGGTATTCCGTGTTGCTCTTCCAGTCGTCAATGTCAATGTCTGGAAGGCCGGAAATCAGCAGCTCGAGTTCTTGCTCGTTGAAAATCGAGATAAGCTTTGCCGGTACGATCTCGTGAAAGCCTGTCAAATCGTTAGTACGCAGATCCATGGCGCAGTCGAAAACAACCAGACTTACCCTTCAAGAAGTGCTCCATCTGGTCTTTGACAGAAGACAGCAACTTGTGCTCGACGACGAGACGCACATACTCGTGCTTGTTCTCTTCGGTCACGGAAATCTCTCGCCCGTTGGGAACGAGATCTACGACAGTGGTGACGCCGAACTCGTCATCTTCGACCGAAAAGGTCTCGGTGATGATATCGGTAATGTCGTTGTCCAACATCCAGCAGAGGGACTTGTAGTAGTCGGGGTCGAATGACTCCATATCCTTGACCGAGACCGACTTGCCGAGAATCCGCTTGTACACAGCGCGGCTGAAGAAGCAGTCAAGCAGCCGACCCTCGTAAAGGGCTTTGCCAATGATGCGCCCAATGAACTTGAAGAACATCAGGTGCTCGTCGTTGATGCCACTGAGCTTATTCGGGTGGAAGGTCGTGCGGTCGGATGAGACGGGGATGAACAGGGCGTAGTTGGGATCAAACATCTGGCGCGCGAGGACCTGAAACCACTCGCGGGTGACGCCTCCAGCATCCACGCCCTCTTCCCCGTGGAAGCGAATGTTGAGCTTTCCAAACTTCATCTCGTCGCCAGACTTGAAGTAGAGAGACTTGAACGAGTCGTGGAAGACATGGTCGCGGCGGACAGACAGCTGCAGCGCCGGGTACGACGGCCGCCCATTGCTTTGCCCGCTGCGCGAGTGGACACTGCGGTTGAAGTAGTTTCTCTTGTTATCGAATTCAAGGACCTTGGGGTTCTTGACCAAGAGAGCAAAGGTGCCTGACATGAGCTTCGGATTATGACGCACAAGCTCGTTCAAAATGCGCCGGTGGTCCTCGGTGAAGCTGAAAAAAAGACTTGCAGTGCGGGACTCTGGAGGTGGGCTGGAAAGAACCATGTCTCTGAAGATTTGGCTCTGAGGCTGGTCATCGTTTGTTGTGTTCTTGCACACCACCATGAGAGACTCGATGAGGGGCAGCAGGATCGTGGCAACGTTGAGCATGTTCTCTCGCTGACGAATAGCCCGCAGACAGGCGCTGAGCTTCTCCCACATTGCCGAAAAGGTGGAATTGTGGTAAAGAGAGGTGACCAGATATTGCTTCTCCTTCTCCCTCGCGTTTTCATCTTCCTCGTCTCGGATCTTCTTCTTGCCATCAAACAGGTGGTCCAGTGCGGTGAGAACCCGGAGGAGCTTGTTTTGTTCCGATGCGCCTGGAGAGAACTTGGCGAGGGCAACCCCCTGGATCTCGGTTCCGGTTGTGGCCCGGCTGATGTGCGGGAGAAGATCGTCCAGATCGGAGACGATGTTTTCGCTCTGGAGCTGCGCCTGGCGAACGAGTTCTTGACCAAACGCCTCCTTTGCTCCCGGAATGACGGACAGGTTCTTGATCGTCGAGATGGTGTTCTGGAACGTCTTGGAGTTGCATTCTCTGGCCACGAAGATCCGCACGACGAGCGTCAGGTTTTGCGGCGGGATGACTGGCGGCTGCAGTTGACGAGGGCGCTTCTGTGTGGCCTCCTTCTTCTCTTCCGCGTCCTTCGTAGCCTCGGCATCAGGGCCATGCTGGTCTGAGGCTTGACCATGGCCAGGCGTCGTGCCGTGGGTCTCAGCAGACTCTGCCTGCTCAGCCGCGCTCGACGCCTCAGGCACTGCCTCGGCGGCCTTGGTCTCTTCGGCAGTCTCCCTGCGGCGGCGCTCCAGGTTCTGGAGAGGAAGCGTGACGCGGTTCAACAAGTCCGCAAGATGGGTCATCACAAGGGAGCTCTCGGTCACCAAATCGCGGTCCAAGAGCGTTAACAAGGAGTTGATGGCGTATTTGTGAGCCTTGGAGTCCTTGACCTTGCCTTTGCGGCTCAGTGCCCTCTTCAGTGTTGTCCCGACAATCTCGTGCTCGGTCAAGAAAAGCCATGGAATGTGGTGACTTCGCGTGCAGAGATCCACAAGAAGGTCCAAGCACTGCTGAACAATCAGGAGCGGCGACGTTTCCGAGTTTGTCGGAGCGGTGCTGGTGGCGGCCACACCTGTCAACGTCCTCCTGAGGTTTTGTGGAGTTTTCGCTTCAGCCTCCTTGTCTTTGTGCCTCCTCGCCTTCAGCGAGAGCTGTCCAAAGCTTCGCTCGACGGCATTCATATCGGCACTGCCCTCTTGGAGAATTTGCAGAATACTGCTGATGACCTCGAGACGAGTCTGTCGATTCTCGCAAACGTCGGCGAAAACGCTGAACAGATAGTTGCGGATGGACCCCTGCTGGGCAATGAACATCAACCGCAGCAACGTCGCAATCCCGGACTTGTCGAGCATCTGGACTACAGTCCGCCGCTGAACTCTGTTCTCGCCTTGGTCATCCGCATTATTGTTAGCCTCGGGTCTGCCAACACCCGAGGGCGTTCTGCCCGGAGCAGCGATGGAGCGTATGCCGTGATGTTGCGGCATCGGTGCGTGCTGCTGGACCAAAGCTCGAGCCTGAGCGGCCATTTCCGGAGGAAGTTGATCCATTAGGTCCTCACCCTGGTCAATCAACGCTTGCTCACGCAACTCGGGCGGGAAGGTCAGCAAAATGCTGGCGGGATCCATCTCAGTTGCGACCGCAACTGGGCCACCGGCGTGAGCGGCTTGGCGGCGAGCCTCTTCACGCTGTCGACGACGTTCGTCTTGCCTTTCCTGCTGCGCAATCTCCAAACGCAACTCCTCCGGAAGGGCGTCGAGGAACTCTTGGAAGACCTCGGTGGACTCGCCCGTTGCAGCCTCTTCGCGAGCTTGCGACCGCCTCTCGCTCACAGTTTGGGCAATGACTTCTTCCCTGAATTCTTCCGGCAGAGCCGCAAGATAATCAGGATCGATGCCCAGCTCCGTGACATCGACCTCCTCGCCCCTCAGAGTCGTCATGACGCGTGGCTGACCACCGCTTTCGGTCGTCGCGCTGCTCTGAGTACCAGCCTGCCCTGTCCCAGCAGGCTCGACGGCCTCAACACCCTCCATGGCACCACTTGAAACGTCCGGCTCATCATTACTGGGCTGATCGTTGGCGGCAGCCTCGGCGGCAGCCCGCTCGGCCGCTTCTCGCTCTTCGGCCTCCTTCTGCTCCTTGGCGGCTTTTTCCTCGGCGACCTTGGCCTCACGAGCCTTGCGCTCCTCTTCCTCGCGCTTCTTCCGTTCCTCGTCGAGACGCTTCTGAACCTCGGCCTCCTGTGCCTTGATCCTCTTTTCCAGCTCGATGGCTGCGGGCGTAAGCTTGGCGACAATGATGTTGTTGAGCTTGGAAGCATCGGCGGTGATATTCGCTCCAAAAATCATTCTTGCTTCCTCCTGGTAGCGGTCCAATGTCGACTCGGGCGTGAACGAGACTGCTTGGTGTGGCTCCTGAACTGAACCATCTCGGCGTTGTTCATTTCTGGGCCATCGAGTCGCGCCGATTTCGCGGGTCTCGCGCGGGGCACCCGGGCCGGTGATGTGGAAGTGAAACGCTTGGCCACCGGCGTTGCGTCCCATGATTGGAAGAAACTCCATCAGTTCACCCAAGAGGCCCATGGGTCCGTCCATGGCATGTCTGCCTCCAAACACGCCCTCGGGTAGCCTGAGCCCTACCGAATGGCTGTGACCTGGGCGCGAGGTCGCGTCCGATGCATTCTGGTGCCGTCGAAGGAGCGGGTTCACGCCATCCTCTGCGTTTGACTGCGGACCGGCCGAACGATGGCCACGAGAGAAGTAGCTGCGGAAATCTGAATTCAATAATTAGTTGTTGGCAGTCCTTCGCCACTACGTCGGCAGAAGCGTACCTAGATGATCGCGATTCGATCCTGCCATGAAACGAGGGGTGAACGGGCTGCGATTGTCCATCCGCGCCAGTACCGGCCTCCTGTGATTGCCCTCGAGGAAGAAGAGCTGGCGGTGGCGATCGTCTACCTCAGGATTCAAGCCGTCCCATCCCAGGGCGGGCATCGGTGGTGGCTGATCGTCTACTGAATCCGTGTCAGCGATTTCTCTCGGGCGCCAACCAGCGGCCCACGCACGAGGATAGTCATCATCATATATGTATTCCTCGTCTTCCATGTCGTCTTCATCCTCTTCGTCTTCTGCAGAAATGGTTAGCGGAATGTTCGAAAACAGGTAGAGGGAAGGGCAATGGAAGGATGACATACCGCCTTCATCGTGAGCGTCATCGAGGTAGTGATCGTCCAAGCCAAGCTCAGGCTCATATCCACCATCATCCCCCATGATGGCTCGAGCCATGTTATCGAGCAAGCCACCGGGACCCATGTCATGCATGTGAGCTTCATCCACATCTTGCACCTCTCCTTCGTAGTCCAGCTCATCGCCCTCCTGGCCTTCATCATCCTCAACGTCACTCTCGCTTTCCCAGCCTGAATCCCCGTCCTCTTCGATGGGATTGCCATCCTCGTCCACTATCTCCACACGGTCCTCTACATCTTCCATGTCCGCAGAGTCCATCTCGTCGTCGTCGTCGTCGTCGTCGTCGTCGTCACCGGTGTCGTCATCGTCATCGTCATCCATAATGACTTCAACAACACCAGGTTCGCCGTGCAGACCTTCAATGCCACCCATTCCGCTGAGCTCCTCATCATCGTCACTGATGTTGTCTTCCCCGTCGTCGGAAATGTCATCGTCTCCATAGTCCATTTCTTCGTCGTCGTATTCATCGCCGTACATGTCCTCATCATCATCGTCCTCGTCTTCTGACTCGTCATCCTCACCTCGGGGCTCGAGCATGCCCAAGGCAGAGTTGCGGTACAAGTCGGGGGTTTCTTCTCGATCGTCTTCCAAATCCGAGAGAGACGAGGTTGATGCGAACCCCTCATCGCTATTGTCGGCGACGGGGTCAGACGGCAATGAACTTGCAAGAGGCGAGAGGCTCAGGTCCTTGGCAGTCCCGGTCAGGGCCCGAAGGACGCGAAGGATGTATTTGATGGCTCTCTTGACGCCGGGGTAGTTGAGGCTGATTTCTGCAATGGACGATGTCAACTTTTCCACATATCCCTTCTCATACATCAGACGCCGCAGCTGCGCCTGAGAACGGGACTGAACATTGTCGGCATTCCGAGCACCAGAGCTCTGGTCCTTGTCTTTCTCGCCAATCATATGGTTCATGAGCTCCGCAAGGCACTGCATCCGTGTGTACCGAGTTTCTAGTGGCTCATCCGTGAACGGCGCCTTCTCATATGCCTTCAGAATGGTGTCCAAGACAAACTTGCGCACGAAAAGTAGATCAGGCTCGTCGTCGTATGCAAATTTGTCGCGACCGCGCTCCACTGGCCTCTCGTTGGTTTTGGCGACGAGTGCCACGAGAACCTTTTGTGTCAGAGACGAAGTTGCGGCCTTCTTCTTTGACGCAATGCTGTCCGTCGTTCCGTTGAGATTTCCCTGGCACAGCAAATCGTAAATGAGATAGTTCAGGATGCTGGATCTTGGCTTGATCGGAGTTTGCGATGTTGGAGGAGGCGCGCTTCGTTTGAAGTTGATGAATTCCACTTTGGTTCGAATGTAGCTTTGAAGGAGCTCTGCCAAGCAGCTGAGCAAGAAGCATCGATAAACGAATATCGGATGCTCCACGGCCTTGAAAACAGGCTTTGGCTGCTTCTTGTCCTTCTCGTCCGCAGCTGTAGTGGCCCTAATCGAGACGTCTTGACCCTCTGCGCTTGACTCGGGTTCAGCTTTGGTGTCTTTGCCGACAGCGGGAGGCTCCTTGTCATCGACTTCGCGGTAATTGACGAGTTCGCAGAGTAGAAAATGTATGACGCCATCGTGGTTCTCGACGACAGGCCGTTTGCTGTCATGTGGTGCTTTGGGGGCATCGGTCATTTCCTTGTCCGCAGCTTCTGTGGACGGCTTGATGTCTTGGCTCGCAGACCCTTCAGTAGACGGCTTTTCCTCCTCAGACGTCTCTTTGGCAGTGTGTTTCATGGCCAGGGGTTGAGATCGGGTTCCGTCGCTAGTCGTGGGCTGCCACCTCGTGAACTCGAGCAGCTCGTTTGTGACTTCCACGAACAAGTCAGGGGCCCGAAGAGCTACCGGCGCCATGGCTCGCAGATATGTCGTCACATCGGTTGGCCCTCGCTGGTTTCTTTGTATGTTCGGAAAGTCGGCTTGAATCTCCGCGCGCATGACTTGCTTGACAATCTCCTCGTCCTCAATGACGTGACGGAGGACGGTGATGATGTATGCGGTTAACCTCGTTTGCTTCAGGCGCTCGGAGCCTGATCCGGACAGTTGCTTGGCCATCAGGAATAACCTCTGCAAGTTCTTCTTCTCACCCACAAGCTTTGCCGCGTCGCGACGTCTTGTCAAAATCACCAAGACCCTGAGAACAGCAGTTGCCAGCATCTCTTCTTTGCCAATCCGAGGAAGCAGGTCGAGCAAGGAGTCTAGTATCCTCGTGCGTTCTTGGCTGCCAACCAAGGCAGTTCCCATCTGAACGACTGGTGCCGCGACCGGTTCTTCCAGAGACTTTGGGGCTTTCCACTGCGCTGGGACAGGCCGCTCGTCGTGGCACAGGAAGAGCTCCAAAATCAAGAGGATGAACGGAATCCAAGGCGGCAAATCTTCCGTGGAAGAAGACGAGGGTATCTTGAGAAAAGCCACGTACTCGTCGACCTTTTCTCGTAGAGTCTCCATGTTTCGTTCAAAGAACTTCTCGTCCTGAAGCAGCAAGGCCAGAAGGTGGGCGTACGCAGCAATGCATTTACCGTTGCGCTTCTTCTCGTCCTCGTCGAAGGCAAGGGACGACAGCGCAAAAGTGAGCGTCGACCCGACATCTTCTTGGGCCTCGTGGTTCTGTCGTCGAATAACCATGGCGGTGATGAGATCGGATACCTCAATGGCCGTTTCCGGATGGGCTCGAATGACGTCCAAGCACTGTTCGATCAAGCTGTCTCTCAGCTTAGCCCTCAGGTTGTCCAGTCCTTCTTTTGCAGCCACAAGTTGAGCCATGGCATCGCGGCTAGCACCATCCGCTGCTGGAACCGTTGGCGTCGAGGTCGTTGGGCCTGATTGGGACTCCTGTGTTTCGTCCATGTGATCAGAGCGTTCAATCAGATCCCGCAAACCCTCGGCAGTCAAGTCAGGCAGCGCGTCCAACGACATGCGATCAGCATCAGAGAGGGCCGGCCCGTTTGAGGGTTCCGGTTCAACGGTCGAAGACTCTCGATCGTTCGAAGGCGTGCCGGCCCCCACCAATGCGGATGTGTCGGCATCCTCAAGCGGGATCGGATTCCGCAAACCGGCCAGGCCATCTTTGTGGGATCGACAGTACTCGGTGGTGAAAGCACCGTTCCCGTTTGCTCTGTATGCTGCCTCGTGCACTAGCCCTTGGTCGTAGCCAGCATTCAGAGCTTCATTGACAACGCTGCGAAGTGGTTGCCAGTCAAAGCGGACATCCGTTTGCTTGAAGAGGGCAAATGGAGTTGAGTGCTTATTGACACTTTGAAGTTCGTGATCGCCGCTTGAGATGATTTTGAGGATATCCAGTAAGCGTTTGACCGTGGAATCCGGAATCTTGTCGACGAAATTCGAATCCCAGAGTTCCATCACGGCTGGCAACACAGCCGCACGAAATTCGACGACAATTTGCTGATAGACGAGAATGGGGTTGGCCCTGTCTGGATGTCGAGGCTGAAGGTTAAAGTAGTTGGCCGTGTCTGACAAATGCTTCCCATTGATCAAGAAGAAGTACAAGTCGAGCACCTTCTTCAGCCCAAATGCTGCAACCTTGCTTTTTGAGGATTCATCCAGAGCTGTGTCGGCCCCATGGCGAACGGCGACGGTGAAAACCTTGAGCATTGAGTTGAGGACATCCAAGCCGCCCCGTTCCTTGAAAGCAAGAAGAACAGGCATGATGATGTGGACGTTGGAGCGGTCGGTTTGCCTTGTCGACGGGTGGTCAATCAGCATTTCATGAATGGTGTGAAGCATGATGATCCAGTAGTGAAAGTCTTTTGACGTCGGATCCGGCATGGCGACTGAAGGCCCCAGGTGGCCCAAGATGGAGTCAGCGAGAGCCTTGGCAATCTCGAGATGGCGAGATCTCGTGAAAGGTTCGGGGTGGTTTGGCTCGCTGCGGCGCGGCAAAAGCGACTTTCCAAGTGACTGAAACAGGGGGAAGGATGTCGGAATCATTGGATGGAGTAGCACCCGTAGAGTCTCGTAGTTTTGAAAGCGTGCGCTGGACTGCTCCAACTCCGTCGGGCGCGTTGTGGTAGGGCCTCCGGCGTCGCCAGAAGATTCCCAGCCACCTGCGGTGTTCAAAACATCGGGCAGTGACGTATCATCAGTCTCGGCATCACCGTCTCTGGCGCCGCCGTCGCCTAAAGGCGGATGGCGTCTCAAAGACCAGTGCTGGGGGATGACGGACAGCTGTGCCGCCTCCTCGGCTAAAACTCCTCGCAGTAGAGGACCGATTGATTTGACCAACCCGAGGTAATAGTCGTAAACATTGACGGGATAGAACGACAGGTTGTTGTTCCTCGAGGTGAAAAAGCAGTCCGATATGATCTTGATGAAGGTCTGTGCGTTTAACAGGGCTTTGACGAGCCTGGTCCCTGCCAAAACAGACTCAGGCGCCTCTTCATCGGCGCGGACGGGTCCCAGGTCGGGGGTGAGAAACGCGGCAAAGTACGGCGGAAGGGTCTCTGTTTTGGCTGCGAGGGGCTTAAGAACATCGACTGAAGCCTGAGCACGACGTAGCAGCGAAGGCAAGGCGCGAATGGGGGACTGTTCGACCAGTTGCGACACCACCTGATTCAGGACTCGGGATGCAGGAGAGTCCCCGAAGGTGGCCGGGAGACTGGGAGATTCGCAAACGTCGAGAAGGAGTTCGATGCCTCCCTTTCTGATGAAATTGGTCTTCAGAAGAGAATTGGACAAGAAGGCGGCCAGGAAGCTGGCCAAAGCATGGATGTATGGCGTGATCGACTCAGAAGGGGTATCTGATGCATCCTCGTCTCGGATGACCGTCTTCGAGTCGTCCGGCGACACTATGTCAGACATGTCGACATCGGTGTCACCCGGGGCTGCATGTTCTCGCGCTTGAGGCGGGATCTTGCTTGCGTTCACGAGCTTCCCACTCTCAGTAACCGAGAGAAGTTCGCCATTTGAGCCGGTGACTGAGAGTTTTGCGCCCCAGCCGCACGAGCGAGCTTTCTCCAGGCCAAGGAAGCGCACCCTCGCGACCATGTCGATGACGGCATTTGAGATTGATGTCCGCAGAGGAGGGTGGTGACGAGCAAGCTCGTCGAAGCTACCGCCAACGTTGTGAGCGAGCTCACCATCAAAGTCCATGCACTTGACGTGAGCAGGACTCTCGAATATCTCAAAAAAGCTGTCAAAGGCTCGCGACGAGACCACCAGCTTCATCCCAGTGTTGTTGAGAGAGATGGAGTTCAAGACCTGAGGGACAACGTTGATAGCCTCTGGCGAGGCCAAGATCCCCTTGGCTAACTGATTACGTCGACCTTGCCGAAGGACATCTTCTGGCGGAGGGTGCGGTCGTTCATCTTGGTCCACGAGAGATGCGATGGCAGAGCCGTCAGGAGAATCATCATCATCTGCCTCATCTCGCTCTTTCTTCTTCTGATCGTCGCCATGGCCATCTGGAATTGGCCGGCCCGTGATGGCTTCGAGATAGGTCCTGATCATGCCAGATTCGGAGATGGCTACGAAGCTTGTTGGGTCATTGTTGATGAAGTCGCTCAGAATGGTGACCGAGTTTGTCCAGACCACGGAGCCAAAGCTCTTCTTGTCCTCCATGATCTCTCGCAAACTGCGCAGCAAGTCGGACTTTTCAGCCAGGTTTCGCACGAGCCGGTCCGTGTTTCCGTTATAAGTGTACGAGTTGGACATGACGTGATGGATGAACTTGAGCAGCCATTTGAGGGTCTGCTGCTGGTAGTACGGAATTTCGTAGTCAACCGCACTCGACTGCTGATCAGCCTTGATGCCCTTGGATGAGCTCAGCGATGCCTGTGCCTCGCCGACAGCGTCCACAAGCAGTTTCGCGACTGTGTCGAGACCGCTAGCATTGAAGAAGGCAGTGAAAGCATTCTGGTACGTCCAAATGAGACCATCAAGAAAGGCCAGGACCATAGCATGGTGGCGTTGAGAAATCTTGGATCGAAGACTGAGTATCTCGACAAGAATATCCATCAGACCGGCAGACACCATCTCATTTCCGACACGAGTAGTCATGGACAAGTGAAGTGTCAGAGAGAACAAATTGTTCCGCCATTCGTCGGACTCGGTAACCTGTTCGCTGTTGTCGGCGACGCTGTCATCTGCCATGCCTGCAACTGCTTTTCTAATGACGTAGAGCAGAATGCCGTGATTCACGTTGGCGTTGAGGGCGGACAAAACGTCTTGGCACCTGGCGTGGAATCCCGAGACGGCCTCGAGCAAAGCCAGGGCGATGGACTGCAGCCACAAAGGCACGTCGGTCTTGCCATCCGCCGATGGGTGGATAAGTTCGGCGAGCTGGTACACAAGCTGGTATCGTCGAGTCTCATCAATGTCCTGGCGAAGGACCTTCTCCACGAAATTGGACTCGGTATGGATGTACGCCAAGTTGGTTATCGCGAGCAGGCGGATGGCCAGAATCTGCTGGCGCGCCTTGGTCGACTCCACAAGGGCCTTGGCAACACGCAGCCGATGAAACAGTTCGTACTTGGCCGCAGGGAGCATCTCGTCAGGACACCGATGGACGAGCTCGTAAATCGGCGTCGTGGCAACGGCTGATCTTGGAATGTCAACCGACTTTTGACCCGAGGGAGCATGCTCGTCCGCGACAGCCGGGGTGCGGGGTCCGATGGGCGACGAATCATCCACAGCAGCATTTCGCGGTCTTGGGGTATGCTGCTGGTTATTCATGGTCGAACTTCGACGCAGAGGAGTGGGGGTCGACGGCAGAGACGAGCGACCGTGGTCGACTGTTGCATCTGGACTGGACGAAACGTCTTGAGGGTAGTAGAAGACTCTAACATCTGTCCAATCTTTCCAACGCTTGTCGTCCGCCGCCGCCACGGCAACAAGATCGTTGGCGTGCATGGATGTCGCGTTCCTGTTGCCACCAGCCTGCGCCTTGTCCTTGCCCTTGGCAGAGGCAGGGGTCGTGGAAGATGTGTAGTCTGCGAGGCTGATGATCGGGGTCTTAACAAAAGGCAAGGCCAACTGCTGCACTCGATCCAGGTCGATGTTGTAGTGATTTGCCAGCAGAGCCGCGCTGATTTGCCTCGACGAACTCCCGATGCGCTTGACAGAGGCCTGATATCTCTGTGCCAACTCGGAGCCCACCTCCAGCGTGGCGATGATGATGGGTAAAGACGTGCTGTTGAGCAAGTCGTTGAGGTGGGCGCTGCTGGCGTAGATGCTTCGGTTACCACAGTGCTCCAGAAGCATGCGGGTGAATCGCAGGACGGCCTCTACGAGCACTCTGTCGCCATCCAACGGAAAACCAAGATCCACGAGCTCCTTCTCATCCCATTGCCTCTCGTCACTCAAGATTGATTCATTCTTCCGGTTCAGCAATAGGTCCAAACGAAAGTCGCGCGGTTGGGGACCCTCGCGAAGCTGGTAGGATTTGCAGAATTGCTCGAGAATGCCATCGAAGCGGTTCAGGAGGGGGATCCAGTGGTAAAGATCGCCGCGGCCGAACGGCCATCTCGACGGAAAGCTGGCAAGGTGCTTTGGCAAGAGGGGCAAGGCAGTCGTCGAGGTAGTCTGAATGTAATTTCGGAGCCAAGGAGACTATTTGCGTTTCCGGTTAGCCAAGAGAGAGATGCCTTCCAACCCGTGATCACGACGGGATGGTGGGAGGAATCAGCCGGGGAGCCTACCAGAGTCTCCTTATGCCTCGCTTGCATTGTCTTCGTGATTTTGCCCATGGCGAGCGCCGAAGCGGCTTAGCCGCGAAAACGAAAGGAAGCTCCCCCTCCACTGCAGCCGGGCTACCCGCCGGAGCGACAACGTTGCTCGCACAGGCGGAGTGCCCTCTGCCGGACAGCTCCTTGATTTTTATTCGATGCTATGGCCGCACAGTCCTCGGTCGTGGTGGAAGAGCAGAACTTGCGATGGCGGGCGTTGACGTCCCGTAACGCTTTGGGAGGGATGCGGTACCAGGGGGCTCTGACAAAGATGGATCGTCCGGGCCGACCAAACGAGCAGCTAGCCTCAAATACCAGAGACCAGGGCGATGGAGGACGGAAAAGGGCGAGGCAGCTGGGTGGTTGGTGGGGGAAACAGGTCGCCGATGATGCTGGGACACAAAGTTCGAGAACGAGTGCAGGTCGTTCAAGACAAGCTTCCCTGAGCGTCAAATGGGCGCAGCGGGCGATGCCGGCGAGATAGACCTCGTGCAGAACTCACGAGGATGCGTGCGAGCGCGGAGACCTGGCAGTGTGAGGAAGAGGCGGAGATGTGGAGGAGAGAAGATGCGTGACGGGAGGGAAAGAAAGTGCTTTGCTCTGCAGGTCGCACGTTCAGTGCAGGTTCGGGCAGAATGGTCGGGTGGGTCTTTGCGTAATAGGCGGGCGGTGGTGGAGCGGGTGCCTAGGGGTGACAAAGTTCCGGTCAATCCGGCCCACCCACCACAACGCCGCATCAGAGCCCTCTTTTCAACAGCACATTACTTTGCCAAATGAAGGTCAATTATGAAGCCGAAGATATAAATATATAGAGAATTGAGTGGAGATTATTGTTGTTTCGGCTAGTATTTGGTATACCAGCCACGTGCAGCCACAACAGCTTGAAGGCGCCGAGGCATTGATTCTATTAGGTGATTGAGGGTATCCTCTTCAAGGTCTTCCCACGCTCCAACCGCTGCAAAACAGAGCTTCTGCTTGGAGCTATAGTTCTTTGGAAGGTCTGAGAGCTCAGGTGAGTCTCCATAATGCTCTCTTTAAGCAGCTTCCATACGTTTTCTATGGGGTTTAGGTCAGGTGAATATGGCGGCCAGTCGACCAAATCTACCCTGTTTTCTTCGACCCAGCAGCCAAGCCACGCCTGCACAATGGCCGCCGTATGTGTTGAGGCGTTATCTTGGGCGAATGTATAGCCTGGCTCTGCAATTGTAGGTAGGCTTTCTTGTAAGGTCTCGAGCACACGGCGTGCAGTAACGCCACCACGGGCTGAGTCGGGGTCTCCTAGCATTGGTGTAAGAGAAGTCCGCCGATTAAAGGAGAAGCCGCCCCAAAACATCTGGGAATGTCGAGTAGGTTTTCCTCTTGCTTGTACGTTTTTCGGATTTAATCTATCCCCCTTTTTGCAATTAGGAGGATTTTTGAAGTAAGGGTATTAAGACGTACTGAATTGCAAAACCCACTTCTGTCTCTCGCCGTCCCCACGAGCGATTGACGTCTCATCAGAGAAAATCCATGTATGCCAAAAGGAAGCTGGCTTTTGATGGTATTGTAGTGCAAATTGTAGCCTCTTTGCAGCATGTTCTTCTGTTAATTTTGGACGTCGAAGAGCGCGTACATGTTGTATGCCATGGTGTCGAAGGTACCGTGTTAAAGTACGTGTAGAACACTCTAGAGAAGCCTCACGAAGAAGCTGAGCATTCGAGATGAAAGGGTCTTTCGCGATGCATCGAAAGATATATCTTTATGGGTGTCATTGAGCTTTGAGGGTCTCCCAGAGCGCGGCAAAGATTTCGCACTCGACTGTGTCCTGTAACGCCTGACGATTCCGTAGACAGCTCTAGGAGAAACGTCCTCTTTGACGCCGACGAGGGCAGCTGAGAAGCCGCAATCAAAGAGGGTCACAATCTTCGTCCTCTTATGAGGGCTCCAGTGTTTTTTGGGCGTAATTGGGCTCATTTTGAAGGCATGATGGTGATTTGAAGAGGAAGGGTTGGAATGTGGGAGCGCGTACGCGACGCGCTAGCGTCATTGACCGGAACTTTTGTCCCCACTGTAGCAGCGACTAGCTGCCAGTGCTCCATGACCTCACGGTGAATTTGTTAGTGCGGTGGTAGGGGGTGCTTCACGGAGCACTGGTCGTCGACGCTGTGTTTAGGTAAGCTAGTCCCGCACGCAGCCCCCACTATGAGGAGCGGGCGCGCCTCGGGTCAACTTTGACGCGGCTGCATGCCACTCCCACAGCTGCATGCTCAACTCCGCGCATACCTCGTGCAGGTTCCGACTTTGTGCCTTCGAGTGCTGTACAGAGTACGTACAGTGCCTATGTTCGCGAGGACGGATTCTGCGTCTAATCCGAGCAGCAACCGAGACCTTTGGCTGCAAGTGCCACGTTGCTGCTCAACTACCATACAGTCCGTACTTTGCACGCAAGACCAAATATTTACCACCCGTGGCTTCCGCCGTTTCCACGCCTCGAGCATGCTTGCGTGACGTTGATTTTCGCCGCCTACATGTAGCATGCATAGTCCGTCGGCGGAGTTTTCGCGGGTTGACGCCTACCGGGGCGCTTTTGAGTTATGATCCGTGAATCAAGGACGGATACAAGCCGCGTTCCAATAAGTTCAGGAGCAAGTCTTCTGGATGACGCGCTGAAGAGAACTGATACTAATAGACCAGGCGGCGAAAGGGGGGGGGGGGGGGGTAGTTACACACAGCTCCCCATCTAACTAGGTACCTAGGTACCTGAGAGCGAACCCAAGTCAGGAAGTACCCAGCACCGGTTTCGCCGCATGCCTGATATCCACCACAGTACGTCTGCGAGGTGAAACGACGGCCGCTGATAATAAGCGCATCCGGGCTGCTGTAAACCGGCATTATCATAATCCTTGGTGGCGTCGAATTGGGTTCTCGATGTCACGAAGCTATACAACGTTGTGCTTTTGCCAAAGGGTCCTCTTCTAGCGCCGCCAGTCGTCCGAACATTGCCAGAAGGACGGCCTTCGCATTGATCGACACGGATTTTCCAGGCATTAATTCCGCGAGGCTGAGCAGAAACGGTTTGCTTAAATGCTTGGTAGAGGCTACGATTAGGCGGCCTCTCCCACGCTTATTTCCGAAGGATAAAGCATGTTCCTTGAGTGCGTCGACGTTCCACTGCTATCCGTACTCTTACTTTAAATAGATGCAGCCCGCGCGGAGCGTACAGTACAGTGCAGCACGAAACAGTGTGAAATCTGGGTTCACTACACGGGCCATCATGAGACGCGGACTGAGCAGGGCAGAGTCTGGTTGTGGAGGAACACGCATTGTTCCATCAGCCCGTGGGACGAATAGGAGCGACAACCGTTGTCAAAGTGCATTCCTCGCGCGCCGGGCCAAAAAAAAGGGGGTCGAGGGAGAAGTCGGTTATGTACAAGCTTGGCTGGACAGTGGCGGCAATGGCCCCTGAGCCCCCTGACATGAGCAGACGGTCTCCTTGCCGAAGACGACGAGGGGGGTTGTTTTTGTCTCGTGCAGCCTGCACCTCAAGCTGGCTTCAAAAGACCAGATAATCAGTGCAGTACATGTACAAGTAGGTACTGCGAGGCAGGGACGCAAGGCTGCGCCTCGGCGAGGGTGGCCCCTGGCGGTGCCCTACGGGTGAGAGGAACGGCGCAGACGCTGCATCACGCAGGGCAGTGCTCGCCTGGGTGGCAGTAGGCGCCTCCCCAAGTACATACTGTGCAAAACTACCTTACTGCCTCGGCACTAGTAGATCGCTCCAAGGCATGTTGATGCCTCGAATACAGTAGGAAATAGAGCCTCTCATTCTTGATACTGTGCTGGAATCTACTGGTAGGGCTGCTGAGGCAAGCACCTGCTCTCGCGGGCAGGTGCCTTTCACCAGTAAAGTGCCGCCTCGCCACACGTAGCACGGAGTGTTGTTGCCGGACAGCCAGCCAACGCGCCACTGTGGGTACGTACCTGGTGCCGCTGGAACCCCACCCAACACCCGTTGTTTCGCGGTTCCTGGTGGCCAGCGGCAAACAAAGTCCCTCTCCATTGTAAATAATGAACAAACGTCAAAAATAACCTCTCATGCTGCGTCGAGGCCCACGGCGCGTGCCCCTAATCACAGATCGTCTCGTCGTCACGAACAGCAGACTCGACGCCGGTTCCCGCCCGCCACCAGCCCCTCTTCGCGCCCTCCCTCGAGAACCATCTGACAGAGGCCCCAAGGCGACGAGCAACTCGATTGTGCTCAGCACCGGCATCCTTTTCCAACCACAGACACGCTCGATATCGGCATCCCACCATCCACAATAATCGAGAGCCTCCCTTCCTCCTCTAGTCACGACCGCTCTGGCGCCACGAGGCTCCCCTCGTTGATGGCTGCCGCCCGAGGTCATCCAACTTCACACCATCTTTGAAGCCCTGCGAGATATCGAGGGAGCAATGTCGCAGCAGGGCGACGACGCCGTGTCGCTGGCGCAAGAGCCCCAGGACAACAACGGCGAGCTGAGACTGTCGACTGCAGACGAGGACATGGTACGTTCACAACTCGTCGCTCCCCCACCCTTTCTTGACTGGACGCCGCAGTTGCACGACAGCCAGCGCCTCGGAACGTGTCCCTGTAGCGCTGCAAATTGAATGCTGACGAGGCAGGCTGTCGAGGAGCACGACTCGTTTGAAGATGCCGTCGACGCCGTGTCCGTCCGCTCCCTGACCAAAAGAGCCGTCTCCGTTACCGTCTCCAAGAGCCAAGTCCCCGGCGAAACGGACAGCACAGAAACACACACCATCGAGGCCGACCCGCCAAGCCCGGCCGAGTCCCAGGCCAAGCGCCAGTCCCGCCGTCCATCGTCGCCGCCCTCCAGCCGCATATCAGACGCCTCGAATCTCGACAATGTCAACCTGGACGACGAAGCAGCAGACAAGACTCAAGGTAACCGTCTCTCTGCCGGCCGCCCACGTGGAACTGCCCCTTTGCCGAACCTGGAAGCTCATGTTCCCGCAGAGCCCCAGAGTCCTGCCGACAAAGACCACCAGCCCGGCAAGAAGCTATCTCTAAATAGCATCACCGGAGCCCTCCCTTCCATGCCCTGGTCCCCTCCAGCAGAATCGCCCTCAAAGAGCTCCGCGCCGTCAATGGCCGCAATCGCCTCCCCGCCACCACCAGCAGCCCATCCTCCCCCACCGACCCGAAAGCTCACCAGTCCCTTTTCGTGGCTATCTCGAAATACCTCAAGCACTAAGGATAGGGACAGCCAGTCATCGCCCCCGACGCAGTCCTCCCCCCGAAGGAACACGGCGAGCTCTGTTGCAACCATGACAAGCAATCCGGAAATGATGTTGAGCAGACTCGAGGAGGAGAACGAGGACGGCGCCAATGGTTCGAATCGCGAGAGCCTCAAAGACCGATTCAAGGCATTACGGATGCAGGAGGAAGTCAGCACATTGCCTCTGGGAGGAGACAGTGACAAAGCCAGCGATGCTCTGGGCCTCGTCAATCAAAGCGAAGAAGTCCCGGTACCCCTTCCTTCGCCAGTCCCCGGCCGCAACGATGATCTGGCTCCGGGCACGGTATCGGGTATCAAGGCTGGTCCGTCAGCGATGCCGGATACTCGCGTCGACTGGGACCTATGGCAATCCGTTGTTTACGAGGGTCCAGCAGCAGTGGCACGGACGAGCGCTGAAGAACTGAACAAGGCAATTGCGATCGGTATCCCGAACGCTATTCGTGGAGTCATTTGGCAAGTTCTGGCCCGAAGCAACAACGAGGGTCTCGAGTCAGTTTACCAAGAGCTTGTCGCCCGAGGCACAGACAAGCACAAGGACCGGCACAGCAACAGCACGACGGCAAGCACCATCAGCAATGGCAGCCTCAGCACACAGAGCGGTGACGCGGTAGTTTCCTCGGCATCGTCTGTACACTCGGAACAGTCGGGCACAAACGGGAGCTCGTCCCCGAAGGTGGACAAAAGCGCAGAGGTCGGGGCAAAGGAGCAAGCGACCGCAGCCGCAGAGCGAAAAAAAAAGGACAAGGAGGCCGCCGCGGCGCTGCAGAAGCTGGAGAAGACAATACGTCGCGATCTTGGCGCTCGCACGAGCTACTCCAAGTATGCGGCCGCTGCCGGGCTTCAAGAGGGCCTATTTGGCGTATGCAAAGCCTATGCTCTGTACGACGACGCCGTCGGCTACGCCCAAGGCATGAACTTCCTAATCATGCCATTGCTGTTCAATGTGAGTGTCGATGTCGAGCCAATTGGCCCAGATGCTGACCTAACCACAGATGCCGGAGCAAGAGGCTTTCTGTCTCCTCGTTCGTCTAATGAATCACTATCACTTGCGCGACCTGTTTGTTCAGGACATGCCCGGACTACACATGCATTTGTATCAGTTTGAACGCCTCTTGGAAGACATTGAGCCTGCGCTGTACTGCCATCTGCATCGACGGGGTATTTCGCCGCATCTATACGCCACGCAGTGGTTTCTGACGCTCTTCGCGTATCGCTTCCCGCTGCAGCTGGTGCTTCGCATATACGATCTGATTCTTTCTGAGGGCCTATCGGCAGTCCTTCGGTTCGGACTTGTTCTCATGCAAAAGAACGCTGCGACGCTACTTGGTATCTCTGATATGCAGCAGCTCACGACTCATCTCAAGGACAAGCTCTTCGACGTGTACATCGACAAGGATCCGAGTCAGGGGAGTCTCCTCGAGAATGGCTTCTTCGGCAGCTCGAGTTCAAGCCAGGACAAGGAGGTGTATAGGGCAGACCAGTTCGTCCGAGACGCATGTGAAGTCAAAATGACACCCGAGACCCTGAAAATATACACCGCTGAGTGGGAGGAGAAAACGAGGGCCGAGCGCGATCGGGAGATGGAGCTACAGGAGCTTCGGGCTGCCAATCAAGGCTATGCCGTCAAAGTCCGAAAGCTCGAGGAGCGGGTCGAGGTTTGCGACCGCGAGCAAGCCGCCCTGGCCACGGAACTAGTCCATACCAAGGTCAGCAACGAAGAGCTCCGGGACGAGAACGAGAGCCTCAAGGGCCAAGTTCGCGAGCTCAAGGTGGTGATTGAGAAGCAGCCGGCCGAGATCGAGGAGTCGTGGAAACTGGAGAGGGACGACTTGATGAAACGAAACGAAAACGTTCACGTTGAGAATCAGAAGCTGGAAAAAGAGATGGCGGAATTGGAAGAAGAACTGGTCCAAACCAAGATGCAGTACGCCGAGGTAAGACGAGCTGGATGCACATTTATCAGACCTTGGGCCAATGCTAACTCTGCTCGCAGATCAACTCCCAACACGAGACGCTTACTCGTAAATGGTCTGATCTCAGGCGCCAATTTGCGTAACATTGCAGATAAATCCCTTCACGTCTTGGGCCACGCAGAAAGTAACTGACTTGTACTCCTATCGAAACATTCGCGTACAAATTATTCCATTGGGGCCCTTTGCCGATTTCTTCTCTCCATGTTTCATTCTCCCCCTCCTGATCCAAGACTTGGGTTAGCTGTATGATCTAGCGCAGCATGTTCTGGGTGGTGGGCTTTGACGGCGGACAGAAGGCGGGCTGTTGCGCGACCAGGGGAAGTTTAAACGTGGGAAAGAAGAATGAAATGACGTACAGGTGTATGTCTGGTGTCTTGGAAGAAGATTGAATCCGCAAAACAAAAGGACTTGTTTTCACGGCGCGGTGACGTGTTAGATGCCTGCCTGTGCCGCTTGCTTTGGCGAGACATTGCGCAAAGAAGTCAACGGATCGCCCAAGCCAGATAAAATGCCATGGTCACGAATCCTCATTGTATGAGATTTATTTTGCAATTCCCTGGGGCCCCATTCCGACGTGAAGCTCTTGATGCCCTGAACTAAGACAAGACCACGAGAAAACCGTATAACACCATGCCGAGAAGGCCGACAACCACCGACCACCCTGCCTCCGCTTACTTGTGCAGCTTGCGCTGGTAGAATGCAAGTTCCTCGCCCTCCAGGATGTAGCCATCGCAGCGGCCCGACTGGCCGGGACGGCTGGCGATGATGGCGAACAGACGACCGGCCTCGAATTGTTTCTCGAGGGCGGCGTCGACCTTGCCCGAAGCGGCGTGTCTGGCAGCCTGTTTTTTCTCGACCGACTTGCTCTTCTTGACCTCCTCCTCGACCTTGCCCTCCTTGACAGCCTGGGCCTTTTGACGTCTGCGGCCGATGCTCTGGCCGTAGTGGGCCTCGAACCACTGACGGAAGGGAGCGGCGTCGACTTGGACGACGGCGCTGCGGGTCAGGGTGTTGGTTCGGACAAGCTCGTTGTTGGAAGGGTGGTAGGCGACGGCAATGACACGGGTCTTGCGCGTGCAGCCCTCGGAGGCCCAGGCGAAGTTGCCCGAGTCGAGGCGGAGGGCGCGGTACTTGTGGTTGCCGCCGCGGGTGCGAACAGTGTGGATGCGCTTGGCGCCAATACGGGTATTGGCGCCCTGGCGACCAGCTTCGAAAGCGCGCTTCTTCCCTGTTGCAGAAGGTCAGAACGTATGTCCCAAAGAAGGAAGCATACGGGCTTTCGAGTTGTTACGCACGGTAGAAGGCGCGCTTGGCACCGGAGGCGGAGCGCTTGTGGCGGGAGTCGCGCGAGATACCCATGATTGCGAGCTCTGGAGGAGAGGAACAGGTCAGCGTTTATTTCGCACGACGAGGAGTCGTCGATGGGGGCAGGCGGGCAGTTGGGGAGACGGGGCGGTCCGGCAATGAGAGGGCCAACTCCAATCCGGCAGCCCGTGAACGAAATCGCAATGGATCGAAATCGTCCGTAATCGAGCGTGATGATTGGGAGGCCATCATGGCAGCCATAGTGTTCTCGTGCGGCACCTCGGGGTTTCTTACCTGATGAAGTCGGGGATCACCAGTGCAATCGAGTTGGCGGGTTGTGAAGGGGAGTGAAACTTTACGCTGCAGCAAAGCAGAGCCGAATTGCAACGAAAATTGTGGTTGTGGGCATGGGGCATTCGCTAGCTCGGGGTACGTACCTTTGCTCAGGGCTTCACGGTTCGGGAGGTTTTTCCGACCGACCGACGGAGTTCGCGGAACCATCTTACTAAGCAGATGCTCTCTTGTCTCTACTTTGTGCTGCCAAGCGCAGTCAATCACCGTCGCCAAAAAACCGAGTTCATGTTTGGATTCTCTATTCTACATTGCATGCTCTCATGCGCTCACTATCTGGTGACGTGACTGCCTTCTTTATGTTCTTTTTATTACATCTTTCACCTCAGCACCGACACTCCATGCAAAGGTCCGTTGGCGGTCCCCCCCCGCGACTCTCTCTGGGCCCGCGGTGATGGCCTCAAAAACTCCAGAAAGCTCCAATTATCCTGCGAAAGGAGAAAATCTCGAACGCTCATTTGATCGACCAAGCAAACCACCGTTGCCCGGCGTTTATCCTGTGCCAATTTCTTGGGCTGCTTTAGTTCGTCCCATGTTAGCGAACCCTTCTCCCGAGCGATGGAAATGCGAAACTTCTTCACTGATTGCCTTGCTCCGTCGACATCCTTTTGGCTGAGCTGCTCTGTTCATTCCAAAAACGACGCACAAAACTGCGGACTGTGGTTTGTGAATCTTCGGGCAGCTCGCGGGACCTCGGCTTAGACTCGGTGTCCTCGGCAGGCAAGGTCTTCGCGTCATTGTCTTCTCCCGCAGTCGACATATCGGGGGGAGAAACAGGCATGACGAATGCTCGATTGGGGCTCACGGCTTTTGCCTGCCAGCGTATGGTGCCATCGGGATGGAACACATCCGCATTCCCTGCTGCCAAAAGTCTCGGATCGATGGCATTCAGACGAGGCAAAGGCAAGCAACGGCGATATCTCCCTGCTCGTCTCTCGCCCTCTTCCTTCAGCTCGGTCAGGGACGGCCAGTCAACGCGGGCGTCGCTCTCTCCAGCAAGGTCTTCGCTGAAGCAGTTATCCGAGGCGAAAACAGGCGATGCTCCGTCTTGGAATCGCCTCCCCCAAAGCAGCTTGTCAATCCCTGTGCCAGTCCATTTCGACCCCATCTGCAAGAGGTCTTTCCTGATCTCCAGCTCTGCTATTCGTCTCCTGACTATTCGCGTCAACTGCTTCCTATTCTCCTCGGCCGTTTCTGCTTTAAAGGCTGCCAGCTCTGTCATGCTTTGCGGAATGCAGGGCGATCTTTCCGCCCCTATGTGCCGTAGGTTGTTCATCATCTTCGAAAAGGCCTGGCGTTCCTTCATTTCCTCGCTCACCCACCTCTTCGAACTTGTCCATGATCCCGGCTCAAAAGCGGCGCGTGTGCGAGACGACTGAGCCTCGGCTTCGGATGCTCTGGCTACTTCTCGACAAGCGGCCGTCTCGGCAGAAATCACTCGAGCATCAAAGTCTTGGGAAGATACGTCGCCGAGCTTGTGGTCATTTGCAGAAGATGCATCGTGTGGTTGCGGCGCATCAGGCGGCCCTGGTGAGGCAATGTGGTGTCGAGGTATTACTGCTTTTTGCACGAAGCCCAGCTCAACATCTCGAGGGTAGAGCGTGCCACGACTTTGGAGTTCATCATCCGTCCGTTCACGACTGTGATTCGGCGCAAGTGTTTCGAAATTTCTCAAATGTCGACGAAACGTGTCTTGTTGGTTCTGCTTCGTCGGCGGAAATGGGTTCTGATGGTCGTCAACTCCTTTCTGCGCCATGGGCTTACCATGCAGGGGCACTGATGTATCTGCCAAGGCAGCGCGGTCGCGATCCACCGATGCCACAGATGACACCTGCATCGGGCTATGTGGAGACATTCCCGGTGCCGAGTTCTCCATCGGGGGAGCTGACGCCAAGGCGGTCGAAATCGGGGCTGAAGATTGAAGTGCCGGTCGGGGGTCATTTCGCGGCTGGACTTGCTGCAGCGGGTGTTCATGGGAGCTCTGCAGCTCGCTGCCCGGGTCGAGACGGTTCTGCGAAGGGATTACTTCATTCCGGTTATCGCCGAGCTGAAATAGGTTGACATCCTGCTGCAGCCGTTGGCGGCGCGTCCTCCCCGAGCGCGAGAGTCGGCAAGTCGACCGGTCTCGCTGGCTCCAACTCTGCAGATCCGAGCCTGCTCTGGCTATGGAGGGCTGGAGCGGAGGCCAGTCCTCGTCCGTCAAGTCCAAAGAAGAAGGCACATGCTGGGCGCTGGGGATATCGTAGGTGTCGGGGCCGGGCTGAGGAGGCACCAACGTCCCTGGATATGGCATCTGCTGCGGTCCCGACGCTGCTAAATCTTGCCCATATGCCGGCCGAGGCGGGGGTTGAGGGCTTCGAGCTTCGACTTGCTCCGCCAGCGTATAGCCACGCCGGAGCGCCGACGTCGCCACTCCCATTCGCACTGTTGAGCTGTCGGCCTCTTGGTTATCTGGAAAGAATTGATCATGGTGTTCGAAGAGCCCAAGGTGTTCCATGCCGGGATAATACTGGTGCACGGCAGGGGTCCATTGTGTCACGGTGCTGTGACTCTGTGCCAGGCTCTCTGTTGTGTACGAGCTGCCCGAGTCCGCTTCGCCAACCCCTAAAGCGGGTCGGAGATTGAGGCCGACTTGGGACGGGACAGGACGTGTGTTTCTCCCGTTGCTCTCTGCCATCAGACTTGGAGCGTCATCTGGGACCTCGATGCCGAAGCTCTGATTCGTGAGGTTGAAGGGCGCTTCCGGGAAGCGGTGAGCAGCTTCTTGCCAGTCAGGATGTTTGATGAGAGGATAGTGCTGATTCCAAGGGTCATTTGGTGCGCCCTGGCCGCCGACACCATCTGGAAACAGCGCGTTTCCGTCCTGTGCAATAGCGAGGTGGTAAGGATGTGCAAGATGCGGCCGAAAGAGTTGGCCGGTCGATGCCGAGCCAATGGATTCTTGCTTAAAACGGTACACGGAAGAGGGTGCCAGATGACGAGTCTCCTCGGCCTGTTGTTGAGAAGATTGTGTTGCGAGCTGCGACATTCTGGTCTTGGGGCTCGTTAACGGAGTGAACTCGGTCGCGAGGGGATTCATGGCTGACCCTCGGTGCAGCAGCAGCTCTTGGGAGCTGAGTAACGAAAGCAGTGACGGTCCCAGAGGGACGAGAGCGGGCGGAGCGGGACTCTCCGATGGAAGCCAGGTGCAAACACTGAGGCGAGGGTGACTGGCAAACCAGGCTCCCAACCCGCGGCATCACGTGTGGCGGCGATGAGGCGAAGACAAGAGGACGAAGCAATGTCCCGCACAGCGCAGAAGATCGGTGAGCACGGCCCTCGGTCAACGACGACGACGTGCGGTATGCACAGCGTACCGTGGACGGATAGCGGCGTCGGGATGAGAGCTTGGTGGGAGATTGGGGCGGCGATGGCTCAGGGCGAAATTTTCACCAGCCAAGCACGTGTTGACCTTGGCTGAGGTGCGAGAAACCAAGCGAGAGTGACGCACGTTGCACGGGGGGTAAGAGAAGAGAGATGGGCATCGGATGAAAATTGACGAGGCGCTCCAAGGAACAGAGACGGCTGCGGGGGCTCGAAACCGCCAAAGACAGTCTTCTGGTGTTGAGCCAGGAGGAAAGTGAGCCAAGTTGAATCACAGCTTTGGAGTCTGAAGTGATGGGAAAGCATGGCTTGGGAAGAGAGCCGACGAGTGAAGCCCTGGTCGCTGCCCGGCAACGGGGAGGGTGCTCTGGGCCACGGCCAGGGACCAAAGCCGCAGCTTTCCGGCCACTGCCTAGGATGATTTTATAAAAGGCCAAGATCCTGCGATTGTGTCGCAGGAGAAAATATGGGACAGCCAAACAGATGCGTATATCCTCGTTGTCGCATCGCAGAGGCATGATGTGCGCCGAGCAATGGCTTCGACAGGCTCTAGGCATGAGCAACTCAGATACAGAGGATTACTGTTTATTGAGGCTAATACAGCGCACACAACACTCGTCCATTGCTGGAGAAGCGCCGTCGACGGAGGTTGACAGAAGCCGGTTGGTCAAATGTGTTTGGACAGTGCATGGTGTATTGAGCAGAGGCTAAGGGAAGTTGTCGAATGCTGTAGCCCGTAACATGGAACCAGCTATCACGGCCTTTTACCCGACGGGGGAGGAAGCTGTTACCGGTGCTGTGCAGATAGCTTGCGTCAAGGTTGCACGGGTATGTTCTGCAAGAGACATGATGCGGCACAAGGTGCTGTGTTTGCCAAACGTCACTACCGAACGGCGCCGACTTTGGACGATGGACATGTCCACGAGAGTTAGGCTCGGCCGGATTCTAACCTGACAGTATAAGGTGCTGTGCCCAAGTCAATGTCTTTGGGCAGTCTGATTATCATAGTTTATTCGTGCCGATGTATTTCCACCAGAAGACAGCCCGTTGATCTATCGGATCTCGACCTAGATACCGCATCCATGTCGAGCGGCGACTCGTGCCTTGGTCATGGCACGAGAACACGCCCATAAGCAGAGCACCTTGTTCGTTTACGGAAACTGACAAAAGACTCACTCATATCTGGGCATGCACCGAGCAGCCTTGACAAGCAAATGCAGAGCAGCGACCCACTACAAGGCAGTACAGGGCATGCGCGTGAGGCAAAACACTGAGCTGGAATGGCTGTAATTCGAGTGGGCTCTTGATAAGATGGCATCACAATTCCACTATGCCTCGGCTCTAGAGAGTTGCGCCGAGAGGTATATTCTGCTTGTTATATGCTCTATCTGGAGAATTGCGGCAAACAGAACCCGAAAGTCAAATGGAAAGAAAGGAGTGTTAATCACTATTTGGCGTTTGACGGTTAAGTGATATATGTCTGTTTATAGCAGCCAGGTGTTACTTGACCCGTAGGAGAAACAGCCACGAGTTGGACAAGCAGAGTCAATGAAGCAGACTGGGTGGTGGGCTGGTCCAAGTCACTGCCCTCTGATATTACCTATACAGAGCTCGCGGCAGCGATTTCCAGCAAGACTCCATAAGAGGGTTTATATGCCTGGGGATTCTATGGCTTATATACTGCACTGTTCACTCTCGTTCTAAGCGAGCTGCAATACTGGCACTGGATAGCCGGGCCGGGGCATGCGGCGCTCGGTATAATCCCTCCCAAGGCATCGTACGAGACTAGGCATAGGCAGTACTTCGTGCTACTCATATGAGACTGGTAGGGTGGTTGCTCGATGACTTGAAGCCATCACAACACGACCAAGCCTCAGCAGCTACACAGCTGGCCAGGCAGGCGTCGAGATATATGTAAAGGGGCCCGGCTCGACGCGAAACATTGATTCGCAAACAACTAACACAGCCACAGCAACCGTCTACAGTTGCTTTTAGGTGTTGCACGTCGCCACAAAATGCTGCTGTTGTCCTCACTTTTCTCGTCGGCCTCGCCGTGGCCAGCCCAGGAGGAACAGCCAGTCAAGGCCGTTGGGCATATTGAATGGATCCGTCTCCTGCTGCCGTACCGATGAAGCTCATGCAGCCGGCAGAGGACTCGATGGCCCGAGATGGAGGAGACTGGAGGAATAAGCACGGCGGCCGGTTGCAATGTGTTGGTTCTAAGCCGACGTGCATACCAAGTACGGAGTGCGCAGTAAAGGTGCCACGTGATGCTACCTGGTACGACATGCTGCTTAATTATCGCAGAGCCGTATTTCCCCCGACGGCTAAGTTGGAGGGCGGGCGAGGGCGCAAAAAGTCAATCCATCGACGCCAGACAACCAACATTGCCCTAATCCAGTGCTCCTCAAGCCCGCCACAATGGCTCCAACGGTGACGCTCAAGCTGACCAACCGCTGTATGCCCGCCCCCCCGCCTCCACAGCCTCGAGGCTCTGCTGCTGGATGGGCGTGCTGATTGACGACTCACCCGCAGCCCCCTCGCGGCCCGTCGCCCGTCTGCCCGCCTCCATCGACGTCCCCGCCGATGCCACCGTCGAGGACGTCAAGGTGCTCATCGCGCGCGAGGCCCGGCTCGGCGACCACAACCGCGTCGGCCTCTGCGACCCGGCCACCAAGAAGACGCTCAAGGACCGCAAGGCGCGCATCGCCCGTGAGCCCGCCGCCGCCGCCGAGGTGCTCGTCAAGGACCTCGGCCCCCAGGTCGCCTGGCGCACCGTCTTCCTCGTCGAGTACCTGGGCCCGCTGCTCGTCCACGCCGCCTTTGTCGTCGCCCGGCCCTACATCTACGCCGGCGCCCGCGGCCCCATGTCGTCGACGCAGTGGCTCACCTTTGCCATGATCATGGCCCACTTCGCCAAGCGCGAGCTCGAGACGCTCTTTGTCCACAAGTTCTCGGCCGCCACCATGCCCGTCTTCAACATTGCCAAGAACAGCTTCTTCTACTGGGCCCTGTCCGGCCTGCTGTGCGCCTACTCCGTCTACAGCCCGCGCTCGCTCGCCGCCACGGCCCACGTCCCCGTCGTAGACGCCGTCGGCACCGCCGTCTACCTCTTCGGCGAGGTGGGCAACGCCCTGGTCCACCTGTATCTGTCGTCGCTGCGCTCCGCCGGCGGCACCGAGCGCAAGATCCCCGCCGGCTACGGCTTCGCCCTCGTCACCTGCCCCAACTACATGTACGAGATCCTGTCGTGGGTCGGCATCGTCATCGCCAGCCGCGACTGGGCCGTCGCCCTCTTCATCTCCGTCGGCGTCGTCCAGATGTACACCTGGGCCCGCGGCAAAGAGAGCGCCTACCGCAAGGAGTTTGGCGACAAGTACAAGAAGAAGCGTTTTGTGCTCTTGCCAGGTCTCCTGTAGCTGCGTGTAGATGCATGTTGGAGAGGCCGTCACAGGATGCTAGACGACAGGGTCCTGGGTTTGGTTTGTCTATAGCTTGAGCGACTCGGATTGAAACGGTGGATGAGACTTGGAGAGATGCAACAAGATGAAAGGTAATGTAAATCAAAATAGTACACAACAAGTCAGTTCGCTAGATACAGTGGCATCTCCAAAACCCCGGCCGTTATTCGTATGCGCGTGTGTGTCGTGATGCTCGCTCCGTCATGGGGCCGCCTGTCCTCGCCGCCCTTCATGCCTCCCCAAGCTGCCGCCCGTCGACGTCCTTGAGCGACTCGGTTGAGAGCGAGGCCGTCTCGGAGCCCTTTGCTCGCCCGGAGCCCGTGCTCGAGTCGGGCTCCAGCAGGCTCCGGCTGGCCCCGGACGACGCGCTGCGCGTCCCGTCCGCGTCGACGCCGCCCTCGACGTCGTGGCCGTAAGCCTTGCCCTGCTGGGCGCCGTCGGCCTCGTCCTTGTCCAAATCCATGACGTCTTCTCCGCCTCCATCATCATCATCTTCTTCTTCCTCATCATCATCTTCCCTCCCGCACTCGCTGCAGCTACAGCTCCCACTACCACTGTCACCACCACCATTCGCCAGCCGAACCGTCTCCTCGAGGACCAAGAAGCCGCGCTCGAGCACCTCAGCCCAGTTCTGCACGTTGCCCAGCTCCTTGACCTTCTTGGCCGCCGCGTCGGCCTCGCGCGCCAGCTTCTCCCGCTCGCGCCGCAGCGCCTCGGTCGCCCGCGCCACCTCGCGCTCCTGCCGCTCCAGCCCGGCCGCCCCCTCGTGCAGCATCGCCGCGCGGCTCTGCAGCTCCGCGTCGAGCATGTTGCTCATCGACGCCACCACCGCCGCCCGCGCCTCCCCGACCTGCCGCTGCGTCTCCGCCGACGGCAGCGTCGGCTGGAGCTGCCCGGGCTCCGTGTTCGCTGTCGTCGTCGTCGGGTGCGCGTGCACGGCTTGCGCGCTCGCCGTCGCCGTCGTGACGCCGGCCGCGCATTTGGGGGGAGATGACGACGCCCACGGCTTGGCCGCTTGCCGAGCCGAGCTGAAACGGCCGGGCGCCGGCGGGTCCGTCGAGGATGCTGACGACGACATTGGCCCTTTGCCTTGGCCTTCTCCCTCTCCTTGGCCTTGCTGCTTTGAGCGCAATTTTTCGACCGGCGTAGGTTGTAAGCGACTGGAGACAAGAACTCTCTCCAGGTCTGCGAGATGCCTCTGGGTGGCGTGCTGTGCTCTGCGATGACCGGATTGACGCGGGGCTTTCCGGCTTGATCGCAGGGTGGGGTGCGTGAGTGCGATGATGCTATTGATAAAAGTCTCGACTGCGCTACAGAGTACACGCAGAAAGCCCCCTCGTGCAGAGGCCACCGTCAGACTCTCGCGAGCAATGTACACAAAGTCCGTCTACAGAGAAGCTACTCGTTGAGGCAGCTCCTAAGCATTTAAGCATCAGCTCAGCCGACATAATGATATCATCTTAGCCACGTCTCGTTAGTAGTACATGTACACGTTGTCAGATGCCCTTTATCGGCCTCTAAATCCATAATCTTTGGTCAGATGCCCTCGTGTGCTCGTCTTCAATCATGCCGAGGCGCGTCTTCTCTCTCGTTGCCTCAAGTCTGGCGCCGCGCCCAAACGTCATTACCTAGCAGGCCAAATGCGCAGATCCCGCTCCATTTTCCATTATGCATGTCCACCCGACTTTGCCGTCGAGGCCAACGAGAGGGTCAAAACAAAGGGCCTCTCGAACTCCGGTGCTATGCGAGAAAAACGAGTGTCTACCGACTGTTCCCCGACGTCAAGTCCACCACCTGCCCCTCCAGACAAGTAGCAGCGAAACGATTCGGGCGGGGCGGTTCCCGTGGCTATGCAAGAAGCTGCATCACTTGTCTCATTGCGGTGAAAATCCAAGGCGAAAACTCAAATCATGGCTGGCTATATGGCCACTTTTCCGCCGTTGATGCGTGGCGGTAGGAGCCCCAGGCCGCTGTTGGGGCTGAAAGGGGCCGAGGACGCCGACGTGTTGCCGTCCGAAGACATGGACGAGATGGACGACAACGAATTGAAGCCCGAATGGCCCCGTGTCATGGTCCCGGTGCGGGACATGGAGATGCCCGGGTTTGCAATGAGCGCGTCTGCCCTATCAAACACATTACCATGAAACGCCGCCGCAAAGGATGCGCTGTGGGGTGTCGTCGACACCGTGGCTTGCATCGCGGGTCCCAAGGCTGCGCTCTGGGGCGTTATTGGAACCTGCGCCTGCGTCGGCGACATGATATGGGAGGCATAAGAGGCTGCCGGCATGCTTCCGGAGCTCCAGCTGGGTCGAAGCAGATGGTGCCACGGAGAGTGTACAATGGTGCTGCTCGTCTCCTTCATGCTCTGCTGGATCGGCCTCAGACGGATTCTGGTGTCGGGCGGCAGGGGAATCGTGTTGATGGCCTCTATGATTGTGCCCGCCAAGGTGGTCCAGGAGGCAACAAAGTTGCTGCATTGATCCCAAAAGTTGGGCTGCGTCCTCACGCCTGGGTCTTTGAGCTTGATCAACGACAACCGGTTTCTCAGAATCTCCGTCTGCTGGATGGTGGTTTGGCACATGGCAATCAGGCTCTTCCAGTTTTGGATCATGCCCATGGGAGCGCGCTGCTGCAGCGCCCTTCTCAGGCCACCCGATAGCTGGTCCTGGAAATTGGGCAAGGTGCGGAGGACAATGTCCGACGATTTCTGCAGCGACAGGAAGATGCGGTCGAACTGGGCGTCGTCTTCGGAAAACTCGGAAGCCATGTCCCGGCTGTGCGCCGATGAAAACGACTCGCCCGAGCGAGGCGTCGCCGACGTCACCGTGACCGATCGTCCGTTGCCGTTGAGATTTGGCATGGGCACGTCCGTGGCAACTCTCAAGTTCGCGGGGTTGTGGACGACTGTTCCGTTGCGACTTCGTGCGAAGCCTGGACGATCCGCGGTCGGGGTGGCGGCCGGCTCTCGATAGTACGGGCGGATGGTCCTGTTGGTGCTCTCCAGGTCTCGATTGGCTGGGCGGGGTTTGGCGTACTCCGTCCTAACTGAGGCCAGCGTGACACGGAGCTCCATGATACTGTTGTAGAGCAACATCAGGAGCGTCCGAATATATCGCGCGTCTCCATTGTCGACAAACGTATCGATGTTATCCGCCAGCAGGGTGCAGACGTGCCCGTAGGCGCTCACAAGAGTCTGGCAAGCCCGGCGCACGTTCCCGTTGTCGCGAGAGGGGGCCTCGTCACCTTCCGCGATCGCCGTATCATGCTTTTGTATTTCCTGTTCCAGTTCCTCCACGTGTGAGTTGGTGTTATAAAAGACGATTTCCAGGCTCGACCTCTTGGCAGATCCATCATTGGTCAACGTCATGAGCACCTGGATCATGGGGTGAATCTGAAAGACGGAGTAGAGCACTCCCTTGGCGGCTTCAATGACGGGGTCAAATATTTTGGATTCGCGGCGCCGCTCCGGGAGGATGGAGAGACGCCGGACGTATATGGGGCGCTGGAGATAGGGCTCTGTCGGTGTGGCCGGACTCTTGACGCTGGCCACGGTGCCCTGCATCGCCGACCCATGGCTCAGGCCCCGGTAGTGGCTAAATCGGACGTTGGCTTGCGTCTCGTCCAGTGTGCCAAGCTCCGATGCCTTCTTGGAGACGACGCCCATGCGACGGTTGCGGCCGTCGGCCCGCTCGGAGCGAAGCAGTGTTTCCGAGTTGCTGCGAAGCCGCTCATTGACGTTGCCAATGGTCAAAGGCATGACGCCCGGCCGTCGAATCGCCGCGTTTTGTTGAGACAGGCCCCTGTAGTGCGACCTGCTGGGAACGACCGACGGGCGAGACCCGCTGTTGGGGGATCGTATGTCGGGCACGTCGGCGCCATTCACCTTGATGGGGAACCGACCGCTCGCGGCTCGCTTCAGAGGGAACCGTGGCGTCTCGGCCCCCTCGCTCGACTCGTCGCCTGTGGCCTCGGAGTCGGTACGCCCATTGATTGCGTACTGCCGCATGTACCTTTTGATATGTGCTGTCAACACGACTTCGTTGATCTCGATGTCCCGGGGAAGGCCCTCGTTCGGCGGGGTCCCAGTCTGGGGTTGCATTACGCCCTTGGGCGGGAAGCTGATGGGATTCCCCTCGAACTTGAGGACCTGTAGAGAGACCATGTCGGCCAGGCATAGAGGAAGCTCGCGTATCTGATTCTTGGGTACCGAAAGCACCTTCAACGACGATAGCTTCGAGAGTTCGCTAGGCAGGGCACGTAGTTGGTTGCGGCCGAGGTCGAGGATTTCTAGGGATTTGAGTTCGCACAGCTACACAGAGCGGGTTAGCCGAGCGCAGCAAAGTAAGCCGCTGATGGTGGTTCCGTACCGGCATGGGAAAATCTTTGATCTGATTGCCTCGGATGTTCAGGTATCGTAAAGAGGTGCACTCGGAGAATCGAGCGGGTAGCAAAGACAGCTGATTATGGGAAAGTGCGAGCCTGTGCGAGCATCAAGCTGTCAGTATTGGACGGCTGCCGAAGGGGTTGACGGCGTCGACTAACCGTTCCAGCTCATTTTTGACTATGTCCACGACTTCCTCTGGCAGTTTCTGGATGTTCTTACGGCTCAGATCAATGGTGACGCCGGAGCGGAGTCCAGGCCCAACGGCGCCAGCGTCTGCAGCTTGGCTCTTCTCGCTCTCGAGGGCTGTTTGCATCGCCTCGTGGGCCAAAGCGATGACCTGCGCTGGGGTCGTGGCGTTGTACGCCGACAAGGTCGCGTTGGACGAGGCATTTCGGAGACTGGCGTTGGAAGGCGCGGGCGGCGGATGGCCATTTGACAATGCAGCGTAGTTGGGGCCCGGCCGGCGTCCTTGAGCCGGGTTCTCGGGCAGGCCTCGCACAGCAGTAAGCGGCGCGGCCGCTCCAGGCATCCGATCCGGCCGCTCCATGGCGATGGCGAAGGAGGGAGCGGGCGGCGAAGTCGATGTCTCCAGCGCGCACGCGCTTGAGAAACAAAAGGAGGCGGGACTCTTGGCACAACAGGCGGCCGCCGAGTCTAGCGAAATGTTTCAGAGGCCCCTCTGCCGTTTTGAGATGCAAAGCCAAGGAGTCTCAAAGCCAAGGAAACGAGCAAGAAAGGGGCACCGACGGGGGGGGCGAAAACGCCGGGTGGTTTTGTCCTCTAGGCCAACCGATGCTGCGACAGTTTGCTAGACGAGGCAGGCGAGCTCATCGTGGTTTCGAGGCAGCTGGGCGCGCTGCGGCTGCTGTATCGTCGCGGCGCGAGGCCTTGGAGACGGGGAGGGATGGCGAAGCCAGGTAGGGAGAGGCTGTCCGGGAGAGATTCTAGAAGAGCGGTCGGTTTCTGCCTCGGCCATGTGGAGCTGGAAGCCGGGGTGGTTTGCGAGGGATGGATGAAGTGCCCTTCGTTTCCTCCAACTCCCTAAAACGCTCGTTCCATGGCTAACGAGGGCAAGGCAGGCGGAAGAAAGGGGTCAGAGAGCGCAGGTGGGCCCGAGGTATCCGTAGAGTGGATCCGACAGGCACCTGACGGAGAATGACTAAGGGGGTTTTCTGTGTGGCCTGTGCGGCGCGCAGTGGGAGGATTGGCGGGGATTGGCGGGGATTGGCGGGCGTGCGGGCAAGAGATACCTGCCCGCACCGGATCGAAGCCGTCGCGCAAGTAGCCCATGCAGCGAGGGTACCTCGGGGAGGGGACTGCGGGCCACAGCGGCCGGTGGTGGGTTGCACTGTGCAAACTCGGACCGCCTGCCATCAGGCTGCTGCACTTTACTGGTTCGGCAACGGCCCTGGCCGAGCGAGACCTGCAGCAGCGTGAGCGTCGCCCTTGGCTCAATCCCCAGCGAGCAGCTCGGTTGCTGGGCCTGGACAATGTGGTAGCGCCTGATTCGTACAGGACAGTGCCACGACGGGCCCCTCCATCTGTATCCCGATACCTTGTTTGGACGCTCAAGTCTCCGGGTACATGCAAAGGACGGGCAGTGCAAGCCCCTGGATCCGTCCCCAGCACGCGCGGGAGGGAGCGCCTAAATCCTCCTTCAGGCGGGGGCAAGTACTCGGTACCACGTCTCTACCACATCTCAGGCGACGGATACGGTAGGTAGATCGAGGCTGCGACGCGGGGCGTGCTGGGCAGCAAATCCACACTGTGCATAGTGCCCCACCACCAACATGACCCCGGGGGGGTGTTAGGGGGGGCACAATTAGTTGCGATTTGACCCCAGCCCTGCCGCCGAACAAACATCATCAACCGCCAGCCAGGAGCGTTGTCCTCTTGTCCTCTTGGCCTGCGCACGTCTCGGCTGGACCCAGAACGAGCAATCCCTCTCCACGAGGCGACTTCGTCGTCATCATCCGGGATTGGGCGTTCCATCCCCCGGGCCCCTTGCTCTGCCGTGCCACCACGCCGTCAGAGTTGGCGCCCATTGTCGTCGTTGCTTCTGCGCCAGCCAAGACAAGGCACGCTGTCACGGAGGAGCAAGCAACGGCCACGGTAGAAGTGCATGAAAAAGCAAACTGACACGCACTCGTCCAACCCAGCCATGCCATGGGGCCCGTCCCTGAAGTCTGCCGTTCGTCCCGTCGATGAGCCGCCGTCTCGCCGCCCCTTGCAGCATCATGCCAGCTCTCCAACGAGTCAGCTCGTGCGCAGACATTGGCTTTACCCTTCGCCGCCAATTCCACAAGGACGACTTTAGGTGGGTGGGCGCCAACGATGCCCAATCTTGGGCCGTCAACTGACACTCTGCCGCCGTCAGGCCGCATCAGCGCGAAATCATCCAAGCGGCACTTGATGGCTTCGACGTCTATGTCCAAGCGGCCACGTCGTTTGGCAAGAGCCTCTGCTTCCAGCTTCCCGCCGTAGTTGACCAAGGCAGTGAGTCCTTGTCCATGCTCTTATTCAGCAACCAGTAATTCATGCTTTGCTCTTAAGTAACCATTGTTGTCTCTCCGCTGCTGAGCCTGATGGTGGGCTTATCCCCTCTCACATACGACTTCCGGCCTCTGACGGGCCGCAGATCAACCAGGTCGAGGCTCTCAGAGCATCGGGAATCGACGCAAGCTCGCTGAATAGCAATACGCCGTATGCTGAAAAGAACCGGATCCATCGAGACCTGGAGACGGGCCATCCAAGGACGAGGCTCCTGTATGTAACACCGGAACTATGCTCCGCCGCTCGTTTCCGCGATCGCCTGCATCTGGTTTACAAGCAGAGAGAGCTGGCCAGAATCGCCATTGACGAAGCTCACTGCATCTCCGAGTGGGGCCATGACTTTCGCAAAGACTTCAAGCGACTCTCGTGGTTCAGGGAGACGTTTCCCGACGTACCCATGATGTGTCTCACGGCCACCGCGAATGCCCGGGTTCGGCAAGACGTCCTCGGCGTTCTGCGTTTGGATGCGACGCCCGAGAGGATAAAGTCCTTTCTCATGAGCCCGCAACGCAGCAACCTTCATCTGGAGATCAGGTACACCAAGGACGAGGACGACAGCCGACTGTCGGACTTTCTGAAGTGGATTCGGGGTGTCTATGATCGTCGGCGAGCCGACCTGAGAAAAGAGGAGCTGAGTAAAGCGGGCGAAAGACCGGACAACGTCCCGGGGATTATCTACACTATATCACGGGATGAGTGTGAGACGCTCTCGGCGGCTTTGCGGGACGAAGGCATCGGCGCCCGAGCTTTTCACGCCAAGCTGCCCAAGGAACTAAAGGAGGAAACCCTTGCTCGGTGGATCAACAACGAACCGGGCTGGGATATCATTGTGGCCACGACGGCGTTTGGCATGGGCATCGACAAGGACAACGTGCGCTTTGTGGTTCATTGGCGCCTGCCAAAGTCGTTTGAGGGTTACTACCAAGAGGCTGGACGGGCAGGGCGCGACGGGAATGCAAGTTACTGCTTCTTGTACTACAGCCGCGAGGATCTGGAGCGGGTGACTCGAATGATCCGGGGCGACTCAAAAGACGGGTCCAACTGCGAGGCCCGACTACGCAGCCTCCACTCTCTGGCCCTGTACTGCGAGAACACAGACTCGTGTCGGCACGCCGAGATTTGCAAGTACTTTGGCGAGGCGTCGGTTCCGGAGTGCGACTTTGCATGCGACTGGCACAAGGACCCGCAGGACCTCGAGATGAGGTTTCTGAGAGGCTTGGCGGACGAGGAATGGGTGAGCACACAGGCCATGCAGGGGACATATGACGGATACTGCGGTGAGTAGGGGTACAAGGCCGTGGTGGCTGAAACACACGAGGGTTCAGCATTTCGGACGGCCTCAGCATTGCCTACAGACTGGAGCTGGCACATCACGTACTATACGAATGCCATGGAGGCCCTCAGCCCGCGGAGGACCTGTGACGTTTGCGGGATGGGGAATACAAGCAATGTTTTTCTCACTGTCCCTTGAGTCACTGGTTCTTGCCCTCCTTGCTGGCCCTCTTCTGGGCAACGTGGTCGTCGACCCTCTTGAAAGCCATGACCCCCTCCATGAAGCAGCTCGAGACCCAGAGCCACCACAGGCCGGTCCAGCGATCGACGCCATGTCTCCGAAGCTTGCGGTCGAAGAGAAAAGACTCGACTGCGTGGAGGCCCACGACAGGGAGGAAGAGGCTACGAACCAGCCAACGATACCACTCGACGCCTCCCGGGAATACGGCGTCAATGGTGTTCCATGCACTGGTGGCGGGCGCGAGCCAGGGCAAGGTGGCGACGCAGGCAAAGTAGAAGACGACGCTGGCGAAGATGAAGAGATCGAGCGGGCGCGGGGGCAGATATGTAGTGAGGAAGACGTCACTGATGCCGAGGTGCTTGCGGGCGGTCGAGTCCATGTCGATGATGCGCTGCTTGACGTCGTTTCAGTTGTCCAGAGGGGGGGCAAAGGGGATGGCGTAGTCGTTGCCGGCAGCGCGGATGCGCATGCCCTGCAGCGTCAGGTCGCGCAGGGACGGGTTGGAGGCATCACGGGACGAGGCGCCAGCGAAGTGGCGGAGGTAATGGGCGAGCTCACGGGTGTGGGCGCGGTTCATGTGGGAGACGATGCGGTCGCGACGCTCCTCGTCGGCCGCGGCGACGGAAGCCATATTGTATCTCTTGTCTCTTTGGAGAGATGGCTGGCGAGGTCGCGTGTGTCACGCGAGTCGCGATTCCGTTGGGGGAGGGGAGGGGAGGGGAGGGGGGAGGGGGTAGAGGGGAGGATGCTGCTGTGGGCGGCGAGGTTTTGCGAGAGTTGGCTGGCGGGTGCGGAGCGGGCCGTGGGACCACGACGCTTGGTTGGTTGCCAAGACGGCTGTGCCTAACCGGTGGCATTTGGGGTTTCGACGGCGGCGGTGGCGGCGTCCAATCGCAGCCATCATGCACGTGCTGGCCGAGGCCGGCCTTGCTCTTACCTACAGTGCAGTATAAGCATATGTACGTACAGCATGCGTCGTCGCCCATGGGCATTGCCTGTGGCATTGCCTGTCGTTTTCTCCATGGAAGTCGGTACTTGGTAATTACGAACAAGGCAAATACAGTTCGGCCAAGACGATGATGCTCTGTCGACGGCGGAGCAGCGAAGCCGAGTCCGCTCCAGGACCGGGGTTGGTTTTCCTTACTTCCGTATCAATCAATCACCATGACGCCAAGGCCGGCAAATGCTTTGCCGTTGTGTCAGTGCGGGCTGTCAGACGGTCCGGCTTACGCGCTCGACGTTGGCCATGACTCGGCAGCCTGCATCCAATCGGCCCTGATCGGCGTCGTCCCCGTCCTGCGATGAGTCAACGTTTGCCGGCGATCTCTGGCGAGCAAAGGCGGGGAAGAAACAAAGACCGTTGGGGGTTCAAGATGCATTGCGTGCAGGCTGGCTTCGTGGACATGGGGGCCGGAAAAGGCTGATGAGACTGAACTCTGCTGCTTTCTGGCTGCGCGTGTATAGCTGTCCCCGCGGGATTGAATAATGGAAACCGCCAGAGGCTCGGCTGAGGAGAAGGAATGCCGCAGGACTTGGGCTTGGAGAGGAGGGGATCCTGGACGATTTAACTCAACTTAATACGCAGGCCCGGACGGGGACCCCAGGCGCGCATGACACCGGCCGTCTACAGTAAAAGGCGCACGCGACTCCGTGTATGGCATTAGTCACAGGTATTATTATTACAAGCCACGGGATGGATAGACGTCGAAGAGACTTCGGAGCGTCAACGGCGGCCTGTTCAGCTCAACTCGGCTCAACTCGTCGACTCCCATCTTGGCCTTTTTCGCGTCGGCAGCTGCCTGAGAATCTTGTCCTTTGCAACGCCTTTGGATCGGCGGTGAGTCGCCCTCTCTCGCTTCCGACTGTTGCGTCAGTTCGGGCTCGTCGCTGTCCGGCCTTCGGAGCTCCGAGGGCGGCATCGCTGAGTAAGGCGCTTCCTCTCGCCTGCTTGGCTGCTTGGCCGCTCCCGTCTCGTATTTCCGCTCGGGGTTAAGGCCGCCAAGGCCGCTGACAAACCTTGCAACGGTTTTTTTATCAGATGAGATTGATAAAGAGCTTCCCTTTCACGCGCATCGCCCCCGTTTCGCCCGCCCGCGCCTGGTCTCGCCCTTGATCAAGACGTCGTAACTCCGAAACACTGTTGGCCTGCGCCGACTATTGGTTTTTTTATTCACTCTCTCCCATCTCTGTGTCCACCTTGTATGAAAAATTGAAAAACATGTCTGGGCGAAGCGAGAGCCCGGAGTCCGACGGGGCCGACGAGGGTCGCGCCGGCAGCTCCGACCAACCGCCGGCGCGCAAGCGGCAGCGCGTGCGACTCAGCTGTCTCGAGTGCCGGCGCCGCAAGCTGTCGTGCGATCGCGGCTTCCCCTGCGAGCGCTGCATCAAGAGCGGCACGCCGGACCGGTGCAGCTACGAGGCCCGCAACGGCGACGTCGTCAACGCCGCCTCCGGCCTGCCCCCTCCCTTTCCCCAGCTCGACTCCCGAAGGTTCGGCATCGGCGGCGGCGGCGTTGGCGACGCCGGCTCCGGCTTCTCCCCGCGCGAGGACCATGACCGCATCAGGAGGCTCGAGCTGGAGATTGTCCAGCTCAAGAACCAGCTGGCGCGCCCCGGCGCCGGCGGCTCCTACGACGGCAGCACCGTCGCCGGCACCAACTCGCCGTCCACCCACAAGGACGACGTGCCGGGCGACGGCGGCGGCGGCGGCGGCTGCGACGCTGCGGCGGCGGTGCAGGAGTGCATCGACGCGGGCAACGTGTGCGGCGAAAAGGGCGAGCTGCGCTTCTTCCGCGGCAAGGGCTTCCGGACGCGCTACTTTGGCCCGCACAACGCCAGCATGGCCTTTGTCGAGCTGACGGGCCTGTGCCCCTTCATGCGCGAGACGGCCGACGAGTGGCTGCGGCCCGTCATCCTGCACGACCGCAAGGACCGCAAGCGCCGCAAGGAGGAGCGCGAGGTGCTCTTCGCGCAGCCCGACGCCTGCCTGGCGGCGCTGCTGCCGACGCGCGAGGAGACGGACGCGCTCGTGTGCGTCTACCTGGACCAGTTTGAGCAGATCCACCGCATCGTGCACATGCCCACGTTCCGCAGCGAGTACGCCGACTTCTGGAAGGCCGGCGGCTCGCGGCGGCACGCGGCCTTTACGGCGCTGGTGCTGTCCATGATGGCCGTGGCCAGCTGCGTCCACACGCACAGCAGCCTCAAGTTCATCGGCATGATGTCCAACGCGCGGCACTGGGCGGAGCGGTGGATCGGCGCCTGCGACGACTGGCTGGCGCGGCAGAGCCAGAAGCACCGCAAGCTCATCCACTTCCAGGTGGCCTGCCTGCTGTACCTGGGCAAGCGCGTCAACACCATCAAGAAGAAGCGCTTCTGGACGGGCGCCGGGGCCCTGATCCAGGACGGCATCGCCGTGGGCCTGCACCGCGAGCCGAGCCACATGGCGGGCAACATCAGCGTCTACAACCAGGAGATGCGGCGGCGCATCTGGACGACGGTGCAGGAGTTTGACATGCAGGCCTCGTTCGACCACGGCCTGCCGACGCTGCTGAGCCAGCTGCACTACGACTCCAACCCGCCGCGCAACCTCGACGACGACGACTTTGACGAGCAGACGACGGTGCTGCCGCCGTCCAAGCCGCAGGCCGAGTACACCTTTTCCTCCTTCCAGAACCTCGCGCGCCACAGCCTGCGTCTGCGCCTGGAGCTGAGCCGCCTCCTGACGGGCCCGCTGTCCGAGATCGACTACGACCAGGTGATCCGATACACAAACGACCTGACGCACGAGATTGACGCGCTGCCGTCGTGGGACCTCGACACGGACAAGGCCAAGAGCAAGAAGAACCCGCTCATCGCCTACACGCTGCTGCACGTCCAGCTGCGCCAGTACATCATCCCGCTGCACCAGCCGTACCTGAAGCTGCGCAAGCAGAACTCGAAGTACCAGTACTCGGAGATCATCTACTACAACGCCGCGCGCGACATTGTCCTGCTGCACGACAAGCTGTACGAGCAGGGCATCCGGGCCCTCAACTTCCTGCGCGAGGACGCCCTGACGACGGCCATCAACCTGTGCAGCGTCACCATGCTGCAGCCGCGCGGCTCGACCAACATGATTATGATCAACTCGCACCACACGCTCAAGCTGATTGAAAAGTGCATCGGCATGAAGGAGGATCGCCTGCTGCAGTGCGGCAACAACGAGCCGTGGGGGTACTCCATCATGTGCGCCGCCCTCGGCCTGCTCGAGGCTCACCTGGGCACCAAGACGCCCGAGATGGCCAAGTCGACGTCGGCCGAGCGGTTCGTCAACCTGCACTACAGGCTGTTGTCGAACCAGGAACCCCCCGTGTCGTCTTCGGCTGACAACCCGCTGCCGGCCACCCCCGTCAGCGGCGCCGCCCTGTCCGCGCCGGGCATGGGGCCCAGCCCGGGCCTGGATCTGCCCGACAGGGCCAAGGTAGCGTAGAACCCTCCCTTTCGTGACTCTCAGGACCTGCCTTCTAACAGCTCGCTCGCCAGTCTGTCACGCCCTTTAACTTTAACCCGACCATCTCCTCCGTGTCCGTCGACCCAACCGCCCCAGGGTCGTGGATTCTTAGCGGTGCCGGCGCGGGCGACCAGGCGCAGCCCTTCAACCTCGACCCGAGCCTGGAGCTGCTGGGCCTCAATCTGAACGAGCTGTGGGGGGAATCGTGGGAACTAGGTTAGGCGAGCGGGATATAGACGTCGGGTAGCGACTGGCAGGGTAGGATCATCGTTTCTTGGAAAGACGAGCAACAAGGGGGAAAGCGGACGGCAAGGGGAGGGAAAAGGAGCGGCGGAATGACTGCATGCAATTGTTGTGCGATCCTGGCGTTTTGGGGGACGACGTGTATACTAAAAGATACCATTTGAATCTCACGGCTCCATCTAGCAACGAGGGGGCAAGACGACCAAAGCAAGCAAAATGTCCATTCAAACCATCCGCTTGTTCCCACCCTGGACACGATAGGGCCGGGGGTCAGCTCACGGGGAGGATCCGCTTCATATCGGCTCCACGGCGGATGACTCACGCTCACGAGGGGGCTCATGAGGGTCCAAAGCCCCCTCCCGCGCACATGGCAATTCTCCGTCCTTTATATGGCGCATTTGCTTGCGTTGTTTTTAACAAGCAAGCTTGAGAAGTCGAAGCAACATAGCTCAGAGGTAGAGCGACGGGCTCATAACCCGTAGGTCCCTGGATCGACACCAGGTGTTGCTATCTTTGTTTTTTGTCGTTTTCTACTTTGTTGGCTTTTTCACTCCTCCTTCGGCCTTGGGGTTTAACATGAGTAGCGTAATTCGATATTTGTATTTTTTTTCCTTTGTTGTTGTCCGTTATACTCGAGATTTTTGCGTTGGGGTGTTCTTGTCACCGGCCTGACCCTCGTTCTGTGATGTGAAGTAATATTCACTCGACGCTTTTTCTTGACAAGCAGGCCAACACGGCTTTTAGGATCCCTCTAGGTCTACAGCCCAGAGTGAAGATGAAAAGACGGTCGCGTAAATTCTGCAATATTTTGAAGCACGAGCAAGGGGTTGCCGGCCATGGCCATCTCACCAGTCTGACGATGGGACGAACGCAGCACACGGACTACTTGAGAAGACCAGATCAATATATGTACACTCCCCGTGGCGCTATCTCTTGTCGTTTCTATATTTGCAATCGACTCGACTGCATACACCCTCTCTACTGTACTGCCCAGAACTTCGGCCAAGATCTTGACTCCCGGGTAGGCTACTCGCCCAACAATGTGCTTCGCCATGCTCGAGATTCTTTGACGGCATACGCGTAGCAGGAATCTGGAAGGGTCGTCGGAGCCCAGTCGTCGTCACCCAAGAGTGTACCTGGGGTGTCGTCTTTGGGGGCTGACCCGGTCTCCCTTACTCGGATGCCCAAAGTCTGCACCGTGACGTCGGATCATTCGTCTTGTGGGAGCACGGCAGAGGACGTGAAACAACTTCCAGGGGCTTCAGCGTGGTGTCGGTTTCGCACTGTATTTACCCCATGATGCCGCCCCCGTCACCACGGCAAGACACAGTGCGCCTGGGCGCAGGTCGACACCACCATCAAATGACCAGGTCTGCTGTCGCATCATGCACATGCACAACAGACGACGCCTTACGGCCTCGTCCCTGCGTCGCCCCTGCAGCCTCCCGCTCGACGACTGCCGCCACCTCCGACGATGCTGCCTCGCACCGTCCCGAGCTCGCTCTTGGTTGCCGCGCGCGCCCCCGTCCGCGCCGCCGTCCTCTTCCGCCGCAAAGACTCCTACGGCAAGCATTGCTTCTGCCGTTTCTTCTCTCGCGACCATCTCGCCTCTGGCTGAGAAAAATCAGGTGACCCGCCTTGAGACGCTGGCAGATGCGCGAGGTGTGCGTGCCGTGCCAGCCTCGTGGACCTGTCTTCTCCTCTGCCGGGCTCAGTGCAAATATATCATCATCCAGAGCCCCTTTGTGGATCCGCCTCGTCTCTGCTGACAGCTGCCTTCGTGCAGTCATGAGCGCCGGGATCCAGCCAAACCATCTCAACCACAGCCACAGACGCCATTTGCCTTTGAACGCACCTCTTGCCCGCCATGCGCCTGATCTCTGTGTCATTCCCTCTTCTCTTGATGCTCTTCATGTGGCCTCGTTGGGAGACAAGTTGGCTCCGGTGTAGGCATGACCACGATTTCTTCCTTCATATGCGCCCCATGCTCCTCACTCTTGCTCCAGCATTCGACGTGACTCCTTTTGCTCAGAGCCTGTGGCACTCTTCTTGCAATCACTTGAGTGCCTCGTCTTCCTCGTCCGCCGCGTCCACCTGCCTCGCTCTCTAAGACACCTCGCTCGCCATCAGTTCGACTGATACTAGTATTTAACATGTCCCCTTCGTCGCTGCTGCTGCTCTGGAACCCTCATCCAATCTAGATTCCACTTGCTTACTTGCCATATTTCGTTTCAGCAAGGCTTGGTGTATCCCGTCTTGGTCTAAGACGGGTACACTGAAAGCCACGTCGTTCGCGACACCACCGCCAAACTGGGTGCCCAACAGAGCCAACCGCTTCCCAAGCTCGACATACCCGAGCTCCCGCGAATGTCCCGACGCTGGTACTTTGAGACGGCGCCGTCCGGCAAGGAGCAGGTCATTTCCGTCAAACGCACCCGCTCCCATAGGCACCACCACCGTCACCACCGCCACCATGACCCCGACGTCTACAGAGTCAGCCGCGATGAGTGGGACGGCCTCGTGGAGCGGGAGCGCTGCCTCGCCGAGACCAACAGGAGCCTGGCTGACGAGGCCAATGGCCTGAGGGCCAGCCTCGCGGCCGCTCAAGCCGAAGCCCACAACTTGTCCAACGTTGTTGTTCCTCAGCTGCAGGGCCAGATTAACGCGCTCTCGGCCGACAACGAGGCGCTTCGGCTATCCGTCGACAACGTCGCCAGACAGAGTTGCGAGGAGGAGAGACTGCGCCAAATCATCGACAGGCTCGAGAACGACAAGTGCTGTCTGGAAAAGGCGAGATGTAGCCTGGAGAGGGAAAACGCTGACCTCAAGACGGAGAACGCGAGCCTCCGGGGAAGGATTAGGTGCCCCTCGAGGCCGATGGAGCCCGGATGCGGCCGCCGTCTGCCGGACTTGTCGCGGGACGCCGAGTATTGGAAGGATCAGTGCAGACAATGGCGGTCCAAGTTTGAGGACACGAGGCGGCGGCACGACGACACGTGCGGCATCTTGGAGATTCGGACGCAGAAGATGAGGGCATACGAGGAGATACTCAAGCGACGCCGCATCATCTAGCCGGAGTGGACAGAAACGACCATGACTTGCCTTTATTTCACTTTCGAGTCTCTGGGACGTCATATCATCTAGGCCTGAGTGGACAGAGATGACCATGACTTGCTCCTCTTTCTCTTTCGAGTCTTTGGTAAGTGCAGTACCTCCCTCTGACAGTCACATGGGGGCTGAGGCTTGGAGAAGGCAACGGCGTGACCTGGTCCGTCTATTTCCGTCACGACTTCAGCTGGGCCGTTGCTGACGCTTCATTTTCGATCAGCAGTTAGTTGGCCTTATGTCGACATCGGTGTATTTTGAGCCACGGCTCGGAACCAGTTAATTCGGACATGTTACACAGGGTTGCCGCAGCCTATGACGACGTCTGCTCTCTCTGGGCGACCGAGTCCAACGAGTTCTTGGTGCTAGCAAGGCAGATTTGCCACGGCGATTTTATCAGGTAGTTGATTATATATAAATATATATTATGTCTTCCCCATTCCCCACAGGCCAGCTTCGTGTGCTTTGATGGGCTCGTGACCGCATAGGCTGGTGGCGAGCGCGGAGGTCATGTGCGGCGGGATCTACTTGTGCAAGCAGGCAAACAGGCAAGCAGGCAAGCAGGCAGCAACCGCATATGCAGCAGCGATGGCAGCTCGCGTCTTCGCGAGAAGGGCCTCGCGAGAGCGAACGGCTATAAACGGAGCATGGGTGATGAGAAGCAGGTTTGTCGGTGACGTGGTGGTTGGCTTTGCAAGGCGCTTGCGTATTGCTCGTCCTACCTCGACGTCCTAGACGGCGCAGAGGCATATGCCAGCTGATGATGGTCGGCAGCGGAAGCGAGTTCGTCGGGTGTTTGATTGGCGCAGCAGGAGGAGAGCGTTGGGTGGTTTGACGGACGTGCACAATGATGGGGCGAAGAAATCTGGCATTGCAGATGCATGCGGTGCATGACATAGGTAGGTAGGTATTATGCATGCAGGCGGGGAGGGGGGCCGACGCCGGCCTGAGTTGCCTGCCTGGCTGTCAACGATTAATTATTTAGCGAATACTCGAGGCTGTTTCGTTGACGCTGTTGGTGGTGCGCATTGTCTCGGCTGTGTAATGACTTATTATGCACACGCCTGGGCATGTGGCGTGTGTGTAAGTACTGTATGTGCTCCAACAACAGCTTTTTCGACATTGGTAGACGTGAAGCTGCACGACAGGGGACGACTTGCAGGAGCACGGCTGCTTGCTTCATGCATGGACTGGTTAACCAGACCCGCCGGCAGTCGTCTTTCCGTTGGTGGGCATTGGGCAACAGGGAATGAAGGCAGCCGGCGAGACGACGGGGCGCCGCCGAGCGCGCATCAATGGACCGACCGGCCCAACGGTCTAAGGGCCGGGACCCACCCAGCCGGTACGATACGCCGCCTGCTGCGCGTGCCCGACGCCGGCGAGGACCACGAGCCTCGACGCCCCCCGAGCCTCGACGCCCCCCCCCCCCCAGCCGCAAGCCTGGGGCAGCGACCAACTCGACTGACCGGAGCCGAGATGGGGTGACGCGTACAGCAACTGGTTTCCCTGCATGTATCATGAGCTGAGAGTAGAGGCACCGACCCTGATGGAACGAGCCCAAAGGAGTTTAACAGTAAGTAGCAAGGGGAAGGGATGGTGATGTTTACTCAAGGCCGGAATGCAGCGCCGCGTAGGACAAGCTGTCATTACTTGTCAGGCAGACGGTTCGGTAGGCAGCAGCCGGCAAGAAGCGGCTCTTGGACGAACAGGCGCCCGCACTGCATGTGGTGCCTGCCTACCGATAGGGTGTCAAACACCGGATGCATTGGTGACGCCAGAGGTGCGGAGGTGCGCTGTGCACGACTTGCAGGCTGTTGGTTGGCAGCATAATACTCCGTACTCTTAAATTCATGCCTTTTCTTTTTCCTGCGCTGCTTCTGCGTCGTGCATATGCAGGCGGAATGCGCTGCCTTTTCCCCTCTGAACTGCAGGTAATTATGTACAGTATGTGAGTACAGTATGTACAGCAGGCTGCAATGCTGCAATGCTGCCATGTCCCGACAGTACTATCCGTACAGTACGGCAGGTCCAGCGGCGGCTTCTGGTAATTAGGGGCCGTCCCGCTGTGGTGGTGGGTTTTACAGTACTTGCTCTACGGCACCGAGCTCAGCCCTATCGCGCACTGTACGGATCTCTGCTACGTGCCAGGTCGTCCGTCCGAGGACGAGTGCCACAAAACAACGACACCACCGCCTGCTCACCGACCAGACACGGACGACCCTTATTACGGCTTTGCTAATGACGCTGCGTGCCAATCAAGAGGCGCGAGATGCACAACACGAGCCAGGCACAACACACTGTCCGCGGCGCGTCGACTTTCCCCAGGCGTCGGGGGAAAAGGGAAAAAAGCAGCACCCAACTGCCTTCCCGCTGCCTCTCCCACTGCCTCTCCCGCCGACCCCGACGACGGTGAGTCACCCAACCATCGTCGTCATCGGGGCCATCCGTTCGCGCCCGAACCCACGGGCTGCACCAAGGCCCGGCAGCTGAGGCCTGTTCTGGTTGGGGGCCCCGGCAAGGCAGCCATGCCAGCCTAGCTAGATGCACCGTCGGCGGATTGCTCACGCACAGCCCCTGTCAGTTCCTTCGTGCGCCTGCCTGCTCGTCACGAACAATCGGTAGGGAACAAGGCTCTCGCGAGGCCTACTTTTTCGACTTTGCCCCAGCTCCGCCATGTACGTACATTGACGTCGACGCAACGCGAGCCACCACTGAGACTGTCGGGCACTCCCTCCACCCCCCCCCCCCTTGGGGGCTCGCCAGCGGGTTGGCTGTGTGCCTGTTGCTAGCCTGGGCCTTCGGCAATCCGCGACATCACCCTTCTCTGCTTGCTGTTGGAGGGATGCAAGCCGTTCTTCCCACCACCCGCCGCAGCTTACACCAAGTCCGCGCACACACACACACACACATATATATATGTATATATATCTCTCTCTTGATGTCCAGCCGGCCACCGATGTGCTCTTGTTTCCCTTCTTTCTCTCACAAGTCTTCATCTTGCTTAGGACAATTGTCTCTTGATCCCACCATTGCCCAGACTTTTCTTTCCGAAGTCCAGACGACTCCATCCTTGCAACCACTTGCATAACTCGGGCTTCTCCAACTAGCGTTTGTCATCCTTCTCGCGCGCCTTGGGTTCACCTGTGCCTTATTGGAGTCGCCCAACTTCGACCCCTCGCTGGCTTGTTTCCTGGCTGCAGGCCCCATCTGTCGTCAAGCAACCGACACGGCTTCGCCAGATCGCGGCGCCCGACACGATGCCTTCGTCGCACCGCCGGCCTGCGCCAGCCACCGGCCGCAGGACTCATACCAACGTCCCTGCTTCGTCCCCTGGGTCGCAGGCGCAGCCCAGCCTCTCGAGCAGGAATCAGGATTTGACTGAGGAGCTTCAGGAGAAAGTCATGGATGCATACACCCAACTCAACAAGGTTTTCTCGGAACGGGACCGCTACGCCCATCTATACGAGCAGGCCAACAAGAAACTGTCCGAGTCGCAAGCGGCCAAGGCAGACCTCAAGAACCAGGTGCATGCCCTCAAAGAGGAGATGCTCACGTCGAGGTCCCTCAAGGAGGAGAACGCCGCGTTGAAGCGCAAGCTCCAGGATGCCAAGCGGGAAAACAAGGAGCTCAACAACGCCATTAGTGAGTGGAGAAGCGAATACGCCATTCTCCAACAGGACAACAACGACCTTACTGCAGCATTCAATGCCGCTGTCACTAGCCCATCGGGCGTTCCTGGCCCGTCAACGAGGCTTCCGGAACGGCCCAAGCCGTCGCACAAGGAGAAGAAGGCCGAAAAGGAGCGGCTCTCAAAGCGCTTCGGCGACAACCCCCCGCCACCCCAGAGCCGGCGGCAGAGCTTCTTCGAACCCCGGGGCCCCGGTGCCCGGCCCGCGCCATCGGCTCCGGGTTGGGATTGCGCCGACGTCCCAGCGCCGACCGCCCAAACGCTGTACCGCACTGTCACCTTCTCGACGGTCCCGCGCACAGCCAATCCGCTTGGCTCAAGCTTGTACCAGCCGGGTGGCGGCAGCTTGTACGACGACGGCTTCGAGGATGGAAACTATCACGCGCACCCCGTGCCTCGGTAGCTTCGCAGCCACTGCGCCACGCGCTGCATTCACTTATGAAAGCCCCGAGATGAATGCACTTCAAGATGACAGACGTGATGGCAGGCTGCTGCACAACGAATCCAATTGGCACCATTACTTCAATCCTCCCTCGGCCCGCTGTCCAAACCCGCACATTACCACCCATATATACGTTACAGAAGCTGCATCGGCCCTTCACAACGGCCGTCGCCGAGCCCAATGGCCGGAAAACTGAGCTTCCCTTCTCACCCCAATGCCTCCCTACCTCACCTAACCGAGATCCGTCATGCACCTCCTCGGCTGATATCCCTGTCGTTCTTGGTTACCCTCGTCCCCCCTCCTCCTTTGTCCAGGCAGCAAAACAATACCGACTCACATCGCCGAGAATCGGCCAGCTGAGTCACACCCGCGCCGTCCATATCCTCGCCCCTCCCCACGGTCGCACCCTCGTCGGCCCTTTCGCCCTCTTGCACGGCAAAGTCCATCATATTGGATTCTTGTCTTCAAGCAAACGCGCAAGGGACTTGGCTTCACCAAGTGCATCGCCTGTTGTCATGAAGCTTCACGCCAGCCTCTCCGAAGACCTCGCCGCGTGGGCGCAGCGACAACCAGTCTTCTTTACAGCCTCGGCAGCCACCCACGGCCGCCACATCAATGTCTCCCCCAAGGGCATGACAGACACGCACTTCGCCGTGCTGGGTCCCAATCAGTGCGCATACATCGACCGCACCGGCTCCGGCTGCGAGACCATTTCGCACGCCTACGAGAATGGCCGCCTGTGTCTCATGTTTATGAGCTTCGGCAACACGCCGCGCATTCTGCGTTTTTTCTGCCACGCTCGCGTCGTGGAGTGGGACCAGCCCGCATTCCCGGACCTTGTGCGCACCGTTGCAAAGGGGAAACGCGAGGCCTTTGAGGGCGCGCGCGCCGTCATCCTTTGCGACATCTGGGAGGTGCAGACGAGCTGTGGCTACGGCGTCCCGCGAGTCAAGAAAGGCCTGTATGCCCGAGACGACGACGAAGCTACGTCGACATCTTCCCTCGAGGAGATCCTGGCCGCAGGGCACGGCGGGGACGACAAGCTCGACGAGTTGGCCGTCTTTGAGGCGCGGCCTACCATGGACTCGTGGGCGGCCACCAAGGCGCAGAGCAACACGCTGCATGCGTACCAGGGCCTCAACAACAGCAAGAGCATCGACGGGCTGCCGGGCCTGCGTTCCGCGCGGCGAGACACGGGCCAGACGCTGTGGGTTGGAGATGCAAGAGCGCGCGTGAGGCGCATCCTGGCCGCGCCGGAAGCCGTTGCTACCGGGTTTGCCCTGGCCGTCGGGCTGTACCTGTTGATGGCGGGGTTGAAGGTGCTTCTTCTCTCGCCGCTGTGATTGGTGCTCGTGGTCATGTTTCTTGTGTCTTTCCTCTACTTATTCTGATTTGTTTGTGTGGATTGGAGTTCCTTTTGTTCAAGATGCTTGCAATGGATACCGGAGAAAAAGGGAATCAGGGAGGACAACTATACCATGGTTTTACAGGCGTCCTGGCGGGCGCGTTCGGCTTTTTCTACATCCTTGCTCTTGGGTTCGGTTTCTCTTGTCATTGTCGGATGGAAGTATGGTGGGCCGGATCAGAATACAGAGTCTGTTTGCAATTGAAGATGGTGCGCGCGACGTGAAGAGGGCCTTGCCTTGGGACTACATACATACATACATGCTGCACCTACGGACGGACGATGTACCCCCATATCAGGAGCATCGGTCGGGACCAGCTCTGCGAAGCACCAAGCGGGACAAAGCTGTAGTTGTGCAGTAACGTAAAAAAAACGACAGTATCCCCCTCGGACGGGATCCGCGACCGAGTCGTCGGGCGCCCGCCCCAGGGTGGCCGCGCGCGGAATGCCCGAACCCAATCCCATTCTCCCCAGCAGCGGGGACCATCGAACTCGAGCCACCCAGGTTGGGCCACGGTCTCGCCGCGGCCGCCCCCCGAGGGCTCACCGCGAGAACAAAATCAATACCAAAGCACCCCGGTGTCGAGAGAAAAGAGGCCTACAGCGCGCCCTCCCCCTTCGCTTCCAGCTCAGCCCGACGGGACGGGGTTGCGGCGTGCCTGACGATGCGCGCACAGACAGCGTCCCCCCCCTTTCCTTACCCCTCACGACAAAGGGCGGCTTCGCCGACTTGCTTGCTGACTGAACTGCCGATGAGGAATCGGATCCCTCTCGCCTCAACTTTTTTTTGTATCGAACGCGACGCCAGCCGGGGGTGTGGCGGGTGCCGGTGGACGACCATCGCTGGATGGGTGGAGGGCGGAACAGCGAACGGGCGCGGATGGAGGCGTCGTCGCCTTCGCGGTGGATGGGACAGGTCCTGGATCGCTCTGATAGACTGAACGAGAAACTGCATTGCCGTCGAAAACAGGGCCGTCTCATCCAGAGCCGCCGGTGCTCGCAGAAGCAGCAGCGGGAGCCGGACCGGTGGCTGTGCCGTTGGCCCTGTTGCCGCCACCCCCGCCTCTGCCGCGCCGCCCGCGACTCCCCGTCTTCTCCGCCGTCGCCGCGCCGGGACTAGCGCCGGCCGCGGAGCTGGCAGCCGCGGGCTTCTTGTCCTTGCGCTCGAGGACCTGCACCGCCGTCTGGGCGACCTGCACGGGACTGGCGTTGATGGCCTTGACGAGGCCGTCGTGCTCGGCAAAGTCGACGTACGCAAAGCCCTTGCGCTTGTCCACCTCGACGAGGGTGATGGCGCCAAAGACATCGAGAGCCTGTCGCAGCGCCGCCTCGGTGGCTCCCTGTGACGAATTGGCGTGCTTGACGAATGCGCGGGTGGCGCCTGCGCTTACCGCCGGGCCCCTTTTCTGCGAGGCTGCCGACTTGTTGCCGCTGCCGCCGCCTCTGGTCGCATTGGCAGACGGTGCCGGCGTCGGCTTCCCGTTGGCAGCTGACTTGGCGGTGGCCGGGCGCGCATCCGCGCTTGTCTGGGGAGCCTCGTCGTCGCCTTTCTTCTTGAGGATCACGGGGGGGTTGACGGCCGCGGGCGGGGCGGCGTTATTGTCGGCAGACTTGCTCTTTTCAGCGGTAGCCTTGCCACTGCGAGCCCTGCGACCTGCTGGCTGCGACTTGGCAGCAACGGGGCTCTTCGACCGACCCTTGGGTGGCTGGAGGGCCGCGGCGTCAGGCGATGGCGCTGGAGCCTCGCTTACCGAAGCCGTAGGCTCCTTGGTTGGTGGCTTGGTGTCGCCCTCGGCTTTGGCGGCGTCGTGCCTGGCGCGTCGATGAGCACTGCCCGGGCTGAGGCCGAGATCGCGCTGCAGGATCCTCGCGGCTGCGGCGATGCCAGCGCGGCGACTCTTGGGAGCGTCGCTGGCATTGGCGGCTGCGGCGTGGCTCACTGCGTTGCGGGGTGCCTCCGCTGGCTGCTCTGTCGAGGCCTTCTTCATCAGGATTTTGACTGGTTCTCTGGCGGGCTTGTCAGATTTGTCGGCTTTGGGCTCCTTGCTCCTCTTCTTAGAAGAGTCTTCCTCTTTCGAGCCCCCCTTGCCCTTGGCAGACACCGACTTTGCGTTCTTGCCGGACCCGCCTTCCTTGGCCTTGTTGGCCTTTTTCTCCTTGAGAAACTCGACGAGTGGTGTAGTAGTGATCTTGGTGTCTTCCTTGGCGGCCTCGTCCGCGTCTTCGACGTCTATGCTCTCCCTTAAGGGAACCGGGTTGGCAAGCCCCTCGAGAAAGGCCATGAACTCCTGGTCTTGGTCGATGGTTCCCTGTCGGGGGTCGGTTCGTCGCCTGTTACCGGGGATTTTCTTGTAGGTCGAGAACTCGAAGCTTGGCGGGCCAATAAGCGAGGGACTCGTGAATGTCGACTTGGCGTCTTCCCACGTAGCGGCGCGCACGGCCTGGCTGAGGGGCATAATGTCGTCCTTTCGCATGACGTGGAGGTAGGCACGGCTGGGGCGCGACGGCTTTGCAGGGCTTGACGCATACCGTTAGCACAGACGTTCTGCAAGTAAACGGGAGTGCGAGCACTCACTCGGTAGAGATTTTGCCGGGACAATAGGAGAACCAGTCGACCTTGCCCTTGTTTAGTTCCCAGTCGGGGCCCAGAATAGAGACGAACTCGGCCTGGGTCATGCCGGGCGGGAGACGTCGTATGACGAGTTTCTCGCCTTCGCTGTGAGCCTTGGGCTTTGATCGCCTCGACGGTTCCTAAGAGGGGACGTTAGAAGACACAGGGCAGCGGCTGAACCGCGTCCTAGGCGGCCTTACCTTGGCCGCATCGCCGCTCTTGTCTCCAGCGCCTCTGCCCCTGGCGGGCCTCTGCGGATGACCATCACGGGAGGATTTGACCTGGCGCTCGTCGTTAGAAGTTGACCGTCGCGAGCCGCCGAGCCGCCTGCTGACCTTGGGGAGGGAGTCGCTCTGTGGGCCGGCCGTGGCGTGAGGCGCTCCGTTAGGCCTGCGTGGCAGGACCTGGGGCGCCGGAGCGGACATTGCGCACGCCGAAGAACAGTGTGGGCGGTGGCACAAGTCGCAGCAGAGACCGGGGCGTGGGCATTGGTGTGTCGTCGGTCGAGAGGCGCGCCTGGTGAGGTTTCAAGTCTGACAGCCGTGACTTGGAATAGCTCCGATGGAATGCCCCACCAGGAGCCGCCGCTTTCTCGTCCGGCTGCGCGCTCGTCACGTGGCAGGCAGGCAGGCGGGCAGGCGGGCAGGCAGACCCGCCCGAGGTTGCAGCAGCATCCAATCCCACCCGAAGCTGGTCGTCATCGCAAAGGGGACCAGCAGGCTGCTGTCTCTCGAGTCGAGGTGCACCACAGTTGTGCAACAGCACAGAGAAAGGAATCGACAAAGTCCTCGTCACGTTTGCCTCTTTGGCGATGCTTTGGCTGCGACCGACGCCCCGAAGAAGATCCGACGTTTGACGATTTGCCCCCCCTCGGGACCCAAGCACTCACTAATCAACCCGCTTCCTCGTCTCGTCGTCTCCACCTTGTACAGCTGGGCTGCGGTGGTCTACGTCGCATCTCTTCGCTCTGTGCTTCTGATCATTGCCGCGCAACATGGCGTCAACCATCCCTCGGCCGGGCCCTGCCAACCTGCGCCCAAATGCCAGCCTGGATGAGTGGTTGGACGAGGCAAAACAGTGCCACTATCTCCCCGAGCGGACCATGAAGGAGCTGTGCGAAAAGGTCAAGGAGATTCTAATGGAGGGTGCGCTCGATTCCCATGCTACTCTCTCAGACGCCGTCCTAGCTAACCGCTGCGTCGACAGAGTCCAACATCCAACCCGTCTGCACCCCCGTCACCGTCTGCGGCGACATCCACGGCCAGTTCTACGACCTACTGGAGCTCTTCCGCGTCTCGGGCGGCATGCCGGGCGAAAACAACGTCCAGCCTCCAAAGACGGCGACCACTGTCATCACATCCGAGGACATCGAGCCACCGAGTGAGATTACGAACCCCAAACTCCGAAAGAAGCTTCGGTCGTCTTCCGCCGACGGTGCGAGATCGAACAGTGCTGATGGCCAAGAAGTCGCCTCCCCGACGACCGCGGCCCCCTCCGGCTCTAATGTCACGTCTTCCCAAAGTGCCGAGACCAGGTTCATCTTCCTCGGGGACTTTGTTGACAGGGGATACTTTAGCCTGGAGACCTTTACCTTGCTCATGTGTCTCAAAGCCAAGTGAGTCGTTGCGCATGCCTTGTCGCGCTGCCTGGCTCGGTACTGATGCACCTTGCAGATACCCCGATCGAATTGTCCTCGTCCGGGGAAATCACGAATCGCGCCAGATCACTCAAGTCTACGGGTTCTACGAAGAGTGCCAACAAAAATACGGAAACGCCTCGGTGTGGAAGGCCTGCTGCCAAGTCTTTGACTTTCTCGTCCTTGCCGCCATCGTCGACGGCGAGGTCCTCTGTGTTCACGGCGGCCTGAGCCCGGAGATACGGACAATCGATCAGATCCGAGTGGTGGCCCGCGCCCAGGAAATCCCACACGAAGGAGCCTTCTGCGACCTGGTCTGGTCCGACCCCGAAGACGTCGAGACGTGGGCTATCAGCCCCCGCGGCGCCGGATGGTTGTTTGGCGACAAGGTGGCGACCGAGTTCAATCACGTCAACGGCCTGAAGCTGATTGCACGAGCTCATCAGTTGGTGAATGAGGGATACAAGGTGATAGTGCGCAACTCATTAAGTCGCGAGCCACAATCACTGACAAGGACCAGTATCATTTCGCGGAGCACTCGGTTGTGACGGTGTGGTCGGCGCCCAACTACTGCTATCGTTGCGGTAACGTCGCTTCCATCATGTCGGTTGACAAGGACCTGAACCCCCGATTTAGCATTTTCTCGGCGGTCCCGGATGACCAGAGACACGTTCCGGCGAGCAGGAGAGGACCTGGTGATTACTTTTTGTAACGACAACGGATTCAAGGGTTTGGGCTCTAGATGTAAAGTAGCGCACGGTTGAGATATCCCATGGCTTGTGGTATGAATGGTCAATGGCATAGTGGCTGGTCGGGTAGCAATCTAGCCTCGAGGATGGATGGTGATGGAGACCCAGGGAACTATGAATTTAGAGCGCTGAGTTGAAGGAAGCTCGCCTGTTTTGTAATGCGGCGCAGTGGTTCCAAGACTCGTCTCATGTCCCAGTGAGCCGGATCTCAATCGACGAGTAGCTGGTATTGCTCCGCCATCAGTATCCACCTTGAGGCGGTCTCTCGTCGGTTGGATCCGAAGAGGCTTATTTCAGCTCACAACAAACCAGAACAAACCAGCCTCTCCAACGTGCTCCCACCTCCCCCGCACACGGCCTATCCTCCGACTCAGGGCACGGTCAGTCGCCTTCGCGGGATGCAATCGCTCCTTCTCATGCTCATCTACAACACGCTGGCTGGGCCATGCCTTGAAGCCCGAGGTACTGTCTAGAGTCTCTGGCCAAATGCCTCCTCCACCGCATCGCCAGAGCAATCCGATCCAAGGCGCCGTCCGAGATTGGCTCGCCTCGCTCGAAGCGCCCGACCCTGGACAGGCGCACTCATGGCGAGAGGACCTCCTCAACAGCGCGCCCAAGCGCTTCACAATCTACGAGCCACTGGCTTTGCTTCCTGCCGGGAGCTTCGCGAGCCAGCGTTGGGCCGCCGAGATGGACCGCCGAGACGCAGACACGCTGGCTGCGCTCTGGTCACTGATCTTGAGAGAGCTTTCCAAGAAGGCCAAGAGCACATTGACGAACCTCGCCGTCAACGAGGGCATTCCACTGCACAATGAAGTAGACGAGGCCGAAAACGTCCGGCGGAGCCCAAGCGGACTTCGGATGCTGTTTGGCGACTTTGGCCCGGCGCGGACGGATGCTGAGCCGCCTTTGGAAGAGGACTTTGCCGGAGCGCTGTGGGTGTCGACGAAGCAGAACGGCATCCTGCAGACCTGGGCGCCGCGATGGACCATGTTTAGCCGCGGCAACGTCAAGGAAAAGGCACGGTTGCTGAGCTTCCCTAGTGCACGGAAAAGGCCACCACCGGCTGGCTCTGCCGGGGGAGATGTCTGGGCCGTCGACCTATATGCCGGCATCGGCTACTTTGTCTTTTGCTACGCGTCCCTCGGCATGCGGGTCTTGTGCTGGGAGATCAACCCCTGGAGCATCGAGGGCCTGCGTCGAGGGGCCCGCGCCAATGGCTGGACAATCAAGGTGGTTCAAGGGCAGGATCTGGCCCTCCCGGTGCGGCAAGTCATGGCGGGCGGTGAACAGATTGTGGTGTTCCTGCAAGGCAACGAGGAAGCGCCGAGGAGGATCAAGGAGGCGCAGACATTGGGTCTCGTGGAGCATGTCGAGCACGTCAACTGCGGTTTCTTGCCGACCAGCACGCCAACCTGGAAGCCGGCGTGGGAAACGACACGCCTGAGCTCCGAGTGCTGGCTTCACCTGCACGAGAATGTCGGCGTCAACGACATCGAGTCCAGACGCGGGACCATCCAGCGCCTTGTCCAAGACTGGAGCGCGTCAGAAGGGGGAGACAGGACGCCCGCTGTCAATCACGTCGAACAGGTCAAGACGTTTGCGCCGGGCGTCTGGCACTGCGTCTTTGACGTGCACATAACGAGACATTCAGAGGGCACATGAACAAGTTGTATTAGTACACAAGCCCGGCCAACACCTAGTTCCGCCGGCGGAACTTGGCTGGAATGTTCTCCTCAATAATGGGCCGCTTGTCCATTGCCTCCTGCTGCTCTTGGGCCTTCTCGAGTTCCTCGTGCATCTTGAAGTGCTCAATGTCCTCGGGATGCGTCAGGTCCTCGAGCTTTGTGTTCTCGTCGTGGTACTTTTCCCAGTGGTGAATTTCGTACTCGTACTCGTCGTCGCCGTGGTGGCCGGGCCCTGTGCCCATGTCCGGCAGGGTGTGGCCCTGTGCAATGAAGGCGGACCACTCGGGGTGGGAGACGGTGCCGTCGCCGTCGTGATCGAGCAAGGTCATGAGTTCGTGCGTGATCTGCGCCTTGCGCTCGACCGTCAGAGCCTTGTTGGACGGGTCCATGAGGCCGTAGGTGCGCTGGATCTCGTCGATTTGCCAGACCGAGTCGCCATTGTAGTCGTGCAGGGCGAAGAAGGAGTCGGTGTCCCAGGAGCCCATGTGGTGCTCCTCTGCTCAAGAAGCAAAGCAAGGGGTCAGCGTCGGGAAGGGAGCAGGGTGGTGGTGAGACATGCCGGCCATGTGTTTGGTCATCCAGTTGGCGTCCTTGTCCACCATGGGCTTCTGGCCGTGATCGCCGCCATGTGCGGCGACGACGCTGGCGAGGACGAGGGCGACGACCAGACCCAGGGCTCGGGCGGGAGGCGGAGGGACGAGGGTCGCGCGCATGGTTGGGGGCGCGATGGGGGAGGATGCGAGGCCAATTGATGGGATTGCGCCTCCAATTGCCGGGCTGGACGGGACGAGCCAAGTCTTATAGCACAGTCGGCACCTCCTTGGCCCAGGTCCAGCCCGCAAACGACAGCGGTGTGTGGGTACATAGAGAGTACAGTTCGGCCTGGTGCACCCGGGTGTTTCGCGTGTGTGAGCCAACGAGGTACGGGCAAGGTACTTTGGCCATGTTAGCGTCGTCAGGCGTCTCCGACAGAAAGGGGTTCCGGCGCTATCGTCCATAGCTGGACGCGTCCTTTGGCCGGTGGGACGCACCTGGAAAGGTCCTCCGCAGCTTGATTTGTTCCCCCCAGACTGGCATCGCAGCTTGATGTTGCATGCTGCACAGCTCACATTCCTTTAGCCTTGTTGCTAGGATCGGTGCATCCACTGTGCTTCACAAGACCGACGGCGGCTCAGCTTTCGACGAGGCTCGAGAGGGCAACAGACCGCCTCAAGCGTCCTGACCTCGAGACTCCAACCACCCGGCCGAGGGAGGTAGAGGCGCGCCGCCATCTCGAAGCGTCAAGATGAGCAGACCAATCGAGCAGGCTCTGCTCTCCTTGATTCCCGCACATGGCCCGGAGCTCCCGCCGTCACTGGTGGAGCTGGCCGGGTCTTTGCTGGCGCAGTCTCGGAACAGGGCGAGCACCCTGAAGGCCGACGAGGAGGTTGCCCGACACTATGCCTGTGCCAACTTGGCCTGTGAGCGGTGCGCTACACATGACCGTGAATACATCTGCGAGGACGAGGCTGACAAGCCCTTGCAGGCTGAAGATTGCTCTTGACCTCCCACCCATTGAGCCGCGACCACCAATCCCTCCCCGCATCTACAAGCGTCTCTATACACACCTCGACAATATCCTCCCAAACCCCTCGGCCACGCCGCGGGCTTCACGAACACGGAATGCCAACTCAGAACTCTCGCCGGCCACCAAGTCGCGACCGCTGCCGTCCAGAGGCACTCCAAGCAGAGAGAGCGCCCTGTCACAGTTCCGAAAGCCCGGTCCGCAAACTCCAACGAGGTCGTCGGCATGGAGGAGAGACGCGCTCCCTCCCTCGACCCCCGGTCTGTACCCTTGGGTCCAGCCTGTCGCAAGATTTCTGTGTGCCGAGACTGGGAACGACGAATTTGCTCCTTCAGTGTTGGCGGGCATCGAGTTCGTCCTTGCTCAGAGCAATGAGGAGATTTGGGTATCCAATCATGCTGCAGACTTGGTTGCCGTTATCTTTTTCTTCGTCGTCATGCGTGTCCGAGCCATCGACTCTGCCGATCCGACCATAGACCGCCAGGGCTATGTCCCGCTGCGCAAGGAAATTCTTGCACAACTGGGCCGGGCAAGAGCCGACGTCAAGGCCAACCATGTCGGCGAAGGCGACTTTTGGCTTGGGTGGAAGACTCTCAAGTCGAGAGAGTTCGATGCGGCAGTGGCCCACGTCAATGACAGAGACTGGCTCACAGGTGACTGGTACAAGGGCATCGCCGATGTCGCCTCAGCCCGGGGAGTCGACTTCGAAATAATGGACCAAGAGGACCACGATTCCGGTGTCCAGATTCCGGCTCGTCGAGCAGACATGATGCTACAGGATAAATACGACTTATTAAGCGAAGCCCGGAGATCGGACTACAAGATGTGGAAGGAAAAAATGCTTTCAAGGATTAACCAACCTGTCAAGGTTGGCTCCTGAGTTGCTATTTGACGCCATCAAGTACCAGCCCCATCCGATGGCACTACTTCTATACAATATGAGCTTGCCTCGCTCTCTGCGACGTTGTTGTTTCCGAAATCCCAAGCCTGCGCTGCCTTATTTGGGCGAACCCCTGCGGTGTGACTGGTCGACGCCACCTTCAGGGTGCCAGTGAGCGGCTGCAGTCCGATGCCTGTTATAGTCGGCGGCAGGGTCGATGGCAATGGTAGTCCACAAGAGCAGACCGTCCGACGGCTGCTCACCAAGGTATACATAATTCATAAAGGGGTCGTACTCGGGCGTGGCCTCATCGGCCGAGTTCCCATCCTCGGCGTTGGATGTAGCCGGCTGCTTGTTTTGGTTGTATGGCTCGCCGGCTTCGACAGCCTTGATAAGAGCTTCGTCAAAGTATGTCTGACCGATGTGCTGAGCGGTGCCACCTTGGAACGTGCCGTTGGGCAAGACTTTGGCGCCGGTGGTAGACATGACGTGGAAGTGGTTGGTGCGACCTACATAATGGCCCGGAAACACCGTGTCAAACTGGACAACTCCCTCTTTATCGGTCTTCTGGACGCCTCGGCCATGGGTGCTGTCCAGGCCGCCTTGGCCCTTTGCGGAAACGCCCGAATACACGCCCGTCGCGTTGGCATGCCAGATGTCGATGATGAGCTCGGGGATGGGCTTGCAGGTGTTGATATCGATGAACTGGAAGTCTAGGTGGGTTGCAGCGCCGGCCTGGCCATCGGTGAGGTTGGTGCGGATGCGCTCACCCTCGACATAGTATGGGCCGATGATGGTTTCTGGGACGAGGGTGCAGGTGGCATTGGAGGTGAAGATGGTCTTCAGAGCCGTGTCGAGCTTGTACCCCTTGGACGACTGGTTGTGGGATATGTCTGACCACTTCTCAAGCGACTCCCTATCAGCACGGCGTACGAGGGCTGTGGCAACGAGTCAGCAAGACGGACACGGCGGGGAACGCGACGACTATGTCGGAGAACAAGGTGCAAGGGGTCCGCACAGCTGTCGAGGCCTCGCTTTGTGCGGAGAGCGTGTGCCTTGGCAGCCCGGCGAGCGACGGCGCGGTCTCTAAGAGCCAAGGCTTCTGGATCATTGGCACACTTTTCCAGCGCACGCCTGGAATGAGCGGTGACGCGACTCCGTGTCTCGAGGGCCGCGCGGATACCCTCTGGGGTGCTGGGGTGGCCAAGGACGCCGGCGAAGAGAGCCAACACGGCGGCGAGCGTCGACAGCTTGGTCATACTGATATGCTGAAGGGAGACTTGAAACTTTGTTTCAAACAAAGGAACTCGGGAATGCAACTCGATACCAGGCGGCAGGCGGCAGTGACGAGAAGAGTGAGGAGGATATGTGAGCCGGCCAGTCGAAGCAAACTCGTGGGATGAAGACGCATGCTTTATACCCGGCCACTTGAGTAGCGGCTAAGGAACGGAGAGGGTGACGAGATGAGCGCGGCAGCAAGGACCCCCTTTCCGAAGACAAGGTGGTGAGAATGGAATTGTCCTTGGCCCGTTCCGTTGGTTCACTTGCGTGCTGGCCACTTTTCTGGCTCTTGCGTCTCTGGGCCCCCGTTCCTCGTCGCCGACGCCTGCCCCCCTTTCCCGTTTAGGCGTCTTCTCCGTCATGTCGAGGCCGATGGCGATGGCCTTGGTCGGTGCCATGGGCTGTGTAACGGCTCGGGAGCGGCGGCGAGGAATCGCAGTCCTTGGCACGTCGATTGGGGCTTCTCTCATTCTACTTGGGCGGGGGACTGGTAGTCTCGCAACAGGCCAAGGGTTCAATGGCATGGAGAGGCGCCTCGACAAAGGGACAGTGCAGCGAGGTGCTTTGTGCTCTCCACATTGAGGGCAGCGTGCGTATGGCCTTACTACGGCACGGGGCTCGGGAGATGAAGGGGGAGGGCCTCTAGTCGGCCCGCCCACCCGGTTTCCATGTGTCTGCGATACTATATGCCTGTGCGTGCGTGCGTGCGTGCGTATGTATGTAAGAGTATGCACGTGAGGATGTAGGGGATAAGGAGGTTCGAAGGGCGCTCTAGGGCCGCGGCTGCAACGCTGGAGTAGTGCCGGTGGAGGGCATATCGAGCATGGAGGTATGAACAAGCTCCCGATCACAGCGATCAAGCTGGGCGATGGAAAGGGGGGGCTTTACCCCGTACACCTACGTAAATGGACGAGGGCAGCACGGACAAATCCTTGGTGCAGGTTCCAGGTTTGCCCGTGGGATGCTGGTTCGGGACATGGCCAAGGGGCCCTTTGTTATGTTGCCTGCTGTCAAGACTTGGAAGACGCGGAAAGCAGGGCTGCTCTTCAAACGGCAGATGTGCGATTGGCCGACCTTGTTCGCAACCACTTGACGTTCTTCTGAGGGCGGGACGAGGGCCATGACCAGCTTGGAAGCCAAATAATACCCATGGGCCCGAGGCAAGGCGATGTTGTCGATTAGCAATCACGAAGAAGAGGAAAACTAGTCAGAAACAGTAAATGAAGAAACACACAAACGCGGACACACCTTGGCGAACCCCACTGGCGGCGGACAGGGCATGTTTCTGTTCCGAGGCGATGCAGCAGCCTGCCCGCCCACATGCCGAGCGAGCCAAAGGTCATGAGATGTTGTGCCAGTATAGCCGTCTCCGTGAGCCGGTTGGTGATGCCATGAGACCATGTCTGCCACCATGCAAGCCGTGAGAGACTGATTTGATTTCATCACATGGATAAGGCACACGAGTAATGACAGCTCTTCCCTCCCCCTCCAACGGCACAACGCCCGATCTGGCAGTCGGATTGCCCCGGCCGGCAAGCATGGGCAGTCAAGCCATCTGCAACCAAGCAACCCATGCTACCATCGATATGCACGCGGAGTAGACCGTTATTCGGCGAGATGGTACGTATGCCCGCAGACCCACCACGGCATAATTCGGCATCGGGCTTTGAAGCGCCTAGCTTTCTAGCTCGACCGAGTTGCGGAGAGCTTTCGCCATTTGCCGAGCCAGAGGGATAGAGAAAGACAGAGGGAGGGGCCGTTGGGGCCGCGCGGCATGTTTCCAAACAGGGCACACACGCACACGACGCCCTCACAAGGCTGAGACAGCAAAGCGGCGAGAATGTGACAGGGAACTGTGTTTAGCCCTCTTGAGGCAGGGTATCAAGCACGACATGGGGCGGACACCCCTACGATAGCTTGGACGGCACGTATGGATGACCGGCGCTCAGCCCGCCGTCAACAGCCCAGGCCTGGCCGTTGACGTAGCTGCTCTCGTCGCTGCCGAGGAAGAGGACGACGCGGGCCACCTCGTCAGCTTGGCCGCCGCGCTTGGTCGGGTTGAGCTGGCCGATATTGCCCTCGGTGCCGCGGGCGCGGGCGGCGTCGTAGATGGGGGCCGTCATGGCCGTCTCGATGAGGCCCGGGCACACGGCGTTGACGCGGACGCCGGTGCGGGCCAGCTGGAAGGCCATGGTCTGGGCGAGCGAGATGACGGCGGCCTTGGAGGCAGAGTAGTGCGGGGGGCCGGCGTTGGACCGGAGGCCGGCCACGGAAGCGGTTGCGACGATGCTGCCGCCAGGCGTGGCCTTGTCTGTCGACGTCTTGGTCATGGCTGGGGCTGCGTGCTTGGCAGCCAGGAAGACGCTGCGGAGTATGACGGGCGTTAGCTTCGAGGCGGCTTCCGCCCCGACACGACCAAAAGCCACGTAGCGTAGGGAGGAGTGGCGCACCTGAGCGTGTTGGTCCTCAGGACGGACATGAACTCGTCGTCGGTGCACTGGCTAAAGACGACATTGTTGCCCGTCACGCCGGCATTGGCAAAGAAGACGTCAAGCCGGCCATAGCGGTGCAGGGCATCGGCGACGACGGCCTTGACCTGGGCGTCGTCGGCGGCGTCGAAGCAGCGAGGGTGGACGTCGACCGAGGGAAACGCGGCGGTGAGCTCGCGGCGATGGGAGTCGAGGTGGGTGTCGTCATAGTCACAGAGGTAGAGGGCGCGGGCGCCGCTCTCGGCAAACTGGTGAGCCGACGCCCGGCCGATGCCCAGGGGCGAGTTGGCGCCTGGCTCGAGCCGTGATCCTTCATCAGCATGGCATAGCAAGACGAGCAGGCGTATGTGCGCGTGTACCGGTGATAATGACGACCTTGCCCAGGGCCCGGGTAGCGCTGGAGCCCGGGGCGACCTTGCGGATGGGTGGGAGGTCGGATTGAGGACGCTGGGCGTGTTGGTCTGGCATGGCGGGCGTTTGCGATGGTGATTTGGGGATCAATGCGGCGGCGGTTGGTGGCGGTGGGCTTGGTGGGGGGCGGGGAGCGAGCGGTCTGGCGTTGGTGTTCAACGGCGTTTGAGAGCACTTGCAGAAGTCAATGGCGGCCTCACCAGTGAATCAGCAATGATGCATGCAGAATTGGGGGAATGAGGCCGTATTTATATGCAGCGCCGATCCAATGGGGCCCTATATGTCGGCTTGTATGCTTGTATGTGAGGCCACTGAAGAGAGTTGAGGTCCCGCCACTGCTCTGCGACATCCTGCTTTCCTACAGAGGGAGCTGAAGCTTTCGTCAAAGAGTCTTTGCATGAACGCTACGAACTTTGGTCAGGCTAGACGCTTGGAGGAGGCGAATACACGGTCATGGAAGATGAGTGGGTATATGAAGTTGAAGCTACCTAGCCGTGTTCGAGGCCGAAATCGAAGAGCAGATGCCGTTCTCAGACGAGGAGCCGAGGTTCGAGGTGCGAACCACTGGGGGGGGGGGCGCTAAGACACCTCACGGGTGGAGCTAGCCGGGTACATGAACTGCAGTTTGGCCGATTGCGTGGGCCCCGGTACCTGCCTATCGATCAAGATGCTGCACCAGCGGCGATCGGCCGAGAGGCAACTGGGCATTCCCGACCTCGTGTCCCGACGACGCCAGTTACACATGGCTCCTGCAGCCCGTCCGGAGCCCAATTCGCCCGCGCCACAGGAGAGCTGAAGAGCCTGCAGAGCTGGACATTGACGAACAGGCCGGAACGAGAGGCTGGTTCCTGCCCTGCGACCACTTTAACCTCTTGATGTACTTTGTACCACACTCGACCATCCTCTCCGCCGTCCTCTCCGCCATCGTGACCTTTCTTTTTTCCTTTCCCTTGTCCATCTTGACCCTCAGCACCGCCATCTCGCAGATCCCTGCGTCGCACACCCCCCGCCAATGCGCCAGTCCAGGGTCCCTCCCTCTTCCATCGACAGCAACCATGGGAGAAGAGCAAAACGCCCTCTCCGTCATACAGGCTAACAACCGCCCGGCAAAGATGGGCGGCCGCCCAGACGGACCGCCGAGCGAGCAGACCAAGCGCCAGCCATCCTCTGCGGCTGACGTGGAGCTGCGAGGTACCCGAACCGGGCCAGCCATCTGCCTTTCCTCGACCGCCCCGTCCCGCTGGAGTCCGGCATCGAGCGCCAAGCAATGCCTTTGGGGGCCCCTGCTGCCCTACATCATCGCCGTCCACTCGTTTCCCGGCACCGCCGACAGCTGCGCCCTGCAGCGGCCGTGTAACCGGAGTCCGAGTCCGACACCTCACCGTACAGCAGACAAGTCGTCTGCCGGCTTGCTTTTCCGCCCGCCCTGCTGCTCTGCCTCCAGGCACATCTCGTCACCCACCATGTTGCAGTACATGGCTTCGACCGGCGTGGCGTCTTCCGCTGCTGTCCCACCTTCACCCCCTCCCTGCCGCGTCGCCGATGCCCATCGACCTGGATTCTACCCCTTCTTTTCATCTCGACTTCTCCCCAAGCCTTGCTGCAACCTTCACTAACTGTCCAAATATTCCCATGACTCGAGAAAAGTGCACCTCTCAACGCTGGGGATATTTGGCTGCCGACGTTCTGGATGCCCCGGCGTGCGTGGCAACCTGCCGGCTGCAATTACTCCAGGCCATCGCGCCCAACAACGCATCGCTGAGTGAGGTGTGTGAGACACTCGCAGACCCTCGCCGCTTCGGGAGCAGCCGAGCTTTGCGCACTCTCTATTGCTGCGATTCGCAGATCTGCGGAGTTGAGAACCGAGGAGGCAGAGGTAGAGATCGTGAGTGCCTTGCGCTGCGCTGCATTCACCGGATGCTGACCGTCCTTCCTTTCCTAGCAAACGTCAACTGGCTGACGAACGCTTGTCAAAAGTAAAACTTCCTTTTCGGCTAGAAGTCCGTTTCCTTCGGTTGTTCTAAGGGTTTGCGTAGCATCGGATATCACGGCATAGTCGACCCGGGGCCGCCGGATGCGACTTACAGCTGCCCCTGTATCTCTACAGGTTCACTCTTCACAGCCGCCAAATCTTTCTTACCAAGTCCCTCTGGCATTATGGAGGGTAACGATCATGGCATGGCTCGATCGCAATTCACTAGTGTCGAAGCTTCGTTTCCCACGCGAGGGACTTCGACTGTTGGGGCGCGTCCCCTAGGTAGGCCTACCTCACTTGCCGCTGGCTCGGTCCGCGCAGAGGCTAGCCCTGAAGCGAAAAGCCCAGGCGGACCACCCGTTGCCGCCGCCGTTGGCATCGCCTTGGCCGTGACTGCAGGAGTGGCTGTCATTTTCGCCGCCATCTACTGGCATCTTCGCTTCAGACGCTGCTCGCGCTCGAGGGCAGGCCTCGGCAATTTCGCCAAGGGTCGGGGCGGCCCGGCAGTGACTGATTCTCCAACGCCTCTGGTCTCACCAACGACCCAGCCCGCGAGCCTGGACGATATGCTGCTGATCCCACCGCCCCGCCTTCAGGAGCGCAAGCTTCTGCTCACAAAGATGGGCCGGTGGCCTAGATATGACGCAAAGGACTGTGAACGGCAGGGGCATCCCCTTTCGTCTCTGCGCTCCTCGGTTGCTTCTGCCACCGAGATGGTCTCTTTATGTCAGAAGGCGCTCTCGGTCAAGGACGACGGGGGCCGCTCTCCGGGAACTGGAGCTACGCCCGGGTCTGAGCCTCCACTTAAGTCCGGCCAGACAATACGAAACAGCCCGATGATTGCCGCCAATGGGCCAACAGCGACCAGTGCCGCCGCTCCTACCAAAACAACGTCAGCCGACCGCAGCATGGCTGCCCTACCCAAAACTCCCCGCCAGTACCACTTACCATTCCAGGCCGTCGGCCTCGCTCAGCCTGGTCCGCCCCCAGACCGGTCACTCCCTCCGACTCCGCGCCACGTGCAGTGCGGCCCTCCCGCGTCTCCGACACTGCGGCAGGGCCAAGCTGGCTCAACTGTCGAGGCCGCGCCTGTCAATGCGTTTCAAGTAGTCGGCTCTCCAAGAAAGTCCAGCGACGCTTCCGGACCGACGACCAAGCATGTTCCCAAAGTACCACACGACCCGGCTGGTACCGGCACTGACCGTGGCGCGACTGAATCCTCACATGTACCAGCGGAATACACGAACAGCCTTGTGCTCGGGGAGGAAGAGCTGGAACGACTCGGCGGTTCGTATAAGAGATTTCGCGGTTAGCTAAGCCGGCTTGTGCGCTTGGCTGCAGTGCATCTTCAGGGAAAAGAGGATGTTTATGTTGATACGATCCAATGACCTATTGCGTGGGCGAAGCGAAGCTTGATGGTCAGCTGAATGTATTTGGATTGCGGATATTGTAAGAGCTCGGGCTGGGGACGGGGCCTGTGGAATACCCGGGGTGTCTGCCGAGGAACATAATGTCGGGCGTTGATATATGGGGGTTGATTTGATATGTTGTCGACTACGACGACGAGGACCGCAAGAGGCCTGGATGGTGATGACAGTTGACTTGGAAGCGCTGGATCGAGGGAAGGCTTGTGAGGGACGACTCGCAGGCCGGAGAAAGGGAAAGCCTGTGGCTTGTGCTTGTCTGGCAAGCAAGAGGGAGAAAGGCAAACGCTCCTTATCTAACCTACCGTTTGCGCATGCAAGGTCCTCGTTCCCCTTATTCCATCTTGCAGGCGTTCCCAACTCGTATACATGCTGCCGTCGTAAGCTAAATCGTCCGGGGCAACACTTGAGCCAGAGGAGACGGAATAGGGGGTGGGAGAGTCTACGGTTGGAAGCCGTGACTTGCTTGCTGCTGGCCTCACATGATGGACGTGAAGGATGACAGAGACGCACGCAAATCACGCCAGGTGCAGCAAGCCACAGGCACGGAGGAGCGCCTGCTAATAAACATGATATCAACGAAAGACTACAATGCGAGAAGGGCTCACGGAAAACCCGGGAGAAATACTCAATATAGTGTGTACAGTACACATGAAGGGGGGGAAGGGGGCCTCAAAGAAAGGGGAGGCCCGCAGTCGCTGCCCCATCCATGTTGAATCCGAGCCAACATCGCTGTGAAAAAGGCCACGAGCCTATGCAATTAAGTTTTTTTTTGAGTTGCGACGAAGCCTGAGTGTGGCCGACGTCCACTCGCACCATGTGAGTGCCCCAAGACGTCCCGTTGTCGGAGACGGCCCCGAGACATAAATATGCCCGGGGAGGCTGGTGGTGATGAGAGTCCGCTAGGTGAGGACGCCATATACCTGCACACGCAAGCACGCGTCAACGCGCCCAAGCGGCAGCGAGTTTCCCCGCCAGGCTAACCGCCAGTCTCAGCGCAGCGTATCCCGTTCCGCGCATGTCAGCCTCAGCTGCCGGCGCCAGACGAATCGGCCGAAGCCGGTGGCGCTGGCGCCTCGGGCGGGTCTGGGTGAGCCACGCCGCCCAACCCCGGAGGCTGCGGCGTCTCCTCAGGAATCGGCAGCACCAGGGGCCCCTTGGGCACAATGGACCGCCCCGGCAGCTTCTCTCCTCGAATGACCATCTCAACCTCCTCCCTGTCTAGGGTTTCGTACTGGACGAGCGCCTCCGCCAGCAGATCCAGTTCCTTGCGCTTCTCGGTTAGTAGTTTTCTCACGTCTTCGTACGACTTCTTCATTGACTTCTGGACTTCGGCCTCAATCATGGCCCTCGTCTCAGAGCTGAGATTCTCGTAGCGCCGTCCATATTCGACCGGACCCAACGCGCTGGACATGCCGAAGAGCGTAACCATCATGAAGCTCAGGTCTGTGGCACGCTGCAAATCCTATAGACGTAGCGCATTTAGCACGCAAGGTCAAATGTCGACCTCTTCTCCCGTATATGGTCAACTTACCGAGGATACGCCCGAAGTGATTTTGTCGTCGCCATAACGCATTTCCTCGGCCATCTTCCCGCCGAGCAACACTCGAATGTCGGACAGATACTCGGCAGCTGTATGGGAGTACTTGTCCACCTGCGGCAGGTAGGCGGTGTGGCCCAGAGAAGGGCCCTTGGGGAGGATGGTAACCTTGTACAGCCGGCCGGTGGTGTCCTTGTCAAACAGCTGGACAAGAGCGTGGCCAGCTTCGTGATACGCCGTCATCTCCTTCTCTTTTTCATTGATAACCATCGACTTCCTCTCGGAGCCCATTGTCACTCTGTCAAAGGCCCACTCGAGATCTTGTTTGGAGACCATGTTGGCCCGGGCCCGGGACGCTCGCAGAGCCGCGATGTTGAGCATGTTCTCGAGATCAGCGCCAGATCGCCCAGGACAGCGGGCCGCGACGGCGAACAGGTCGACGTCCGGAGCGCACTTGATTTTGGCGGCGTGGTGCTTCAGGATAGCAAGTCGGCCACGGACATCGGGCAACTCGACATTGATGTGACGATCGAAGCGTCCCGGCCTGGTCAAGGCCTTGTCAAGAAGTTTGGGCAAGTTGGTTGCACCCATAATGATGATCTTGGTGTCCTGGTCAAATCCATCCAGCTCGGTGAGAAGTTGGTTCAGCGTCTGCTTAGAGTAAGCTTGGTCCCTAGGGTTGCGTTTGCCTCCAATAGCATCGAGCTCATCAATGAAGATAATGGCCGGGGACTTGGACTTTGCAGCGAGGAAGAGCTCCCGAACTCGTTTGGCTCCCACTCCAACAAATATCTCGTCAAATTCACTGCCAGACATGTAGAAGAAGGGCACGCCGGCCTCGCCAGCGACTGCCCTCGCGAGCAACGTCTTGCCAGTTCCAGGAGGACCAACAAGAAGCACGCCCTTGGGAAGCTTGGCACCGAGATCGGAGAATTTTCCGGGGTTGCGCAAGAACTCGACCACCTCGCGAAGCTCTTCTTTGGCTTCATCGCATCCGTGAACGTCGCTGAACCGAGTAGTTTGCTTCTCGGCCTTGACCTCAGAGTCGGCCTTGGAGCCCGGCGCCTTTCTCATAGTGCTCAAGGTGTCAACCAGTAAGGTCACGGCAGCGAAAGAGAGATATGTGATGAGAACAAATGAGACAAAGAACTTGAACCAGCGAAAGACGAGCAAGCGAGTGGACTCTTGGACCACGACGTGCAAGGGTTCGCCTTTGCCGCCCTGAGAGTTGGAAGCGTAACTGTTTCCAGTCGGGGGGGCATTGCCGAAGCCTTGATCGTAGCCAGACCACTGGCCTCGGGCAAAGGGGAATGATCCGGACGAGGGTGCCGTTGGGTTTGTCCCAGCGTTGAGTGCCGCCAGTGCCTTCTTGTAAGCCTCTTCGGTAGCAGCATTGCTGGCGAAGCGTCCCGACTGAAATCGTTCAACCAGAATCCCCGGCATATTCGCTCGCAGTAAAAGTTGGTAAAAAGCATTCTGCATGTTAGCGTTGCCGGGATTCCTGTTGGCGGACTCTTCCACTGTTGCTAGATGGTTCCGCGAAATACCACTCGACGTTCCAAAACCTCTGCGCTGCAGACCGGCGATGCCTGAGACGATTGCTAGCCGTGACGCAGAAGATGTGCTGCGAGAACCAGAGGCGAAGCCAGGACCAGTTCTAGCCAAAAGACGGATCGAGGACCAAAGTGGGCTTCGGGACTGCGAGTATGATTGTCGCAACATGGAGTTCGCGGCTTGTAAGCCAACACGGCCCAGACTCCCGATGACATCAGGGGGGTTTATCGGCGCCATCGCGTGAGAGGGGTTCGACGGCGGCTGAATATTGCGCGTGGGCCGGTCAAGGGGGCCTCGTAATGGAGACGTCTGTCGCTTCGCCCACGTTCGCTCAGCAAGGTAACGCTTGGGTTGATGGGCCCGTTGCGCGGAGGGCGTGGCGCGTCGCAGGGGAGCGGCGAGGCAATTTGCGATCGACAGCCGGACGTTTAAAGTGTTCTCCCTGATGAAGTTTAAATAAGTGCGATTGGCCCAGATTTGAGGGTAGGGAAGACTCACCGATGGGGCGGCCTTGAGGAGAGTCACGATGGTCTCAACAGCCCGCTATGCGATCCAAGACGGGGCGCCAAAGATGCTGGAGAAGGAATAGCATCCGTCTCGAGGGGAGGAAACGAAGGGACGCGAGCGCCTGCTCCGGGGTTGAACGACGTGCTCGGCGGTTCCGGCGCCTCGGGCAGACCGACCAGGGCAAGAGACGGGTGCAGGACCCGAGGTGGAGGTGATATTTGGAAATGATGTTTCTCAGCGCCTACGTGGCCGCACTCATTGTGCCGACGCGCTTCAGGGCAGTGATGGGGCGCGGCGGGTGGTGGAAACGGTGGAGGTCGCCACTTAACGTTAGACTAACCAACGACGCCATCGTGCCTTTTTTCCGACAGGCATTCTTTTAGTCAGCCCGGGGAGGGATGTTCCGGCTCCGTAACAGAAGCGCCTAGAATCAGCGACGCAGCACTAGTGTTCAAGTGCCGTTTATTTCAGCCTCATCAACCACAAACTCTATTCACACGGACTCGGCTTGCTGCGCCATGCCCCTATTGCTCGGTTCTCGTCACTTGGGAGACGATGGCCGGGTCGCCATGGTCAGGGACAGCTGTCTGCGCTCTGGACATCTCGGTCGGGCTCCAGACTCGCCCACAACGACCTGGATTGATGCTCTCGCCAGCCAATCGCCGTCCCATGGACGTCACTGTTAGCAGTTGAATATCAGTCTCAGTTGACTCATCTTATGGATATCGCTCGTCCAATCGTGAACGTGCTCCAAGCAGCAGCAGACATGCTGATTGAAGAAGCCAACGACAGCTCCAGGAAGACATTTCCTCACTCATCATGCAGCGCCCATATCTCTATGCTGGACGCCGAGGGGAGTTTGACGTGTGCGAGGCTCGTCGTCTTCAAGTTACAGCTCGCTTACCAAAGTTGCGAAAGCTTCAAGGGAAGCTCCAGGCACTGCCCAAGGAGGAAGAGGAAGATAGCAATTGATCCAGGATACATAACCTCGGTGACGGACGCAGGAGAGGCAGAATTCACAACCGTGGGGCAATAGCAGACGGAACCGACGATGCGGAGCGGACCTCGGGCCAGGTTCATGTGTGGTGAACCGGAGACACGGGCTTTTGGCCATCGAGAATGCATTGCTTCACCTGAGCCCTGTACTGTCGAGTCTTGCTACCAAGAACCAAGTTCTTCTTGAAGGAGACTTCTGCGAGATCCAAAGAACCGTCAGCTTCGTTATCCTGGGGAGTTATGCTCCGGAAACTGACCCTCCCATGAGGGGCCTAGGCACTTCTCGAATCACCTCGAGCCTGAGAATGAACTCATAGCGCTGATGACGTTACTGTGCAATCTTGTTGTGACTTGGCCAGACTTCTGCTTCATTGGAGGAGCTTGCCCTCGCGGCACCAACGAGGCCTAACAGCAAATGCAGCTCACCGTCGTTTTGCATGGACGGAGCAAGCCAGGTCTGGCACGCTGCGCAGGTCTTAAACCTTGCCAGGAGCTGATAGAGGCGGATTTGCTTCCGTCTCGTCATGACATCCGTCACATTGCACGCTTTGACTTGTGCTCAAAGACGACACTCGGGCCTGACCGTCGAGGAAGACTGGCACTCGCGCCAAAGCTGACGCCAAACCAATCATGTTCGCAGTGTTCATCTTTGCAGGAGAGACGCCAAGCTCCCGACCCTGGGCCAAGATGGGTAAGTGTGAAAGGAGCAAACACTCAACTCGACGGCAGTATGGCGAGCACCGGTTCCCCAAACGGGGCCGGCAGGAGCAGCAATGACCAGAATCGGAAATGGCCGCGTCGGAAAAGGCTTTTGGTCAGCCGCACACACCGTCTTCGTCTCGTACCGCCTCACGGATCGAGAAACCCCCCATTCTTGGCCACAAGACTATGCTGCACATGGGAGGCGTGAGGGCCGAGCGAGGTCCAAGTCGGCCATCGTAGCCCCATGACGACGGCTAACTGCCAGCAGCCGCTGGAGGCTTCACCAAATAACACAACTCTGTTATTGATTTCGGCGTGTTCCTCGTCGTATTTTGTTCGTTACGACTATGCCGCGTCGCCCTGTCTGGTTCCAGGCCACGGCGGAAGCTGCGTGAACATGGACCTCTGTCCTGAACCACCAAGGCGTCTGGTGCGAACACTCGAGGCGGGACGCTGTCGTTGCCCGAACAAGTTCATTGCAACAAAGCAATCTCCTGCTGGTTGTAGTAGCAGTCGGTAAGAAGAGATCGGTATCCCGCGCTCAGTCACATAAGATGAAAGCAACTCGAGCGGCATTGGAGGCATGATATAATACGTGTATGCACAAGCCACGTTATTTGTACAAGGATAATATACAGCCATAAGACTTCTGACGCGAGCAATCAGCCCACCAAAGACCCTTTCCCATATTGCTCTTTCAACTCATACGCGTCATTGCAGAAAAGAAAGGTCATAAGCCAGCATGTCAAAAGCGCCGCCACCCCTTTTCCCATGACCGCCTTTGGTTGCCCCCTTGGACCCCGAGGGTCTGCGGGGGTTGATAATCATCCAGTCATCTCCCCAACTCCACCGATGCTGCCGACCCATATCAATCGTTCATTGCAGGGCCCAGCGGCCCGACATTTGACTCGTTGCGCGCCTCTGCGCCGCGTGCTCAACTCTCAACATGTGCCGACCAGAGCCCAAAGCCGGCCAGACTTTCCATCGCGATTAAGAAATATAGACCAGTAGAAGGAAATTATGTCGTCGTGACAAAAGGGAGGTCGGTCTGCAGTGCATGCGAGACGGGACCGTGTCGGCGAACCACCAAGTGGTGGCCCGTCTTGCGTGCAAGTGGTTTCGTGTTTCGGTAACAGCCGCACACCAAAAAGCAACGCCAAACGATGCTGTAGGGAACCGCGCACGACGAATAGCCCGGTTGTTATTCGAGGCCTTCGACCGTGAGTGAGAACCCAGAGTGTGTCAAAAAACACATCTTGGTGCTGTAAAAACCCAAGTGGTATATCCGCCCTCAAAGCAAAAACCACGATGATTAAGAGTAAAAAAGAGTTATGAAAGCCGATGAACGAGTTGACGACCCGAGATGGTTGTAAAGAAGTATCATATTGTACAGCGAGGTTGTTCGAGAGTTCAGCCCGTTTGATTGACCAGGCGACTCTACATGGTTTCGATCCTGCTGCTGGGCAGCTGCATCGTCGGGTCGTCAAACTCGATCTTGGGCCCGCCGTAGAGATCGTAGACGCCGGATCCAAAGGGAGGCAGCTGGCCGATGGTGGCAACCTCGACGGGCGCCTGGTACTGGTACCAGGCCTCGGGCTCGGGGTGCGATGGCTGCTGGGGCTGGCCCATGGCCTGGGTGTAGGGCACCATGGGATGTGAAGCCTCGACGGGCGACGTCTCGGGCAGGGCGTAGGCGCCGGGCTGGGGTGCCTGGTGCGTGTACATGCCCTCTGGGATGGTAGGGCTGTGTCCCGACGAGGGAGAGAAGCTCCCCGGGCTGCTGCTGAGCGAGGCGATGCTGCTGGCCGAGTAGGGCATCTCCATCGAGGCCCGGGCGACGTGCTGGCGAGGGACGTGGTAGGGCTGCTGCACGGCGGCCGTGTTCATGGTGGCGATGCCCGGGTTGGTTTGCTCAATGACATAGAAGTGCTGCTGCATGCCGGGAGACCGCTGCATCATCTGCTGCATGCCGTGCTGCTGTCCCTGGCCGGGGTGGTACTCTTGGGCCTCTCGCTGGGCCATCTGCTGGTAGCTGCTCATCTGGAAGTCGGGGAAGGAAGAGGCGCGGTGCATGGCGTGGCCGTGGGACATGGCCGGGTGCGGTGCCAGGTGGCCGGGGGCGGGCCAGGACATGGTCGACTGGGTGGGGGTAGGGGGCGACTCGCCGCTGTCCGAGTCGGAGGAGCAGTCGTCCAGCATGTCGTTGGAGAGGAGGCCACGTTGGTGCGATCTCCGCTGGTGCTTGACCATGGTGGTCTTGCGGCAGAAGCTGAGCGAGAGCGCGTTAGCATCAGGGGCGGTGGCTCGGGAGGCAAAGGGTCGTACGAACCTCTTCAAGCAGCCATCGTGGGCGCACTTGTAGGGGCGCTTGCCGGTGTGAATGCGGCGGTGGCGAGCGAGACTAGAAGACTGTCCAAGTGTTAGACTTGACGTGTGCCCAGGGAGAGAAGAGGTGTCTGAGAGGGAGGCGTACGTCGGAGAAGCGCTTTCCGCACCCAATGTGCTGGCACTGATGAGGCTTCTCGCCCGTGTGTGTTCGGATGTGGACAGTCAGGGCGCTGCGCTGGATGAAGCTCTTGCCGCAGCCCGGTGTCGTGCAGGTGTAGGGCCGCTCGTTGGTGTGTATCCTGTAATGTCTCTGGAGATCTGACTTGCGGTTGAAGCTCTGCTCGGCTTGCGGTTAGAACCGGCGGCCAACAAGGTGCTCCGTGAAGCAAAACGCCTTACCTTGTTGCAGGCATCCCAGTCGCACTGAAAGGGACGAGTCGTAGGCTCGTACTCGACAAGCTCGAGGAGTTCCATTGTGAATGCTTTGAAGTTGTACAAGCTAGGACGGGAGAGAGGGCGAGAGAGAGATGTTGAAGCCGGAGTGGACCACTATCGAAGAGTGTTTCGTGGAGATGTCCAGGGGCAGGGTCGTCTTGGAGTGTTGTTTATAGCAAGTGACGCGCGGAGGGGGCTGCGAGTCAAAACAACATAAGAAACCTTGACACTTCTTTTTCCCTCGCGGTAGGATGTGGTGTATGCGTCTGTGATAGCAAGGAGGGTCCAATGTCTGAGACAGGGCCGACGGTGATGGATGGGATGGAGAGAGAGAAGGAGGGAGAGGCGAGAGATAGAGAGAGAGAGAGAGACAGGCGGCGACGTCAAGTGGTGAACGGATGTAGTAGAGGGTTGAGATGTTGAAAGGGGAGGTGGGAAGGGGGGAGGTCTGGGTTATGTAGTTGGGTATGCAAAGGATCGTGGAGAGGGCTTGATCTCAGAGTCTAAGGTAGGGTAGGCGTGTGTGTAGGCAGGCTGTAGGTAGGCAGAGCTAGGTGTAGGAGAGGTTTCCCGGCGCAATAAGAGTTATATGATCGGGGCCCGAGAGCAAGGGTAGCAGAGGGTGGGTCCGGGCCAGGGGCAAGGAGGAGGCTTGATGGGCCTGGGGGTGTTGAGAAGTGGTACGGGGCTCCGAGAATGTCGTTATTTTCGGCAGACCCTTGAAGACGTCGGGCTGGCGTGGGTGCGGCAGTCGAGGGAAACGCTCGGGCGCCGTCCAGCCCAGGATCTGCTACAGAATCGGCTAGATCAACCAGACGAGAGGTTGCTGCAACGGCAATGGCGATCTCGAAAACGGGGCTCGTACGGTGACGGTACGGCCAGGCCGAGCCGGTCAATGATTCTGGGCAGAAGGCGAAGCCGAGCAAGGGCGGAGTTTGGGAGAGAGACAGAGAGAGAGGGAGAGAGAGTGTGATGAGAAGAAGAAGGTGGCCGTTGGAATCGGCCGGGCCCTCTTTTTGTTAGCGGTGCCTGAGACGGTCGGTTACTCGTCTCTTTTCTTCTGTCCGAGTTGTTTGAAGTAGCGAGGATACGATGCTCAAGATTTGTCGTGCAGGTTCGTCGGGATCGGTAGTAAGTAGGCCGGGGGTGCATCCGAGTAGAGCAGCGAGCAAGGGGACGACGGGCAGCGTATGTGCGTTTCAAGTGGGGTGTGATGGATGGATGGATGGATGGATGGATGGATGCAAAAGAGGTGGTGGTGGCGGGAGAAGGGAAAAAGAGCAAAAGGCCATGGCATTATATGTATGTACATGCAGACAAAACAGCAGACGCTAACATGCAGAGCTGAGAAGCGAGCCAATCGAGGGCATCAAGCCACGAACGGCGTCATGCCAAATGGCTTTTGGAGCAGAAGAAGCAAAGCACCAGAGAGAGGCCGTCGGTCGAGGACGAGGCAAGGCCGGGGGGCCGGTACGGGGGTGGGAGGGGAGAAAGGGGGAGAGTCTAACGGATGCTACGAACAGACTAGCATAGCAAGTGGCTCCTTTTTTTTGTTTTTCGTTTTTCGTTTAGAACATCCATAAGAAGCGACGGGGCAGAGAGAAAGTGTAGGCAATGTATTCTTGGAAGCACCGGTAGAGATGTGAGCCGAGGTGAGTGCGTGAGTGCTCACTTGGAGAGAGACATTGGAGCGGACGTTTGTGGCGCGGGGGCCCCAAAACAAAACGGCACTGTACCTCTCCACCTGCGAGGGGGGGGTACAACTGCTGAGTACTTAGGTACCTTACTAGCGATACTCTCTTCCTCGTCATCTCTCTCCCTCTCCTCACCATTTGAAATGGCTTGGTTCTTTGGTTGCATGTAGGTACAAGCAGGGTACGCACATTACATATGCAAGGTACGTACCGCCCCGGGGACTGGCGTTGCGGCGCTGCGGCGTTGCGGCGTTGCGGCGTTGCACCCCTGCGCTGGAGAGAGAGAGAGAGCGAGCGCTAGGCCGGGGGGGCTGCCAAAAAGGTGGAGGCGGCGTCGAGGGTGGGAGAGCCCATAAGCCGAGAAAAAGGTCGACCCTCTCGCCAATCAAGTACCCTCCAAGTACCTCTCCCCAAGTAAGTACCTCTCTCCAAGTACGTACCTCTCTTTTTTGCCTTTGAGCCCGTCACTAGGCAACTTACCAAGCCCCGGGTACGCCGGCCGAGATACCTGAGAAAGCTACGTACCCTCCCTGGGCGTACCGGGGGGCCGGGAGGCGCGGGTGGTTACGGTGGGTGGGCGCTGTATCCTTCGGGCGGGGCCCCACCGGCTTCAGTGGCCGCTGAACTGCCACAAATACAGGTTGTGATTGTGTCTCTGGAAAAGACCGGGGGGCCGAGGTGTAGTCGGCACAGAGCACTCACTGTATGCGCAGGTGAGGGAGGGTGGTAGGTGTGCGGTGTACGCGCGAACGTGTGAGGCCAGGAAAAGAAAACGCAGAGGGTATTCGGGGAGGAGGGAGTGGGAAAAAGAGAGACAGACTGAGACTGAGACTGGGAAAAGGCCCAGCCTGGGTTAATTTTGGCCCCAACGGGAGACATTGAACGCGGCGCTCCGCCCTCCCGATTGGCCTCCCAGCCTGTGCTCTGCTACCAAGTAGAGAGGCAGATCAGACGGCAATGGCCACACCTTATTGCCTAAACAGTGGGTGCTTGCTGCAAGGGCAAAAAGGTCCTCTGCTCCTCCGTACAGTGTACAGTAAAGGAGGCACTCGTAGCAAGACGAGGTAACTCCGTTCTATCCGTGTCAACGTACGGGACCCAGGTTACGTAGCACGCCCGCCGATGGGGGGATTCCGAGGGGCCGCCAGATGCTCGACGATGCTGCTCTCCTCTGTTATTGCTGCTGCTGTAGCCGTCTATCGCGGCCGCTGCTAGCACGAGGCGCTATTATTACTACTTGCCCCCCTCTCCCTCCTCCTTCAAGGTGGCGCATGTGGTATGATGCTACCTTGGGACTCTCTTATCCAGCGCTGCGGGCATCCCACCGGGGAAAGCAGCAGCAGTTTGGGTCTATTGTATCATTTGCTCCCCGACAAGGATCACTCAACAGCACGGCAGACAAGGAACAGGGGACCAGGAGCCGGCCGATCTGGACAGGCAAGCCAAGGCGGAGACCAGAGACACCACGCACCTCATGTACGCACGCTCTAGCATGTACATATATGTCTGTGGAGTTTTACCGCATCAAGCCCTCGAGAGCAGTAGGTATCTCGACTGCTCACCCCCCCTCCCTCTGTCCCCATCTCCAGTTGGGCAGATGGAAAGGGCCCCGAAGTCTCGCGCGAAGAAGCAAGCAAGCCCGCACGCAAGCAAGCCCGCACGCAAGCAAGCGAAGCATGAGGTGACCCTTTGCGGGGCGGACGAGACCACGTCACTGGGGTTAAACAGGATACCCTTCCTCTCTCTCGCTCACACGCTCTCTCTCTCTCTCTCTCTTTCTCTATCTCCCCCTCTCCCCTCCGCCCCCACCACCGGCAAATGTGGCCCCTCCAACTTGAGCCGACTCACGTAAACGGAGTCCACGTAGATACAGTCCGCAGATAATTAGCCCACAGCCCGGATCCCCCGTTGCCGCCTCTCGTCGTACCGTAGTACGTACGTGTGTACTCCGTAGACAAGTCCGGGCTTATACTTGGTGCGGAAAAGTAATGGAGGACCCAGGAGGGAGGGAGGGGGCTTTGCTTCATCAAAAGGGTTGCGCCCGTTTCGTGCCGGCCGGCAACACGACCAAAGGAGAAATAGTGGACAGCTGGGTAGGTAGGCAGGCAGATCCAGGCCCGCGCCGCCGCTCCACCGGGATGCATCGCAGGTGTGTGCCAGGCGAGTGTGCGGGGTGCCGACGCCTGGTCAAACGGCCCGCCAAGTATGTAGGTGCAGACAAGGCCAAGTCAAGTAAAGGCTGGCAGTTTCCAGCACACTTCGGCTCTTTTCTATGAAGCAGGATATTTTTTTTACTGGCAGCTTAAAACGGGCGAGTAGCACAGAATAGCAGCAGCGGTCCGGTGAGGGAGAGCATAAAAAAAAAGAAAAAGGTCTGGGCCTGTCTCAGCCTGCTAGCAGGATGCAAGAACTGGGCGAATGGCGAGCAAAGGCTTTTCCTTGGGGCCGTGATATCTACCTATGAGCGACGGAGAAAAAGAAAGACAGACAGAGACGCAAAAGAAAAATTAAAAATTACAAGAGAGGGTACGAGGGGCCTCCGTGTGTTCGTCCACGCTTCAGAAAACGCAGAGTTCATCACTGCCTTGCAAACTTGCCGCTCAGTCCAGACTCGGCAGTGGTCGCAAGGCAAGTACACCGAAAGAAGAGAGAGGGCTGCGACAGGCGAGGGCCCAGACCCGAGGGACAAAAGGCGCTGGACCCCACGGGAACTGCAATGTTGGTTGGGGGGATGGGAGACAAGTAGAACACGTCAGTCATGGAGTAATCCTCGGCTGTTGGGCAACCCAATGCGACGGCGTTGATGATGGAAGGGCGAGTGGACAGGGGGGGGGTTGGTGTTCGACCAAGTTGCCCTGATAAGATGTCCGCCTCCACATGATGCGTTTGATCACCTCGCGCCCTGCCGTTCCGCGGGGCGGTGCTCGTGAGCGAAACGCCGGCGTTTGAATCCACGCGAAACGCGCCGACCGTCGGCTCGGGATGGGCCCGGGCCGGATCAGGTCCTCATTTTCGTCCAGGGACACCCGTCTTGTTCGCCGAGCATGTCGAAAAGCATGCCGGAGATGCACCGCCTGTCAGTTGCTCACAAGAGAGCGTGTGCCGTGGCGGTGGGTTTTGGAGCTCACCATGGGCCCGGACCTTCTTGACCGGAGCCTACATGCGAGTTCACCGAGACACGCTTGTTCATCTTCCACGAGCAGAGGAGCAGATGACGTTGCGAGTGGTGCGCGCAGCCCAGGGCGCCGAGGAGGCTTGACGTTTTGGCGGAGTCGTGTCGCGCTCCCTGCGTTTTTGGCCGCCGGCCTTTGAAACTCGCCTCGCAAACGCACCAAACCGCCGCGC